CCCCCACTTCCCCCCCCCACTCCCCCCCTCCTCGTCCCCCCCAGCTCCCCCCCCACTCACCCCCCACTCCCCCTCCTCAGTCCCCCCTCACTCGTCCCCCCCCACCTCCCCCCCCCACTATCCCTCCCCTCGTCCCCCCCACTACTCCCCCCCACTCCTCCCCCCACTCCCCCCCCCTGCCTCGTCCCCCCACTCCCCCCCCACCTCCTTCCCCACTCCCCCCTCCCCTCGGTCCCCCCCACTCCCACCCCCACTGACTCCCCCCCCCACTCCCCCCCATCCTCGTCCACCCCACTCCCCCCCCACGACCCCCCCCCACCTCCCCCCCGCCTCGTCCCCCCCCACTCCCCCCCCACTATCCCCCCCCCACTCCCCCCTCCTCGTCCCCCCCCCCACTCCCCCCCTCCTCGTCCCCCCCAACTCCCCCCCCACTCCCTCCCCCCCCCCACTCCCCCCCTCCTCGTCCCCCCCACTCCCCCCCCACTCCCCCCCCCCACTCCCCCCCCCACTCCCCCCCTCCTCGTCCCCCCACTCCCCCCCCACTCCCCCCCCACTCCCCCCTCCTCGTCCCCCCCCCACTCCCCCCTCCTCGTCCCCCCCCCCACTCCCCCCCTCCTCGTCCCCCCCACTCCCCCCCCACTCCCCCCCCCCACTCCCCCCCCTCCTCGTCCCCCCCACTCCCCCCCCACTCCCCCCCCCCCACTCCCCCCTCCTCGTCCTCGGTGCGCGCCCGCAATGAGCCGCCAGGGTAACCCGCTCCTCCGTCACCCCCCGCCGCGACGTTTCGCATCGTTACCCTGCTCCGCGAAACGTCGATTTTAAGTCGTCGGTGACATCGGCGCTGCCTGACGGACGACGGCACGAGCCCGGGGGTGGGTGGCGAGACGGGGAGACGGGGCGGCTGGGCGGCTGGGGAGACGGGGAGGCTGGGCTCCTGCGGGCAGAGGCTTCCGCCGGCCGGAAGTCGATCGAGTCCCGCAGCGCGGCTAGGCGAGCCCGAGGCTCGCCGCTCGGTAGTAGGCCGCGATGGCCCGAGGCGCCGTTTCCAGGGCGGCCATTCGCAAGCTTCTGTTCGGCGGCCACTTCGTGCAGGTGAATCACGGGCGCGCTCTTCGTCGTCTTCGTCGTCGTCGTCTCTCCCTTCCCCTGTTGCTTGGTCGGCGACCTTTGCGTTTGTCGCTGTGCTTCATGGTGCCCAGAGAAAGGCGGCTGTGGCGATGTCTGCCGTTGTTATGGAGGTTGCTTTGTGGTGGCTGAGAAAGCGGAGGTTGCGACGAGGTGGTGGTGGTTGTGGCGGTTGTGGTTGCAACGAGGTGGTGGTTGTGGTGGTTGTGGTTGCAACGAGGTGGTGGTTGTGGTGGTGGTGGTTGTGGTGGTGGTGGTTGTGGCGGTTGTGGTGGTGGTGGTTGTGGTGGTGGTTGTGGTTGCAACGAGGTGGTTGTGGTTGCAACGAGGTGGTGGTGGTTGTGGTGGTGGTTGTTGTGGTGGTGGTTGTGGTGGTTGTGATGGTTGTTGTGGTGGTGGTTGTTGTGGTGTTTCAGCACAGAGGTTGTGATTGCGAGTGTTGGTGGTTGTGTTGTTGCACCGTGGTGAGGGAGGTGATTGCGTTGCAATGCGGTTTAGAACGGGGAGGTTGTGAGGTGGTGGTGGTGGTGGTTGTTGTTGTTGTGTTCCACGTTGGTTGAGGAGGAGGAGGAGGTGGTTATTGTTGTGGTGAATGTGGTTGCGTTGTTGCACAGGAAAGGTTGCGACCAGGGTGGTGGTGGTGGTGGGTGGTTGTGGGTGGTGGTGGTTGTGGGTGGTGGGTGGTGGTGGTGGTTGTGGGTGGTGGGTGGTTGTGGGTGGTGGGTGGTGGTGGTGGTTGTGGGTGGTGGGTGGTGGTGGTGGTTGTGGGTGGTTGTGGGTGGTGGGTGGTTGTGGGTGGTGGGTGGTGGTGGTGGTTGTGGGTGGTGGGTGGTGGTGGTGGTTGTGGGTGGTTGTGGGTGGTGGGTGGTGGGTGGTGGTGGTGGTTGTGGGTGGTTGTGGGTGGTGGGTGGTTGTGGGTGGTGGGTGGTGGGTGGTGGTTGTGGGTGGTGGTGGTGGTGGTTGTGGGTGGTGGTGGTTGTGGGTGGTGGTGGTTGTGGGTGGTGGTGGTTGTGGGTGGTGGTGGTTGTGGGTGGTTGTGGGTGGTGGGTGGTGGTGGTGGTTGTGGGTGGTTGTGGGTGGTGGGTGGTTGTGGGTGGTGGGTGGTGGTGGTGGTTGTGGGTGGTGGTGGTTGTGGGTGGTGGGTGGTGGTGGTGGTTGTGGGTGGTTGTGGGTGGTGGGTGGTGGGTGGTGGTTGTGGGTGGTTGTGGGTGGTGGGTGGTTGTGGGTGGTGGGTGGTGGGTGGTGGTTGTGGGTGGTGGTGGTGGTGGTTGTGATGCGGGAATTGCGTTGCAAGCTGGTTGCGAGGGAGAGGCGCTTGTGGTCGTGATGTGTGTTGCACGGGGATTTACCCCGACGTCATTTGGGTTTAATATCTAAACAAAGATTTGTACCACTATATATTTATATATATAGTTATATATTTATATATAGTTATATATATATAGTTATATATTTATATATAGTTATATATTCATATATAGTTATATATTTATATATTTATTGACGGCACGGACTGCAATGATTTCCAGCGGTCGACTGCGCAGGCTGGACCCAGAAAGAGACCGCGGTTACATGTCGATGTAAAGCTTCTTTCGTGACTGCAGGGATTCATCTTCTTGGTTCTTTCGGTAAAGTCATCACGTAGAAGGGAAATAATAAAATAATAAAAATAAAACATAATAAAATACAATTCTCACGAACAGGTCTGTCGGAAAGACAGCGTCATTCAGACGCTGTCTTTCCGACAGACGCTGTTCTTCACCTGAGGACGGCTGCTTGTGTTGTGGCCGAAACGTCGTGAGAATTGTATTTTATTAAGTTTTATTTTTATTATTTTATTATTTCCCTTCTACGTGACTTTACCGAAAGAACCAAGAAGATGGGACCGCGGTTAGTGGCGATTTGGTGATTGGTTACATCTTGTGTGAGCTAGAGGGCGAGTGGTGGACCCCACAGGGTGAGTGGTGGACTCGACAGGGTGAGTGGTGGACTCCACAGGGCGAGTGGTGGACTATAGGGGCGAGTGGTGGACTCCACAGGGTGAGTGGTGGACTCCACAGGGTGAGTGGTGGACTATAGGGTGAGTGGTGGACTCCACAGGGCGAGTGGTGGACTCCACAGGGTGAGTGGTGGACTCCACAGGGCGAGTGGTGGACTCCACAGGGTGAGTGGTGGACTCCACAGAGCGAGTGGTGGACTCCACAGGGTGAGTGGTGGACTCCACAGGGCGAGTGGTGGACTCCACAGGGTGAGTGGTGGACTCCACAGGGTGAGTGGTGGGCTCCACAGGGTGGGTGGTGGACTCCACCCGGTGAGTGGTGGACTACAGGGTTGTGGTTATTTTGATGATTGCAGTGGGCTTGGTAATTTTGGTTGTCGTGGTGGTTGTGATTACCTTGTGGGATGTGGTTGTCATGGTGGTTGTTAATGGTGGTGGTTGTTGTCATGGTGGTTGTCATGGTGGTTGTCATGGTGGTTGTCATGGTGGTTGTCATGGTGGTTGTCATGGTGGTTGTCATGGTGGTTGTCACGGCGGCTGTCGTCATTATGGTGGCTGGTTGTTGTTGTTGTTGTTGTCGTGCTTGTTGTGGGAGTGCTGGTTGTAGCTATCAATGTGTGCTGCATGTTGAACTTCTTTCGCACCGTACGTAGCCAACCGTGCTAATCGGAGGTGTGGGGGAAGGACAACAAACGGAACATCTGTGTGTGTCTCTGTGTGTGTCTCTGTGTGTGTCTCTGTGTGTGACTGTGTGTGTCTCTGTGTGTGTTTCTGTGGCTCTCTGTGTGTCTCTGTGTGTGTCTCTGTGTGTGTCTCTGTGTGTGACTCTGTGTGTGACTCTGTGTGTCTCTGTGTGTGTTTCTGTGGCTCTCTGTGTGTGACTCTGTGTGTCTCTGTCTGTGTGTGTGTCTCTGTGTGTGACTCTGTGTGTCTCTGTGTGTGTCTCTGTGGCTCTGTGTGTGACTCTGTGTGTCTCTGTGTGTCTCTGTGGCTCTGTGTGTGACTCTGTGTGTGACTCTGTGTGTGTCTCTGTGTGTGTCTCTGTGTGTGACACTTCATATTCCCTGGGCTCCGAGTGGTTTCGCTGGGCATGCTGCTGATGTCTGCTGTCTCAGTGACTCCGTTGCTCTGTCTGCAATCCCCCGTGTCACCCCATGTCACCCCGTGTCTCTGTTGACTCCGATTTCCTGGGCTACGAGTGGGTGTCACAGTCACGATGGCTGCACGTGATAAGCCACTTCCTGGAGCTATAATTTGTAATAGCCAAGCTGCTTCTGAATATAGCTACACAGCTCAGCGGGCCTTAGCGGTTAAAACACAAATATTTTCGAAGTTCCCGTTCGTCGTGTGGCTGGGCGTGCTGGTGTCTCCATGTCGCCTTGTGTGTGCCTGTCTCTGTAGACCCGCTTCCCGGGGCTGCGAGTAAGGCACCTCTTCCTCGTGTGGCTGGGCGTGCTGGTGTCTCCATGTCGCCTTGTGTGTGCGTGTCTCTGTAGACCCGCTTCCCAGGGCTGCGAGTAAGGCACCTGTTCCTCGTGTGGCTGGGCGTGCTGGTGTCTTCATGTCCCCTTGTGTGTGCGTGTCTCTGTAGACCCGCTTCCCTGGGCTGCGAGTAAGGCACCTGTTCCTCGTGTGGCTGGGCGTGCTGGTGTCTTCATGTCGCCTTGTGTGTGCCTGTCTCTGTAGACCCGCTTCCCGGGGCTGCGAGTAAGGCACCTGTTCCTCGTGTGGCTAGGCGTGGTGGTGTCTCCATGTCGCCTTGTGTGTGCGTGTCTCTGTAGACCCGCTTCCCTGGGCTGCGAGTAAGGCACCTCTTCCTCGTGTGACTGGGCGTGGTGGTGTCTCCATGTCCCCTTGTGTGTGCCTGTCTCTGTAGACCCGCTTCCCAGGGCTGCGAGTGAGGCACCTGTTCCTCGTGTGGCTGGGCGTGCTGGTGGGGAGCTGGGTGCTCTACATGCAGTACTCCTCCTACACGGAGTTGTGCCGTGGAGCCGTCTGCAAGATCATGGTGGTGAGACGAGGGGGGTGGAGCAGGGTGGACGAAGGTGGAGCAGGGTGGACGAAGGTGGAGCCGAGTTGAAGCGGGGACACTGTTTTGACCTTACCGCTGATTAGCTCTCCATGCGTATGCATGCTGGATGCAGACATTTAGAAATGTGATTTGTAACTTTGAGCCTGACCTGTGTATCGATAGTTCAATGTTCATGTGCCATTCTATTGAGCGCTACTGCGTGTGTTATCTTGGCGTGGTCTGGGACTGTTTAATTGTTGTTTTTGCTCGGTCGACCAATCCTTCAGCGGGTACCTGGTGCGGTGTGTAAACAACAAAGGTTGCTGGCCTTGGTCCTGGTCACCCCCTTGGTGTGCCGTGCCTGTCTTCATCGGTTTTCGTGGACACCACTTGCCCCAGCAGTCTCTTCACGGCGACAAGGGGCATCTGTTTGTGTGTGCGCGCGTGGGGAGCGGTCGTTCATCGGTCAGCGTGCTGCGCTACGAACCCGGCGACCCAAGTTCGATTCCAGCTCACGGCCAACACCAGTGACGATTATTTTAATCGGTCCCGGGCCTCCCCTAGGTCAACTCAGCCTCAAATAAGTACCTGGTGCGGCATGTAAAAACATCGCCACTGGGGAGACAAAGGCGGCCGGGCGTGGGGCTGGCCACCCACCCTCGTGTGCTGCACCGGTCTTCACAGGTGCTACTCGCTGACAGCACTTGCCCTGTGTGTGTGTGCGCATGTGTGTGTGCGTGTGTGCGTGTGGTTGTGCAGTGTGATCAGTACAAGAAGGGTATAATAGCCGGATCGGCCTGTAGTGCCCTGTGTGAGGAGAAGACGCTGCAGTTCCAGCGCTGTCTGTCGACTCACCCCACTCGCCAGGTGAGCCACGCTCCCACGTCGCCCTCTGGCATCGCTGCTGTACGCGTGTGCGGTACACGTGCGGTGTGGTACGCGTGTGTGGTACGCGTGTGCGGTACACGTGTGCGGTACGCGTGTGCGGTACACGTGCGGTGTGGTACGCGTGTGGGGTGTGGTACTCGTGTGCTGTACGCGTGTGCTGTACGCGTGTGCGGTACATGTGTTTGGTGTGGTTAGCGTGTGTGGTACACGTGTGGCGTGTGGTACGTGTGTGCTATACGCGTGTGCTGTACGTGTGTACGGTACACGTGTGTGGTGGCAGGTGTACACGGGCCGCTGGGGCAAGGCGGACGTGGTGATCAAGTGCGGACTGGAGGAGGCGTTCCGCCTGGACCTGGAGCCCGACTCGTCCCCGCGGCGCGAACTCGTCCTCTTCGACAAACCCATCAAAGGCACCTCCATGGACGAGTTCAAGGAGATGCTGCTGCACTTCCTGCAGGTGACCCATGCCAGGCGCAGTGCCGCAGCCTGTGCCAGCCGTGTTGGGGCATCGCGACTCCCCACCCCCTTCCGCCCCCACGCGACCTGCCCCCGCCACCCACTGGCAAAACGAAGCGTGATTTAGAGCTGCGAGGAACAGGAGCCGAGCTCGTAGCAGCTGTAAGGGGGTCGCGTAAATCTTTCGCGTATGGCATCATACCACCGTCCTCCCCACCGTCCTCGCCTCTATCCTCACCACCACCATCATCATCATCACAGCGATCATTGTGTTGAGTATCAATATGATTGTCATAACAGTAATTTTGATCGTCATCATCGTCAGTGTCGCCGTGATCGTCGGCAACATCGTCGTCATCAGCTCTCACGTCGAATCCCCTCATCTTCTCCACCCTCTCCCCCATTAAAGACAAAGATCGCCCCGTAACGCCTTCGTAGACTCTTTGGACAAGTGCTGAGAGCGTGCAGCACCTATGAAGGCTGGGACAACATACCAGGGGGGTATGTGGCCGGCACCACGCACAACCACCTTCATCTCCCCAACGGCGATGTTTACATACCGCACGAGCTGCTCATTTGAGACTATCGGCTCGGGCAGGCCCAGGACCGCTTCGCGTCACCGTCGCCGGTGTTGGCGGCTCGTGTCGCCGGTTATGGTAGCGCTAACCGCTGCGCCACCGCTCCCCACCGCCTCCTCCTCCTCCTCTTCTGCGCAGACCAAGCTGGGCAACCAGCCGAGCCTGCCGGAGCTGGTGTCGCACCTCATCGCGCTGGCCGACGTGAACCGCGACGGCAAGGTGTCCCTGGCCGAGGCCAAGTCGGCGTGGGCGCTGCTGCAGCGCAACGACTTCCTGCTCATGGCGGTGCTGCGCGAGCGCGAGCACGCGCCCCGCCTGCTGGGCTTCTGCGGAGACACCTACGTGACGGAGCGCGTCGGCGTCACGCGCCTCTACGGCGTCGCGCCCCCGTGGCCGCTGGCGTCGGTCGTGCCGGCCTGGCTGAGCCGGGCGGCGGAGCGGGCCCTGCTGGCGCCGCCCTGGGCCCTGCGCGCCAAGGTGTCCATCGGCCTGCTCGAGTTCACCGAGGAGGTGTTCCACGGCGCGTACGGCTCGTTCCACGTGTGCGAGGCCGGGCCCGCCGCCTTCGGCCACAACGAGCGGCACGACGCGCGCCTCCTCGACCTCGGCGCCGTCGTGCCCGAGGCGGCGCTGCGCGAGGCGCTGGCGGCGCGCCGCTGCGACTCGGACGGGGACTGCGTCGTGGGCAGCGACTGCCGCGCCGCCTGCGACCGGCTGGCGCGCCGCTGCTCCCCCGACGCCATCCAGCCCAACCTGCCCAAGGTGTGCGCGCTGCTCGCCGAGTACCTGCTGGCGGGCTGCCCCGCCCACGTGGCCGCCGAGCTGCGGCGCCAGCTGGCCGTGTGCACCAGCCTGCGCGGTTCGGCCAACACCATGGAGGTGCACCACTCGCTGGTGCTCAACAACCTCAAGGCGCTGCTCTGGAAGCAGATCTCCAACGCCAAGGAGGCGTGACGGCGACGCCGCCGTCGGCGCGGCGGCGGCGGCACCGCCACCGCGCGAGATTCGCAGCAAGCGAGAGTGATGTAAAGGCGGCGAGGAAAGTAAGCGGAGTAGCGAGCGAGCCGCAAACACGACGACGGCCACCTCGGGTGGCGCCTGCAGGTGAGGGTGGCGCGTGGGAGACGAGCGGCGGCCATCCGACGGTGAACAAAACATGAAGGAGTCTACAGAAATGTGAAGGTAGAGGGCGTTTCAGGACACAAGGGGAGTCTACGATGGGCTGGTCCCACTGATCGGCTGGTGCCAGTCCTAGCAGCTGACATCACTTGTCAGCCGGTGCCACTGATCAGTTGGTGCCACATGATCAGCTGGTGCCAGTCCAAGCAGCCGGTGCCACTGAACAGCTGCCAGTCCGAGCAGTCGGTACCACGTCTGTCAGCTGGTGCACTCGGATTGAGGGGGGTGATCTGACATTTGGGCACCAGCGGGAGGACGTCGATGCGTGAACGCGTCGTTCTTGTTGTTGCTGTTGAGGGTGCGGTGGCAAGTTGAGATATTTAGTTGAACCACTTAGCGATGGATTTGCACTTGAGAAATCAGCTCATCGCCTCCCCCCCCCCCCCCCCGATGACGATAGGACCCAGCTCCCGAAGACGCGATGGTGGCTCTCATCCCGTGGTGAACTCTCCACGGCGATTTCTGTCAAAGTCGCCGTTCGGAACGAAGCATCAGTGAAGATCACTCCCCTCCTCACCCCATCCCGTAGCGCGGCCCACATCGGATCGGGCTTGCAGCTACTACCTGCAGCAGCAGCAGCTTTGTAAGAAGCAGCAGCAGCAAGAGCAAATGAACAGAGAAATTGAAAGTGCAGCAGCAGCAGCAGTGCAGTCAAGAGCCTCGGGCATTGGCATGAAATTGCTGACGGAGCTCCCCCCCCCCCCCCGATTGGCTGGTCAAATACTGCAGCAGGGTGGGATGTGACAATAGCCACAGCCTAGAGCGAGGTATACTGGACGTGGTGTGCCGGGCATGTCAATGTTTTCTGGGTCACCTATCCGGCTGAAATGAATACCCTAACTGTGCTTCTAATTAGTGTGTGTGCGCCGTCAGGCTGCGTGGGGAGCCAGGAGTGTCCCGGTTAGCGTGTCGCACTACGAACCCGGCGGCCCAAGTTCAATACCCGCTCGAGGCCAACATCAGTGATAACGATTATCTGGTCTTGGGCTTCCCCTCGGTCGACTCAGCCTCAAATGATTACCTGGTGCGGTGTAAAAATTGCCACCGGGGAGACAAAGGCGGTCGGGCGTGGTGCTGGCCACCCCCTCACCCCTGATGCGGCCTTCACAGGTGCTGCGAGCGAGAAGCACCAACAGCCTGTTGAGGCTGTGCGGGGGGGGGGGGTGTCTCTCTTGGCAAGAGCAGCCCCCAGCCCCTTGCCCTGTACTCTGGCAAGTGTGGCTCATGCCCAATTGGCTGGTGGCAGTTTCGTGGGGGCTGGTTTGCAAAGAACCGGCAGCAGTCTGTTGAACTTCTTTCACACCGTACATAGCCAACCGGTGCTTTTTGGAGGTGCAGCAGGGTGGGAGGTCAAACTCAATTTCAAAGGCAGTTCTACAGAAATGTGGAGACTGGAGGGAAATCTCTGCCAAGTGATCACGAGACTCTACTTTGCAAGGATGGACCCGCGGCCGTACAGGTTAGAACAGGACACTTTCTCCTGAACGACGATGCAGCTGCTGCTGCTTGGTCCTCTGCACACCGATGAAGGATGGACTGCAACACTGAGCGGCTGGTGGGCAACGGCTTCGTGATGATCTCGGCTTGCTCCCCACAATCAATCCTCCTGCCACCCCCTCACAGGGTCCACATTTACAAAGGGTCCCTCATCTCCAATTTTAACTTTGGGGGGGGGGGGGGGGCTCCATGGATGTGTAAAACAAAAAAAGTGAATAACCACTGCAAGGAACCACCACACGGTCCCCACACATTGAGATTGCGTTTAATTTTGTGCTCGTTTGAAGCGCTTCAATGCCACTGCAGTCGAGGGGGGCACACGGGCCCCTTGCACACCCCCCCCCCCCCCGGTGGCATGACCACCAGTCACGCGGCATTGGCTCGGAGCAAGGCAGCTAGACCATGGCGACGCGGGTTGTGTGAGGTGTACAGTTACAAGCCCTGCTGCATCCCATACTTGATCCTAAATATTTATTTAGCTTTTTGTTTAAGCCCTCTACCTCCCACCACTGTGACCCCTCGCTCTGGGGTCGGCTGGTAAAGCCCCACACTGTGGGGCACCGTCCACCCCAGGGTAGCCCCTCCCCACAGCTGCAGTTTACACGGCGCCGTTTGCACCATTGTGTCCACGAGCCAAGGGAGGCAGCACTCCCTGACGGACAGTGCAGGGGACGAGGCTGGCTAATGTTGAATTCCTTCACCAGTGCGGGGTGAGGGTGGGGTGGGCCAGGTGGGGGGAGGGGCAGTTCCATCTCTGTGCAATCGGCATCACAAATAAAAACAAGCCACTCAAAACCCAGCTGGGGCTGTTCCTCGTTTTGTGTCTTTTATTGAAATATCCAAGGTTAGATCATTTACGAATGCTTTCCCAACCAGCACCACAAGCTCCCGCCCTGCAGCACGCGCATGCTGCCCTTGGCCGGCAGCTGTGGCGCTGGCAGCATCACAGCCCCAAGAGCGCACGTCACTCCGCCGGCTCGCTGGCCTGCGCCCGCAGGAAGCTCGCCTTCTTCTGAGCAACTCTGTTCTTGCGCTGGGCCAGAGACAACTTGGCGCGGTTCCACCTGCGAGGCAAGAGGCAACCAACAGTTAGCACGAGGCAGTATCAGTGGACAATGACTTTGCCACCCCATTCGTTCCCATAATGCAGCGCTTCTCAATAACGCTTAGGCACCATGGACCACTGACAATGCAAACATTTCCATGGACCACCCAGCCCCCCCCCTCATCCCTGGTGACAAAACTCATTCACTCATCTCGAATACAAAGTGATGGCCATTACTGGAAAACTTTTTAAATGCAGCTAGGATTAGGGTAGTTTACCTAACTTAATTTTAAGTAAAATATTCATTTACAAAACAGGTGTGATAAAGTCATCATTTCCAGATCAACCCCTGCCCTCAGAGCTGCTGTGTGCAATCCCCAATTCGAGTCATTTGTAGTGTCATGTTCTTTGAGTTTGACATATTTTCTCAACGGCCAACGACTCGTAAATGGGATCGTTAACCTCCACAATTAAGTAGGATTTGTTAATACACACCAAAGTATTGACCAGGGCAACCCACCAGATTCTAACCGCAAAGCTCTGCAGAAAGTGTGGTCCGTCAGGTGTGACTATCCGCTGTGGTAGTTGTGTGTATTTTGGGTAGTTGTGTACGTATTTGGACGGTTGCCATTGTATGTAGAACTTTTTTCGCACCCTACGTAGCCAACTATAAAGTGTGGGAACACACGACACGCGTGTCTACCCACCACGCCCAGAAAGACGGTACCCCCCCCCCCCCCCAACCAAGGCACTAGCGGCGCCGTGATCAGACCCGTCTTGATGGTTTTGCATCAGCGCATGGGACCAAGGACCAACTTGAGTCTCCTCAGAGTTTGGATGTCATCACCTCACGGCACCGGCTAGGCTTGCAGGAGCAAGCAGGGGAGAGCTGGCAAGCGCCAAAATCCAAGTCCGCCATCATGGTGGGGCTCACCAACTACTGCACCAGCCTGCCGTGTGCGCGCCGCACAGATTCTCACCATCGCCTACCTACCCTCTCACCCTGCCATCACACTACCCCTTCCACGCCGCACAGATTCTCACCATCGCCTACCTACCCTCTCACCCTGCCATCACACTACCCCTTCCACGCCGCAGATTCTCACCATCGCCTACCTACCCTCTCACCCTGCCATCACACTACCCCTTTCACCACCACGCTACACTCCTCACGTACGATTGTGAAGTTGAGCAGCTGTGTGTGTAGCTGTACCATGGTGTGGTTATGATTGTGCAGCCGTGTGGTGGTGGTTGTGTGTTGGTGGTTGTGCTTGTGTAGTTGTGTAGTTGTGTGGTGGTGGTTGTGTAGTTGTGGTGGTTGTGTAGTTGTGCTTGCGTAGTGGTGGTTGCGTAGTGGTGGATGTGTACTTGTGCTTGTGTAGTTGTGCTTGTGTAGTTGTGTGGTGGTGGTTGTGTAGTGCTTGTGCAGTTGTGGTTGTGTAGTGCTTGTGTAGTTGTGCTTGTGTAGTTGTGTGGTGGTGGTTGTGTAGTGCTTGTGCAGTTGTGGTTGTGTAGTGCTTGTGTAGTTGTGCTTGTGTAGTTGTGTGGTGGTGGTTGTGTAGTGCTTGTGCAGTTGTGGTTGTGTGGTGGTGGTTGTGTAGTGCTGGTGTAGTTGTGCTTGTGTAGTTGTGCTTATGTGGTGGTGGTTGTGTGGTGATGGTTGTGTAGTGCTTGTGCAGTTGTGGTTGTGTGGTGGTGGTTGTGGTGGTGGTGGTTGTGTAGTTGTGCTTGTGTGGTGATGGCGTCCACTCAGACCTCTTGGGCTTCTTCGTCACTTCCTTCTTGGGCTTCTTCTCGTGCACCGGGTTCTCTCGGATCGTCTCGTGAGCCTTCTTGAACAGCCCCTCCACCTACACAGCGGGGTTACCAACTCAACATCACCACCACGAGCCGACACCCAACACTCCACCTACACAGCGACATTACAACCTCAACATCACCACCACGAGTCTACACCCAACACTCCACCTACACAGCGACATTACAACCTCAACATCACCACCACGAGCCTACACCCAACACTCCACCAACACAGCGACATTACAACCTCAACATCACCACCACGAGTCTACACATTCCATCTACACAGCGTGGTTACCACTTCACCACCACCCGGAGTCGAACCCTAACTTGCTATCTTCACAGCCGCAGAGCAGCCTGAGAACCTCACCAACACCACCGCCTCCCCACACTAACCCTCCATTACACAGCAGCATTATTTAAAACTAAACTATAAACAAATTTTATTTTACCAGGTGAGGCCCACTGAGCTATACGACTCTTTCAGAGACAACCCGGCCACAAATGATCGTTTAATGAAGTGGCTTATCAGATGGAATTTTCTAGCAGCAGTTTATTTATTCTAAACTGCTTCTATTCTAAACGTGGAGAACACTGGAAGACCCGGGAAGAAATCGACACCACCACGGGGAGAGAGACACCGGAATGTAACCCACTACCTCCTGCGTACCAGGCAAGGTAGTTAACATCCTGCCACCACGGCGTCCAACCCCAACCACGGGCGACGCTTCCCGAGTGGACCCACTGCGCTGGCGGTGTACATACACTGAACTTATTTCGTGCCATACGTAGCCAACCGCGCTAATCGGATGTGTGTGGGGGGATGACCAAGTAGCGCACCATGTCGGGGACGACTCCGCCCTTGATGTAGCGAGAGAACTGCCGCTTGTAGGCGTCCTCGTCGTTCTCCATGAGCGAGCGCATGTAGTCCGCCACGTTCACGCCCAGGATGTGCTTGCGGTGCACGTCCGCGTTGAACTCTTTGCTCTCAGAGTCGTAGCCCGGGAATCGCTTGGTGCTGCACAACAAACACAAACACCACCGCCACTTACAGCCTCCACCACAGACTACTGTTGTGTATGTACATTGACTCGTGTTGTACAGCCTTGACCAGACTGTGGTGTATGTACGTATGAACATTGACTTGTCTTGTACAGCCTCCACCAGACTGTGGTGTATGTATGAACATTGACTCGTGTTGTACAGCCTCTACCAGACTGTGGTGTACGTATAAACATTGACTCGTGTTGTACAGTCTCTACCACAGACTGGTGTACGTATGAACATTGACTCGTGTTGTACAGCCTCCACCACAGACTGGTGTACGTATGAACATTGACTCGTGTTGTACAGCCTTCACCAGACTGTGGTGTATGTACGTATCAACATTGACTTGTGTTCGTGCAATATTTAAAATGTTTCACGTTGACAGACGTTTTTACTCAGATGGGTATTAGCTTCATCCCTGTAACATTTTATTTTTTTCTGATTTTGTCGATTTAGCAACTTGGGTCAGTGGTGCGAACAAGACTCCTATCCTGGTCTCTTAAAAAAAGTTAACCGACTACAAACTTTAAAGCATGCACCACACACACCCCCACAACACCCACTAAGCCTACGCACCACCCAGCTCAGAAAGGTACCATAATCTCGCTTCCCCCCAGGGCTCTAGCGGCGCCGTGATCAGACCCGTCTTGATGGTTTGGCATCAGCGCATGGGACCAAGGACCAACTTGAGTCTCCTCAGAGTAAGGACGTCATCACCTCGCGGCGCCGGCTAGGCTGGGCTTGCAGGAGGGATCGGGGAAAGAGCTGGATTTGACACAATGGGTGGGCAGTGTTGACGAGGGCAGTGCGCTGATAAAGGGCTGTATAGCTCAGTGGCCTTATCTGATAAAATATAAATTTATAAAAAATGGTTTATCGTTTTTAAAGAGGGTAGGCGATAGTGAAGATCGCCATGCGTTGGGATCGCAGGCGCGAAGGAATCGCAAAAGAATGACGGTGAGGTCACGTCTGATGGCAAGGTGAGCTGTATAGCTTGTTCCATAAGTGACCTGGTCACAAATGAGATCTCAACAAAGCCGCTTGTCATTTAACAGCAGCCAAACACTCTCAATGCATATTGCTAAATGCGGAGGGAAAACCCGGAGGACCCAGAGAAAAATCCACTCAACCACGGGGAGAGAAATGCAAACTCTAAATATACAGCAGGCGTCAGGGTTGGGATCCAGTGCACGACCATCTGTATATACCAGGCGTGCTAGTTAACATCTCGCTACCGCCAAAGTACAGTCAAGCGAGCGGCAACCTGCTAAGGCCGCAACCGCGCGGGGCACCACGCGCACATGCCCTGCCAAACTGTGGTGTCCCCCGGTGACGATGTTTACTAAAACGCACGGCTCCCGGGACTCGTTTAAGGCTGAGTCGACCTCGGGGAAGCCCAGGACCGGACAGCTACGCACAAGGTGCGAGATAACATCGCCTTGGCTGGCAAAATTTATCCTCTTTAATTGTCCAATCCTGCGATAAGTTTTTATCGACGTGGGCCGGTTTCCCTCCAGGGTCAAATTCCCAACGGCAACAAAGGCGGTCGGAGCTCAAGCGCAAACCCGTCGCAGCCAACGTCACGCGTTCACAACAGATTCTAGGTGCAGGACACCGAACGATGCGACCAAATAACGTGCGGCGGCGGCGTTGTGAAGAACCCTCCTCCAACCGACACGGCCCAACACAAATAGGATGGTCACGTGGGGTACGAGCGTTAGACGCTCACGTGGCACCGGCGAAGGTGGAGCCGATCAATCCTCAAGTGCAACGAGCAGACACAAGTAAATCCATCTGTTGAGCCGCGTTGCAACTGCAACCTCCCCGTGCACCCGCGCCTTGAATCGCTGGCAGCAGCTGGAGAGTGTGGGGGGAAGAGGTATAGAATGTGTGCAGGCTGGGTGTGCAGGCTGGGTGTGCAGCTGTGTGCAGGCTGGGTGTGCAGACTGGGAGGTGCAGGCGTGGAGGTGTGCAGGCGTGCCCACCTGTGTGGGATGGAGAGGCCCCCGTCGACGGCGCCCTTGAGCGCGCCGAACACCTTGTTGCCGGTGGTGGTGCGCGTGAGCCCCGCGTCCAGGTAGCAGGTGAAGGCGCCGGGCTGTCCGTCAACGCTCTCCACGTTGAACTCATCGCCCGTCACGTCCGTCTGCCCCTCGTACACCTTGTCCAGGCCCAGCTTGGCAAGCAGCTGGTGGACGGGCGACAGAGCGGTGGCCGGATTAGACGCACACGCATGTGCGGACAGACGGGACGGACGCGAATCGAATGGATAGGACAGACGCATAGACGCATGAGCTCACATGGCAGACACGCATTGCACATAGCCATAACACAGACGGCGTGGACAGAGAACACGAGACAGCAGACACGCATTGTATGTATGTTGAACGTCTTTTGCACCGTACGTAGCCAACCGGGCTAATCGGAGGTGCGAATAGACAGGACATGAAACTGAACACAGGCAGACACACACAGCAGACACACCGATTGGACATAACAGACATATATAGTGCAAGTACAGAGCACACACACACTACAGGTACACGCGCACTGAATACATCAAAACAGACTCGTGTATATAACACAGGTACACGTGCACACGCACACAGGTAGTAGACCCACACACAACCCCGCACCTACGATTAGCGCGGTCGGCTACGTACCGTGCTAAAAGAAATTAATCAAACGAACACATGCACTCAAGAGACAGACCGAGACGTGCATGGAACATAGCAGATACACAGCAGTATGCATGTTTGCTTGAACTTCTTTCACACCGTACGTAGCCAACCGTGCTGATCGGAGGTGAGGGAGCATGCAAGAACTACACAACAGAGCATGGAACAGAGGAACCACGCACGTGCTCAACGCAACGCAGCCGACGCACGAACACTGGGGACCGATGCCCACAAACTCGAGCCTCCCCACACACACAGCTACGGCACAATCTGCGCAAATAAAAATTGCTCTCCAGTGAAGTTATAATTCCACATTGACTTATGTTCGTGCAATATTTAAAATGTTTCACGTTGACAGATGTTTTTACTCAGATGTATATTAGCTTCATCCCTGTAACATTTTATTTTTTTCTGATTTTGTCGATTTAACAAATAGAGTTAATGGTGCGAACAAGACTCCTATCCTGGTCTCTTAAAAAAAGAGTTTGACTACACAAACTTGAAAGCATGCACCACACACACCCCCACAACACCCACTAACCCTACGCACCCACCCCGCTCAAAAGGTACCATAATCTCCCTTCCCCCCAGGGCTCTAGCGGCGCCGTGATCAGACCCGTCTTGATGGTTTGGCATCAGCGCATGGGACCAAGGACCAACTTGAGTCTCCTCAGAGTAAGGACGTCATCACCTCGCGGCGCCGGCTAGGCTGGGCTTGCAGGAGGGATCGGGGAAAGAGCTGGATTTGACACAATGGGTGGGCAGTGTTGATGAGGGCAGTGCGCTGATAAAGGGCTGTATAGCTCAGTGGCCTTATCTGATAAAATATAAATTTATTGAAAAAATGTTTTATCGTTTTTATAGAGGGTAGGCGATGGTGAAGATCGCCATGCGTTGGGATCGCAGGCGCGAAGGAATGACGGTGAGGTCACGTCTGATGGCAAGGTGAGAGGCGACAGGCGATGGGGAGGTCCTGGTGGTGGTGAGGGTAGTCTGGTGGTAGGTAAGAGGGGGGAGGCGACGGTGATGATCGGTGCTACGGCGGCGAGGATGGCGCTGCACGGTGGGGTGCGGCTCTCACGCGGCGCGCCAGCAGCAGGCCGGTGCAGTAGGCGGCGGCGTAGTTGGTGAGTCCCACGGTGATGCCGTACTTGGAGAGCTCGTGCGAGTAGGCGGCACACACCATCACGTCGCCCTCGATCTTAGCGTATGCCACCTGCAACGCACCATGTACACAATGCCATGATGGGTACAATGTACAAAGACGAAGTGATGATTATGACACAAAATAAAGTGTAACTATGGTTGATAATTAGCGTCTTTTGGGTTGCATCGTGTCGGCATGTACTTTTTAACAATAGCACTTCACCCGACAGAGCCAATTAAATCGAGGTGTCACGTCAAGGAAAAATTTCGCAATAGAGTGGGTTTATCAGCCAAATTAAGAGGAATGTTTCAAACTCCAAGCAAAATGTTGAAAACGTTGTACGACGTTTCGCTGGGAACAACCTAGCGTCATCAAGTGTTTCAAAGCAGCTCTCATGCGAGAGCAGAGCGTTGCTAACACGCTGACGACGCCACACAGCCACTTGATTACACACCAACCATACCGAGGTCCCACTCAAAACGCCGCCACCGTATCAAACGTGAGGCAGTCGAGGCGAGCTCCGCCTTGCGTACCCCGACTGGAGTTGCCGACCCAGCTGCCCACTAGGGGGAGCTTCCATCAGATTTTGGGCAACGAGATTTTTCTTGAAACGGGGAACGCCACCAATGACGATTTCTCTAACGCTGTCCCAGAGGACCCATTGTCTTATTAAGTCTCTGCCACCCCATTCTATTTTACCAGGTCAGGCGCACCGAGCTAAATAGATATTTTCAGAAGCGACCTGGCCACAAATTATAGAAGTGGCATATAACGTGGAAATGTATCGCAGCCAAATGCTCTAAACGCGTGTTTATAAACGTGGAGAGAAAACCCGGAGGAACCGGAGAAAAATCCACCCGACCACGGGAAGAACACGCAAACTCCACGTAGAGTAGGCATAAGGGTCGGAACCCACGATCTCCTGTATACCAGGTGAGGTAGTTAACATCTCCTCGCCACCGCAGTACCCGACTTTGCCCGCCCCCCCCCCGCCACCCCAGTAAGGGCAGCCACAGGCGGCCGTCCCTCCTACCTGGCAGATGACATCGCGGTTGGTGAGGCGCACAATCAGCCGGTACTTGGGCGTGTTGTACTTGTTCTTGTCCTGAACGATCAGGCGCTTGCGTGCAAAGTAGTCGGTCTTTCCCTCTGTTTCAGAGAGGGAACAAGGGACACGGGGGAACAGATGAAGCGAGAAGCGGCAGCAGTGAGTGGAGGTCGGGAGTGGAGGAGGGGTGAGGGGAGCGAGGGAGGTAGGGAGCAGGGCACGGAGGGGGTGGAAGCCGTAGAGTGCATGTCGGCGTCACTTGTGGGTGAGAGGTGGCTCACGAGTGAGACACCGCTATTTATGCATTTCAAAGTTGATCGACTCTGCTCTGACGGAGCTGAGTGGACACCGCTGAGATCCTGGGTTCGAATCTGGGTTTTAGCCAGAGGTGGTTGCGACTAAATCAGGTTACGTGTAGCAAGTTGATGGGTTGGTGGCCAGGAATGACTGTACAAAACCCCATATTAAATCTAGAGTATGAACCCCATATTAAAGTTGGTTCTGCACTTTGTGTTTAAATTCTAACTTGACCGTCATGCGACGAACAACATTACTGCTTGTACAGCAGCGTGGGTGGGAAAATGATGACATCTAAGGTGTGGACCAGAGATAACTCAAAGATTCCAAAGTAACTGTGCGATAGATTGCAGCCTCCACACGGAGGATCGCATTGGTGTGACAGCTCTGAAGGGATAGTTATCGTCTCAGCGCAAATGGATATGAAATCGTGGTAAATGTATTTAAGTGATGCGAGTACGAAGGGGGAACTCACCACGACGCCTCTTGAACTTGACCTGGTAGCGCTTAAAGTACGCCTTGCTCTTCACTGTCTTTATGAACCCCTTCTGCAAGTGGACAAGTGCACACAGAAACAACCGTCATCACTGCATCCCCACACGGATAACCTGCACCGGTGCAGTGGAATTAACAAACCCGTGGAAAACCGTGCTTGTAAAAGTGAATTGCGATTCATGTGAATTATATAATGCGTAATTTGGAGAAAAAACTGGGTAAGACACTAGCCACTCATCTCCCACAACTATCACCACCACAAGCACCATCACACTTCAGCACGCAACACCTTGACCAACTCTCTCTCCATCGTCACAACTACCATTATTTTCTAAGCGACGAGGCCTTCCTGATCTTCAGCCACGACCAATCCGCTACTGCATGAAGGGCTCGCCCAAAACCGTTTCAATCTCTCACGAGGCTGCACAGTAATAATGCGCCGTAGCACGTGTACACTCGACTCGCTCGAGGATTTAATCGTCGCTGTTAAGTGGAGGCCCTCACAGATGCGTCCCATCGCCTCGCTGCCATTATGAAGACGGCGATTAAACATACTTCGTTTCAAACTGGATTCGAAGCTTTCGTGACTGCAGGAATTATTTGGTTCTTTCCGTAAAGTCACGTAATTATTTATTTTCTTTCTACATACTTTATTTGTAAAGTAGCATCAGGTTCAACCCGCTGTTTTACACGTGCAACTTGTTGGCAAACCCACAACCGCGGTCGAGACCCCCCCCCCCCCCACGTGCTGAAAATGGTGGATGCGCTGCGCGACCAAACTTGACCACGTGGGTTTATTCGTGTCGGTAAAGGCGTGGGGAGCATAGCAGTGGAGTACAATAGATGTGCTCAGTACCCTTAACGTTGCCCGCGCGGTATCAGCTGCCGATTTAATGAGGTCTCCAATTCAAGCGTCGTTATAACCAGGCTCGGCATCCGCTTGGCTTGCGAGCTCTGACCCCTTAGCAATGCTCACCGACTAATTCAGCCGCTCCAAGTCTCGCAAGCCCTTTCTCGGGGGAGCTGTGGATAATGGAGCCTCAGACCCCCATTTAATAAGCCAACACGGCCCCATCCGAGAGCCATGTGTTCGCAGTAGGCCTCACACCCCGTCGACGGATATTTTCTCACGGCCCCGGGGCTCAAACCCACGTAAACTCGAATGAAGGCCTGTGATGTTCGCAGAAAAATACGTAAACTTTACGCTACGTGCGTATAACCCACTGCGCCCAACCACCCCCGGAGGCTGCAGCCCGAGTTGCCCAACGACCACCAGGCGGCCCCTTGCCTCGGGAGGCGCGGCTAGGCGAGGAGCGGGGAGCCGGCGTAGGGCCTAGGGCGATCCGTCACCATCCGTCGCCATCCACCGCGCGGGAGTCGGTGGATTGCGGCGACGTGACGCGGGGAGGCACGGGCGGTGCGGGGAAACTGCGATTTGCACGATATGGGAGCCGCAGGGAGCGGCGGGGAGCCACTTACCATGGTTGCCGAGGACTCGGCTTCCCCGCGATGGCGCCGCTTCGGCCCGGATCCCAAAGGGAAAGGAAGGGCGTTGGGCGCATGCGCGGACTTGAGCCCGCCCACTTCCGAGAGCGCTGATGAGTCGCGCTCGCTGATTGGTTAGAGATCAGTGGGCGGAAACGCTTGCTGACCAATGGGCAGCGGCGACACAAATAGGTCCTGCAAGAGTTGTATCGATTCAGTTCCATGGATCGATTGCAATCGACTCCGTCGTCGTCATCAGCCATGATCTTGCCACTGCTGGATTAAGGCCTCCACCACACAAGAGCTGATTTCACCGCTCCGTCTCTGTGGTGGACGTGCTCTTACGCACGTTCACTCCACTGGCTGCAATCCATTCGTTCGCGTCATGCCACTGTAGGTCAACCTCGCTCCTCCTGCTCATACTTCGCACTGTTCTTCCATTGGAGTTCCCTCTTTACATCATCATCGTTGTTGCTTTCCCGCCCCCAGCCATCAAAACATAACCTTGCTCAATTCAATATACGACGTTACACTCGTGTATAGCTTCACCTCCGATTAACACGTTTGGCTAAGTACGGTGCGAAATAAGTTAAACATACGTGTACGCACTTCCATAGTGGTGCTGTTTGTTGCTGACCGCTTGGCGATTTGGACCATTTGGCTTTTGTTCAGCAACTATGTTTGGAATGAAAACACCTCGTTAAGTTCGACCATTGGCGGCTTCAAATTTCCACATGATGAGCCACTTCGTTTAATTATCATGTGTGGCCAGGCAGCTTCTGAAAAAGGCTTTACCTAGTTAAATACAAGCGTTTATTATTTTAGTTATGTGTTTGCCTTACAATTACTTTGCACTCCGATCGTTTTTTAAAATATTTGTTGCAACTTTCTGATCCCGTGCACCTACTGGAGACATACTATGAAAAATAACTTCACGGCTCATCGGATTCCTCCAGGATAAATAAGGATTATAATATCGCTTTCGAACTGATACCGCCGGCCAAAGCTGGCTTGAGAAATCTCAACACGTGTGATAGGGGTTGAAAAGAGCTCACAAACACCACGTTGTGAAAGACCCAATGAAGAAGATCCCAGGTTTTGACCTTCCACGAAGCTCATGGTCCACTCTAAACCGTGTCCTACAAACCATGTCAGATGCCTGATGCACAAATGGAAAATGCAAAACTCTCCAATGTGGGATTGTGTCTTCCACAACAGACCATAACAACATGTAATTATTGCAATGCCCGATCCACAACTATGAAGGAGACATCACAGTGATACATTCCGCTTCTCCTGACGCGGTTACCTGGCTTGACCGCCTTGAATGTGACATTGTAGATGCCATACGAAAGACGAATAAACTTTTAGAATTTTTATTTTACCAGGTAAGGCCCACTGAGTTACTGTCGCTCTTTTTTAAAAGCGCCCTCACTATCACAAATGACAGCTCAACGAAGTGGCTTATCGTGTCATTTGTCATCGCTCTGGGCAGATCAATGAACCGCGTCCCTCCCGCCTGCGGATGCCTCCGATTGGCTACGTACGGTGCGAAAGAAGTTCAACACAGTACCAATACCAATACTAAGTGAGGACGACGTCACCTGTGGGAGGTCAGATGCACTTTGATGCCATATGAAGTGTCGAAGGCTCGCTGACAGCAGGGCACGGGACAGACCTGGGTGCAATGAGTCGGCAGACTGAGATGACCGGCAGATGCACACCACCTGTGCCCCCTACTGTGCCAAATCGCTGTATTTTAGCCGCCCGGCGCTCCGCTCATTGTTGTGAGCGTCGCTGCTCCGCCCTTCGTTGTTTTTGGAGGGCGACTGACCAGTAGCATCGTGGACCCTCCCGTGATTCGCAGCAAGCCATGCACTGGTGGGCCCAGTTGATGCTGTACACAAAGTTATTGCCACACAGGAACCACAACACCTCGCTGATCTCGTCAAGGAGTATAACCACCACCACCATCACGTGAACTCCGGCGGTGGTCATCCTCGCAGCGGCGGCTTTTGGATGCCCATCGGACAAAGACGGTCACCGCATCGCCCGCTTTCAGATGCGCTTCTATGGACGTCTGGAATGCTCTTCCTCTCGATATTAGGAAACCACTGGAGCTATGCACGTGTCCATCATCCAGATTGAAAATTAATTTCTTTAGAACTGCATTTGTTTGTTGTCCTTCCCCACACCTCCGATTCGCGCGGTTGGCAACGTACGGTGCGAAAGAAGTTCAACATCTACACGTGAATGGTGCCAGTGCCCCTTCCCTTGCAGGGCCATATTTGCCCTCCTGGATTGGCTTTCGATGTTTCGGCAGTTCACCCAAAATGGTTCAAGCAAAACTTTACTGCTGATGAGAGACACTGAATGTGAAACCGACCCAGAGGTTGTTTTTGTACCGAACCAATCAATGCTACGTGACTTCACCGAAATAACCAAGAATATGAACCAATGCTGCTGAAATTAACTCCCCAGAAAGCCATGTGGCTGATGAGATGTGTCAAATTGGACTTTTTTATGCGGACAAATATTGTAAGGAGATAATTGTCTGATAATAAATTAAATAAATTAAAAAATAACAGCTTGCGTTGTCAAACAAGCGTGCCAATAATGAACGTCACCACACATTTACACCTTCCACTTCTCACAGCCCTCCCTGCCTCCCCCTCAGCATGACGCGCAGTTGGTTTCACCCACTCCGCGAGCCACCGGCGGCGACCGCCAAGGCGGGGCGAGCGCCTCAGCGGACGAATCCATCTCGCGCTCAAGCGAAGGGGGGGGGGGCTGCGCGAACCAATCGAGGCGGAGGCGGCCCAGGCGGCTCAGAGGGCCTGACGCGGGAACTCCGGAGCCGCGCAGTGGCAGCAATGGCCGCCAGCGCGAGGAGCAACAATGGCAGTGGAGGAGCGGGCTGCTCGCGCGTGATCGTCATCGACATATCCTCTGACGAAGACGAAGAGCCTCCCGTGGCTAAGAAGGCAGCGGCTGTGGTTACAACAACAACAACAGCAGCAGCGGCAGCGGCGGTAACGACGGCGGTGGCGGCCGTGGTGGATTCAACAACAACAGCGGTGGCCGTGAAAGAAGAGATGAAGACGACCGCTGGTCAGAGACTATTCGCTGAGGTGAGGACGGGTGGTGGAGGCGACTTGGTGAAGGTTTCCACCTCACGGGGTTCTCCTGGGAATCTCCTCAGCCTCCCCCTCGTCTTGCTGGGGGAGGGGGGGGTCTCGGTAGGTCGGACACCGCCGCTGTGGCTGAGGGCCGGTGGAGGCAGATCCTACGAGAAGGTTCTAATGATGATGATTTTGGCCATCATCTTCATGATCTTGGTCGTTATCATTACACAGGTGGTGGTGGTGGTGATCGTGGTAGCAGTGGCTGGCGATCAGCGAGGATTTTGACACTTTCTTGGACTTGTTTTGCACTTGTGACGATGACGGTCGTGAGGGCTTTGACTGCTTGGCACTTGTCTGACATGACGATGCATCTGCTGCTCAATGTCGAACTTCTTTCACACCGTACGTAGCCAGCCGCGACGAGCCCAGAGTAATCGGCTTCTGAAGACTCTGATGGTGGTGGTGGTGATGTGGGGAGGGGAGTCGAGCGGTGAGCTCCGAGGTCGTTTCCCGCTCACCGCCAACACCGCCAGTGACGATTATCTCAACCGGTCCTGGGCCTCCCCTAGGTCGACTCGGCCTTTAATGAGTACCTGATGCGGTGTGTAAAAGAATCAGTCACTGGGGAGACAAAGGCGGCCGGGCGTGGTGCTTGCCCCCCTCATCCTCTGGTGTACCGTTTCAGCCTTCATAGGTGTTGCCCCAACATGCTGCTAAGACTACGGCGGATCTTTGTCTTTGATGGTGACATGATGGCATTGACTGATGGTTGGTGGTGGTGGTGATGATGAGGTGGAACCACAAAGGCCTCTAGCTCGGTCGTTCTTCACTGGCGGGCCCCGACAATACACCCCATCGTCATCATCATCATCTTCCTGCTGTCAAATACAATAGTTTTAAATGGTGTGCCCCCCCCCCCCCGGCAATTAGTGAAGAGCTCTGCTCTAGAGAGATCGGACCACCTCCTGAACTTGGCCGCATTGTCAACGTCAACAGCCTTGACGTGACTCCACTCGAGGGATCTCCAAGGGAGCCCCTTTCGCAGGGGTTATTGGGCTACTCCAAGTTGGCCAGGCGTCTTGGGATCGCTAGGCTTTAACCACACTCCACCCCATCACACGAGACCTGATTATAATCGTCGCTATTATTCTCCAAGAGTTCTTACTAGTGTAGTGCCATAGGAGGGGAGGGGCTGCTGGGGGGGGGGTCCCACACTACTGTAGTGTCAACTCGTCTCACGTTATCGCCTTTTTGTATTCGTTGCCATTTTTTTATTTAGCGAATGCTATTTCACTCCACTTCCCACAGTCAAAACATCGTCGCCATGATCACTGCTAGTTAAGTCATCGGTTTCTGAAGATTCATTTTCTTTAATTTACTCTCCAGCAACTCTGAATTGTCCTTGGTAAGTTAAATTGGTGCACGTTACAAATGTAGTACGGTAATGAGTGAATAGGAATGGATTCCCAGGACTGACAGGGGCTTGTTAAGAGGAGGGTGTTGGTGCCCAACCACACGCTCGTATGAGCCTGAGAGAAAGACAACTCGATGACTAACTTTTTATTTTACCAGGTAAGGACCCAATGAGCTATTAGCTCTGGCTATTACAAACTATATCTCAATGAAGTGGCCTATCCCTACCTTGAAATGTATAGCAGCCAAATACTGTAAACGCATGATTCTAAATGTGGAGGGGAAAATCTGAGGACCTGGAGACAAATCCACGAACAATGGCGAACACGGTGGGACATGCGGACGTCCAGGATAAAAACGCCTCGTTCGAGACCCAAACATCGCACTCCCTGGCTCTTTGACATTTCCCTTAAGGTCCACCTCGGTGGGAATTCATCTGCATCAACACATTAACAGGCCGATACATACATCTCCTTAATAAATGTAACATTAGATAAGCAGCCATAGCAATGCGACCAGCCATGCAACCCAAACTATGTACCAAATAGAAAAACGATATGAACTCTCTCTCCTTACGCCTTCTTGCGTGGCTTGCAGCCCTCGACGATTGCATTCAACGTCTTGAACATTTGCCATTTGCAAGAACAGAATACAGGCGGACTCCGGTTTAAGACGATCCACATTGATGACATCTATATATATATAACGCAATCTTTTGCCGTCTTAAGGACGGTGTGTATTACCATACATCTGAAATTTGAAGTTGGAAAGCAGGTCAGGCGGAGTAATTCAATCGCCCCCCGGTGTGAATTTTAACGCCCGAAGAACGGTGAAACCGACTCTTTCATTTAAGGGTTAATTCCCACGTCTCATCATGACGTCCTTTTTACTTCTATGTCTCAACAGCGCTACGGAGATCGCGTGACGTGAGGGTTCTGCCTTCGTAGTGAGGCTTGTAAGTTGACGCTGAGGAGGGGGGAGGAGGCGCCTCGCCCCCCCATGTGGAGTGACGTCACCCGCAAATTATTATTAATTGTGGGGGGTGTCCATTTGGAGGACGTCACCTGCTCAATTATTTATGAGGGGGGTTCTCCATGCGAAGGGACGTCACCCGCTTATGATTATTAATTAGGGGCGGGTCCATGTGGAGGACATAACCTGTTCATGACTATTAATGAGGGGGGCTGGTCGACATGGAGTGACGTAGTTCAGCAAGACTAAATCCGTAATTGCATCTTGACATTTTGATGAATGGTAATGGTCATTGTCTATTTGGAGGCCTTAAAATCAGAGCCTGGAGTGGTGTGTAGTAAACATCAGAACTGGGGAGACAAAATCATAATCGGAATATTTGTTTATTCGAGAGGAATTCCGACGGGCTATAAAGCTCTTTTTAACAGATGCCCAGTAGGGGGCGGGTCAAAAAGCTCCAGCAACAAACAATACAACAACACAAGAGGAGTGCAAAGTATAGGAAAGGTAAGCAAATCAATTAAAACATTAACTCTTTATCAGGTCAAGCCCACTGAGCTATTAGCTTCATTTTCAGAATTGACCTGGCCACAAAATGATAGCTCAACGAAGTGGCTTATCACGTGGAAATTTATAGTAGCCAAATAATCTATGTAATATAAACACCGGGAGCTGTGCCGGCGTGGTGCTGGCCACCCACCTACCCGGTTGTTTTCCGTGCCAGCCTTCATAGGTGCTCGCTAACAGTGCTTGCACACACAGTCTGTGAAGTCTGTCACTTGCTGACCCGGCCCTACTGGACATCTGTGAAAAAATTGCCTCATAGCTCATTGGATTCCTCGAGGATAAATACAGATTCTCAATCTGAATTCTACACATATGTATTTATTTATGTTGAACTTCTTTCGCACCGTACGTAGTCAACCATGCTAATCGGAGGTGCAGGGGAAGGATAACAAATTAAAAAGCATTTCTAAAGAAATTAGTTCGTCAATCTATATGATTTAAAAGTGCACAGCTCCAATGGCTTCCTAATATCGGAAGGAAGAGCGTTCGAGGCATCCGCGGAAGTGCATCTGAACGCGTGCGATGTGGTGACTGTCTTTGTTCGATGGCTAGCCATAAGCCGCCGCTGCTGCTGCTGCGAGGAGTTTGCGTCATGGTTTACGCTGCTTGACGAGATTGGCAAGGTGTTGTGGTTAATTTGTGGAAAGTCCTCTGTGTAATGAGTGCGACCTTCCAACGCAATCGTTCGTCAACCGGAAGCCAACGCAGCTCGGCGAGCACCGGACAGACGTGGTCGGACCCTGCAGTACCCGTAACGCCACACGTACACACACGGTGGGTGAATCTCCATCTTTGTTTCTTGTTCGTGGGCACAGTTCCTGGAGGTGTGCGCACGCGTCGCCCACAAGCACCCCGAGGTGCTGAGCTTCCTCAGGGCGAAGTACGCCAACACCACTGCCGCATTTAAGGAGTCGGCGGAGTTGCGCGCCGTGCTGCGCCGCTACGTGCGCAAGATCTCGGAGAAGCCGTCGCGCACGTACGTTTACATCAACGAGGTGGTGGCGGTGCTCAAGGCCAACGCTCAGCGCAAGCGTCCTCGCGGTGAGTGGCGGGCAGGCGAGGGGCGGGCGGGAGCTGCGGCTTCTTCTCCTTCTTCATTCGCGCGACTAATGTAACTTTAAAGCTAAACTATTTATTTTAGCTGCTAAGGCCCACTGAGCCATATAGCTGTTTTAAAAAGCAACCTGGATATCACAAATAATAGCTCAACGAAGTGCTTATCATAATGTGAAAATGTATGGCAGCCAAATACTTTTAAACATGCAAATTCTAAATATACAGGCGTCAGGAGGGGGATTGAACCCACGACCCCCAATATACCAGGAGAGGGAGTTAACATCTCGACACCGCAGATGCACGGCAACAACTACAATTTAATATGCAGGTGGTCAAGCCAGATAACCGCATCAGGAGAAGCGGAATGTATCGCTGTGGTGTCTCCTTCGTATTTGTGAATTGGGCATTGCATCGTTACATGTTGTACGTTTTGTTCGAGATGACTACAGGTATCCGCATCTGCCATGGTTTGTGCAGTGGATGCGATTTAGGGTGCTCCATGAGCAATCGTGGAAGATCAAACCCAGGAATCATCTGTTTTGGGTCTTTCACAGGTTGATTGCGAGTTGTTTTGAACTCTATTTGTTCAGCTCTCCAGGCTCCATCGAGGTTGAATTTGCATTGTTCAAGGTTAAGCGCACGGGTCGAAAGGGCTCACGTGACTGTAAGCGATGACGAGGGACGTGATTGAGGTTACTGATGAATGGGAAGGCGACCATTTTCCTCGATTCACAGGATTTCCGGGAGGGTTACAGCGTTCCGGTGGATGGGTGGGGGAGAGATGTGTAATAGCAGCTTGAACCCCCCCCAACCCCCCCGATGAGATGTACGGAGTGTCTCAATGTTGAGCTTGAACCAGCACCGCTGACAATCCTGGATTGGAATCTGGGTGCCGACCGCCTGTGATTTAAACCGGGCTCTCGTCAAGCGTAGAGAGTCGCTAGTCTCAACCCGGTCGCCAATGACTGCATGATTACATCCATCAAATTACATTTTGTACTGCAACTATTATTGTTGTTGTTGGTTTTGCCAGCCAGCGTGAGAATCTGCGGTTGTGCCTTCTGTGTTTTCTGGTTGTACTGCCACGACGTGTTGTTCGGCACACGTCCGACATTCCGCTCCACCTGCTGGGAGCTTGTCCAGGAACTGAACTAAGCAGTTCTCCCCGGTAATATTACTCAACTGCCGTCGAACACAAGTTTTTTAGTTCTGTTCCTGAATAAGCAAGTGGAGCGAAACGTTGGTCGTCATTCCAAACAACACGCAGCGCTACCGGAAAATACACATCGGGGCAGCTGCAAATGTCGCTTGCCCTTCGACGAATTGTCGCGAACAAACGGACCCGGAGCCCTCGCCAACCCGAGCCCTCGTTCCACCTCCCCTCCCTCCACCGTCTTGGCACAGAGGATGCGTCGTCGGCAAGTGGCGGTGAGGCGCCGGCGCAGAGTGGAGGTGGCGACGAGGCGCCGGCGCAGAGCGGCGGTGGCGGTGAGGCGCCGGCGCGGAGCGGCGGTGGTGGCGGGGTCGACTCGTCCGAACCGGCGGTGAAGAGGCCCCGGGTGAACGACGCGGCGCACAGCAACGGTGGCAGCGGCGGCGGCGGTGATGATGGCGGCGGCGGTGCCGGTGCCAGCGGTGGTGGTGGTGGCGGTGGTAAAGACGATGCCAAGGCTGGCACGGCGGATGGGGCTAAACCGCGTGCTTCTCGGCGTCAGATTGAGAGGCTGGAGGACCTGCTGCGTCTCTACAACCGCGAGATTCAGCGACTCCAGGTGCGATTCACCACAGGGTTGGGGAGGGGGGGGTAGGTGGCTCGGCAGGTTATCTTTGGCAGTACAGATGGCAATCCCTCGAGTGAATGGGTGGGGAGAGGAGATGGAACAGCTATCCCTCGATTTTCCATGAATCTATATATATAAAATCGCGAATCTGTCTGTCTGTCTGTGTGTGTGTCGCCGGACCATACGCACTTTCATTGGACGGCGGTTGCCCCTGGCAACGGATAGCGACGCCTTCGCCGCTTTCATTGGACGGCGGTTGCCCCTGCCAACGGGTAGCGACGCCTTCGCCGCGGGCTGCAGTTTCATTGGGCGGCGGTTGCCCCTGCCAACGGGTAGCCACGCCTTCGCCGCTTTCATTGGACGGCGGTTGCCCCTGGCAACGGGTAGCGACGCCTTCGGCGCGGGGTGGACGCCATTTTTAATTCCCCTTAAAAATAGGCGCACGCATTAACACGCGACTCTGACGTTAATTCATCAAAGTTTCACATCCTCTTCACTCCCCCCCCCCCACCACAATGTGTGCAATTACTATTATAGGGTCGGTAGATTATAAAATTATAGCGATTAGACTGTATTATTGTAGGGCGGGGGGGGGGGGAACGGCACCCGTACCCAGCGTCAGCCAGGTGGGAAAATCAGGCGAGGCCGGAGGCTCTGCACGGTGCTAGGCCTCGACACCCACCACGCGACTCTGAGGTAAATTCATCAAAGTTTCACGTCCTCTACAGAGCGGTGAGGGAGGGAGAGCGGTGAGGGAGGGAGAGCGGTGAGGGAGGGAGAGCGGTGAGGGATGGAGAGCGGTGAGGGAGGGAGAGCGGTGAGGGAGGGACTCAGCCTCAAAACGAGTAACTGGTGTGGCGTATTAACATCGCCACTGGGGAGACAAAGGCGGCCGGGCGTGGTGGATACAAGTCCCGGGCGAAGCCGGGTAGTACAGCTAGTTAAATACAAAAATATAAGGAATCCATTTCAGACAGTCATTTCAACTGTACTCCTAACCTAAAAATACAATATACCTCCATAATTTTTCACAATACAATAATAAGAAAGAACATGAATATTAAAACGATAGGCTCACAATTAATTATTTAAAACACTTTTCGGGAAACTCTCCAAAGGATCTGCTGCATGTTGGAATCTCTGGCAAGGTAGCGGCGTTATTGCTGTCGCTGCCGGGACACCGTAACGCTGTCGCGGATGGATGATGCAGCCTCCTGGGTGGCTTCTTGTTTGATGGTCTTGTGGCGCGTGCCGTAGAGAAATTTCGTTCGCGCAGAAATTCGATTTCGTTAATCGAAAATTGTCCATAATTTGTTAGTTGTGTTCACGCGAATTCGTAAACGAAGAGTCTGTTAAGGCTACCCAGGGGATCTGTGTGTATGTGCTAACAGTAGTGGCTCCAACAGTCTGTGAGAGGCGACAAAGGGGAGATGAGTGTTTGTGTGTGCTGAAAGCACTTGCCTCAGCAGTCTGTTAGAGGCTACACGGAGGGCCTTTGTCTTTGCGTGTGTGCGTGCAGGAGCGGGAGCTGGATCTGGACGAGCTGGGCCGCAATGACTCGTCCTACGTGCAGGAGCACCAGCTGAAGCGCAAGATCATGAGCATCTTCTCGCGGCTGTGCGAGCTTAAGGGCTGCACCAACATGACGGGGCGGGTCATCGAGCAGAGGCTCTTCATCAAGTGCACGCGCCACCCTGAGGTCAACCGCCACGTGGAGCGGCTCATCAACAAGCCGGGCTTCTTCCCCGACCTGCAGGTGCCGTTGCCCGCGCTCGCACGTTCACGTTCACACACCGCAACGACAAACGACAACGTCAACAGCCGCGGTGGCGAGATGTTATCTCCCCCGCCTGGTGTGCGGGAGATCGTGGGTTCGATCAGAACCCTGACGCCTGCTGTATATTGCTATGGGTACGTACATATATATTGGAGTTTGCGTGTCTCTCTCCCCGTGGTCGTGTACATTTTTCTCCGGGTCCCCTGGATTTTCCTTCCAAATTTAGAACTAACAAGCATTTCGATTATTTGGCTGCTATACATTTCCACGTGATAAGCCGCATTCATTGAGCTTTCATTTGTGGTCAGGTCGCAACTGATAAAAGAACTAATAGCTGAGTGGGCTTTACCTTGTAAAATTAAAATAGTTTAGTTCATAATTTATCCGCCTTTCGCCACTAAGTGGTGGTGATGTCACCATGGTACTTGTGTTAGGCCTTCTCACTTTGAGACTCGCTGCTGCTGGCAGGTCACGGGACACTCAGGTAGTGGCATGGGTTAACGAACTGAGATCACCAGCAGAGGCACTGTGCCCGATACTTTTCCAGCTTGCTGCGTTTTATCCGCCCGGCGCTCTGCCTCCTCCAATCATCGGTGCTTGCTAATGGCACTTTCCCCGACGGTCTGTTAAAGGCTACACGGGGGATTGATTAGCGTGGTTGGCCACGTACGGTAAAACTTTATCTTTTTGGTGGCCTGCAGGATGTGAAGGGAGTGGTGCGTGCAACCAACCAGCGCTACAACCTCGGCCTGTCTCCCCGCGAGGTCCACAACGTCTCCCTTGACGCCTTCCGGTGAGAATCCCCTGCCCCCCCCCACCACAATTCGCCGCTCCACGACAATTAACGATGCTAATGAACACCCCCGGTGTTCACGCCACCCTTGGGGTGTGCGGCTATCGCGAAGGCCGCTATGTTATAAAAAAGAGTGAATTCAGAGGGGAGCGACGATTGCTCTTTGTGTAATCCCCATTGCGTAATGAATTCGCGGTGCAACTTTGTCAATTTTTGGACCGCGACGTTGGCCCACCCATTTCGAATGACGACCAGGAGGGTTCTTTAGCGTCCACGATGAAGCAGATGGCGTGTGCGTGCGTATTTCATGGTTGACGCGCAACGCAGTATTAACCAGGGCGGATTGCCAGATTCTACTCGCAAGCCTCTGCAGCGACCGCGCGACTGCCGGAGCCATTCGTTCACCCGAGCCATCAACTTTCCGTCCCCTTGTTGCTAAGTTGTCAAGTTCTCTCACGGCACTTGCTCCGACACTCTGGTAAAGACGATAGGGCGTCTTTGTGTTTATATGGGTGTCTTTGTGTTTATATGGGCGTCTGGGAGCAGTCTGCATGTATGCTGTAGCGGGGTGCAGCAGGTTCGTACGCTGCACCATAAATCCGGCTCAGAGCCACCACCAGTGACAATTTTCTGACAAGGTCCTGGGGCCTCCTCCCCGAGGGAGGCATTGTGTTGGCGACCCTACCTTATCGTGACCCGTGTGCCGGCCATGATAGGTTGCTGCTCGCTAACAGCGCTTGCCTATTGAAGGCCACACGGAGGATTTCTTTCTTTGCCTTGACCGCATACGCAGCGAGGCATGCACCAAGCTGCAGGAGCGACGGCACCTGGATCTGGTGTACAACTTCGGCTGCCACCTAACGGAGGACTTCAAACCCTCGTGCGACCCGGCCCGCTACGACGGCGAGCTGGAGGCCAAGCTGCGGCGCAACCGCATCGTGGCCCTGCAGCACCTCGAGGACGTGGTGAACAAGTACGCAGAGCTGGTGAGCTCCCCCCCCCCACACACACCCCCACCCCCACACCACGTGTAGTGTGAACACGCGTTAAACGGGGGGATTTGTGTGTATGCAAGTATGTTGAACTTATTTCGCACCATACGTAGCCAACTGTGGAAGTGGAAGTGCGGCGGAAAGGGCAACAAACTAAACAGAAAAAGCAGTTTTTAAGTAAGTGAGTTTGTCGATCTAGATGATGACGACTTAAAAGTGCATAGCTGCCGGTTGCTTCCTCATATTGCAAGGAAGAGTGGTTCAGACGGCCGCAGAAGCGCACCTGAAAGCACGTGATGCTGTGGCTGTCTTTGTTCGATGGCTAGCCAGCAGCCGCTGCGAATGTGTGTGGTGGTGGTGGTGCCGGGTCTCGTGGTGAGATTTACTCAACTAGCCGATCCTGCCGATTGAATCGGTAAACTCCGATTTTGAAATCCTTTTCTAGCCATACCGTGCTGCTCCGTAGACAATTCATGAATTTTTTTTTTTTGATCGCTGTGGCCAAATTGCATTCTTTCTGCTATATAAAATGTTAATGTATATTTTTTAATAGAGTGATTATCTTACATTTCCTGTACTTTGTACTCGTATCTTTTTAAAAATATATATATATTTTTCTAACTTTCTCACCCACCCCGACTGAGCATTGGTGAAAAAGAGCTTCATAGCTCATTGGATTTCTCCAGGATAAAATAATTATTCGGATTCTGATGAACCGAATTTGCCAAACGTGTGCACATGGCGTTCTGCCGGCCATGTAAACCACTCGTTGCGGGGACGGTCCGTTACGAATCCGTTGTGAGTTCCGGGATTAGTCTCCCCGGCCTTCTTGCGGGATTGGTGCGATCTGCAGCGCTTGTTGGAGGTCGCTCCACCTCCCGTCGCCGGTGTGCGCCCGTGCCGCCTACTGGCCTTGCCGCGGGCGCTCAGAACCCGCTCGCCTCGCCGAGACGTCGGCTCCGTCTCTTGCTCTCACCGCTACATCTGCCCACGAGTACCGTCGGAACATTTCGGCTATTTGGTCGGCGACCTTGCAGCGGCTTGCCGTGTGACGACGCGGTGAACGTTGTCGTCATGTATGTTGAACTTCTTTCGCACCGTACGTAGCCAACTGCGCTATTATTATTAATAATGACAATGGAGGTTCCGCGGTTGCGAGATTTTCACCACTACGCCTGCTATACAGGAGTTTGTGGGTTTGATCCTGACCCTGATGCAGCTGCATATTTGGAGTTTGCATGTTCTCCCCGTGGTCGCGTGGATTGTTCTCCGGATCCTCTAGTTTTTCCCTCCAGATTTTGAATCGCCATGCGGTTAGATTATTTGGCTGCTATACATTGCAACGTGATAAGCCACTTCGTTGAGCTGTCATTTTGTGGCCAGATCACTTCTGAAAAAGAAGCCAATAGCTCAGTGGGCTTTACCTGATAAAATAACGAGTTTATTTTTAAAAGTAATTGCTTATCTTTCCTATACTTTGCATTCCTATTGTGTTTTTGTTTTGTTTGTTGTTGTAGCTTTCTGACCCGCCCCCTACTGGGCATCGGAATCCTCGAGTATAAATGAATATTCCGATGATGATTCTGTCTCCCCAGTGCTGATGTTTACTACACACCGCTATCATTTGTGGTCAGGTCGCTTCTGAAAAGAAGCTACATAGCTCGGTGGGCCTTACCTTGAAAATACAAATAGTTGATCGTGAGTAACAATAAAAATAATCGTGATTGTTATTTCCCGATCCGTTCTCCGTGTCTGTCGGTGTCCCGGTCCGCAGGAGATTCCAACTAGCGAGCCGGACAAGCAGGAGCCGGACAGGCGAGACGGCCGGGATAGCCAGGGCAGCAAGGACAAACAGCCTCGCCGCTTGAAGTTGCTTCCGTCCACCTCGGCGGCGTCCACCTCGGCGTCCACCTCGGCGTTCACCTTGGCGTCGGCGCTCGCGAGCGACGGCCACCTCGACCCGGATCCGGACGAGGAGACGGTGACCGTCGTGCCACTGTCCCCTCGCCCACGCGAGCTCAAGGGGCAGGAGGAGCAGCAGCAGCAGCGGCAGGAGGAGGGGAAGCAGGGCGATGAGGCGGATGACCATGACGATGACGAAGAGGATGAGGACGAGGAAGATGAGGACGATGAGGACGACGAGGACGACGATGAGGAGGATGAGGAGGACGATGAGGACGACGAGGACGAGGAGGACGAGAGCTCCGAGCCAGATGTGGACATGGAGCTGGAGGGGATGGAAATAAACGGAGGTGAGGGTGCATTGCCCCAACACAGAGTTGCTTTCCCGTTCAAGTGAGCGTTGAGACATGGGTGTGCATCTCCCGCTTTACAGTGCCGAGCCAGCGGTGTCAATGCCACGCTCGTATGGCAGAGGTGAGGCAATCCGTAGGACAAGCGTTTTTGACTTTCCCACAAACTTGTGCCCTTTTCTTCGACTCCTGCCGAGATGGCGAATCACCCCCCCCCCCCCCTCCACCACCGAATCAGGATTTGAACTCTCAACCTTTCAATTGCGTGCCGCTCGCTCTGCCGCTGAGCCGCCTCGACGCTCATGGAGAATGCATTGTTCGCAAAGTCCCCCCCCCCCCACCTTGAAACTCGTGGAGACTGAGCCTGTGAAACACAGCAGAGCCTTTCTTTGTGATAACAATAATAACCTTTATTTTATAAAACGCCTTTCATGTTGAAATATCTCCAAAGCGCTGTACGTACAAGTAAAACTCCAATCACTGTCCCTGCACTTATTAGATTTGAGTGATTACCATATGTACTAAATTATTGTTTTTAGTGAAATGTGTGATGATGCACCGTTTAATCCAGGGATGATGTTCGACTGGTAGCTGTCCTGCCACATCTCGCGTGTGTGGGCTCTTGGGGGCTTGTGTTCTTATTTGCAGCTTGGTCTATTTATTCATAATACTTAACAAATCACTTACCCAGTAGAGCCACACTCAGTCGTAGGACTCTTTTTCAGGATGGTCCTGCGTTGGGTTTTTATTTCAAGATCTTTTGAGCCAATTACTGAGTGCCCATTGTACAAGTGGGGGGAGGAAAGCGGAGCTCCCGGAGAAAACCCCCCGACGCCTTGTGCGAGGGGGCAATGCTTTATCCTCCATACATATTAGTCCACTTGCTGTACCGCCCTCTCCTGGCGACCCAGGGATGTGGCAACGCGTTGCCCATGGGAAGGGAGTTGAGCAACGTTTGTGCGGTGATCCACCAACCCTTGCCGATGCCTCCACGGCGCTGGGTTACAGGCAGCCGCGTGCGGCGGCGTAGCCCCTTTCACCGCCCAGCTTCTGGCCTATGACGCGGCTCAGGTCAGGCGTGAGCCGCTCAGTTACTCCAATAAAACGTTAACCATTAACGTTATGCATTATATAGTTTTGCATCAAACTGGGACCCATATCTTCATACATGGAGAAGCGTCTTTGCCTATAAACATCTGGCAGTTCACCGGTATTGGTTCAAGCACGCCGAACTGCTGACGAGACACTTAATGTCGAAACCAATCCAGCACTCCCAGAAGCCCGTGTGGTTGATGGGATGTGTAATTATTTATGTTATTTTCCTGGAGGAATCGTTACATGGAGTGGCCTAACCGATAAGCAAAGTGTTAGTTTGTTTCTCAGTCCGTTTGTCCAGGTGAGGGGTCGCGGTGGTAGCACGTTGAGTCGGACGGTTCAGACCTCCTTGGCGACAGATTCCAGCTCTTCCTGGGGAATCCCCGGGCCTTCCCACCCCAGCTGAGCGACATAGTCCCGCCAGCATTTTCTGGGCCGGCCCCGGGGTCTTCGCCCAGTAAAGTGTCATTTTGTTGAATTTGGCGTGCGGATGATTGTTTCATCCGTCGTGTTGCTTACGTCTGGTATCTGGCGTGACGCTCTTCGTATTTGGATGTATTTATGGATGGATGCCCCAAGTGGCAAGTGGTGCATTCCCCACACCAGGTGAGTATATTCATCAACTCGCACTGACCGGCCTGGCAAAGTATGCTCACGTAGCTTTAACGCAGCTTCAAAGCACTGTCCTCGGTCACCTGCCGCCCTGAATTCACCAAATACGATGCCAGCGGGGGGTAGGCGAAAGGGACCGTCAAGCCTGATGGCACGTCCACCGTGGAAATGCAGCGATGAAATCGGCCGTATGTGCAGGTACGAGAGGTGGATTAATCACAGATTTGTGAGGGATGGTTATTATAGCCACTGTAGATATGGCTCGTAGAGGCTTTTATCCAGCAGTAGATTGATGATGACTGGATGCAAGTCATGTATTAGTTGTTGCTTGGATGTGGTTCTTTTGAATCATCTGGTTGGATTAATTCGGTTGCTTGTGTGTGTGCTTGACATATCTAATCCAGTTCCATCTGTCCAGTTGATTCTATTTATGTAGCATCCTCTTGTGTCTGTTTGCATCCACCCTGTTTCTTGTATTAGGCAAATGTATATCCATACATGAATAGTTGGTTGCAACCTATTGGTTGCTTTATCTGGTTGACTCGTCACACCTAGATGCATTCATCTGCCTGCTTGAGCCCAGTTTTTAATCTGAATTTTAGTGAAATCTGGATATTTGTTTCTGGTTAATCTGATTTCGTGTATCTGGTAAAAATCTGACTTGGAGTAGATTGAGTCTGGTTGCTTACATTTATGTTTAATTGAAACTAGTTGCTTGTACCTGTCCAATCTGGTTGCTCAGATATTCTAATGAATTCTGATTATGCTCAGACACCCAGTAAATGTATGTATGTTGAACTGCTTTCACACCGCACGTAGCCAACCGTGCTAATCGGAGTTGCAGGGGAAGGACAACCGAAAGAACCAAAGAGTAAGGAGAGTAAACTAACCATAAAAACAAGGAGTCTAAAGAACTTAGTTTTCGATCTAGATGATGATTTAAAAGTGCATAGCTCCCAGTGTCTTCCTAATATCGGAAGGAGGGCCTTGAACAAGTTTTTTAGCAGTAGGGGGCGATGTTGCTACTGTGTTTGTGTGTGTGTGTATGATCCCGATTGAGTAATTTGCAGTGTAGTTTTTCAGCATTGATATTATTTTGGCCAATACGCTATGGGAGTAGGAAACGTGGAGGAAGCCCATGCAGGACAGGGGGAGAATATTCAGCCACCATACAGAAAAGCGCCCGAGCCTGGAGTAGAACCCACCCCCTTCTTGCCCGGAGACACGAGCGCAAGCAGCGTGACCACCACCCTGCCGCCTATGAATGTGCTTCATTTGTTCTGGTTGGTGTGCAGCCGATTGAGTCCGGTTTGTATTCACTTTTTTTATTATCTTGTTGCTTGCGCTTGGTTGCAGGCAAGAACTACGATGAGGAGAAGGAGGGAGAGGATGGAGAAGAAGAGGGGGAACTGAAGCCATCCGAGAGCGAGGAACCCACCTCGCCCCACGACTCCGTCTCCAGCAAGGAGGCCACCTCGCGGAGGCACCGAGATGGCTCCGCCAGGATCAACGGAGGCTCCGCGGCAGAGGAGGCGGTGCCGCTGAGCCCCGCAGCGGAGGAGGTGGGGCCACAAAATTCCACGGGGGTGGCGGCGGTGGTGGTGTTGACGCGGGTCTCCACGGAGGAGGTGGCGGTGCTCCTGAACCCCACGGTGGAGGTGTTTGCACGGACGGATGGCACGGAGGTCACGAGCACCGCTCCCAGGGTTGTCTCTTCGGGGGAAGTGAAAGACTGCATCTCTGTGATGGAGGTCAAAGACTGTGTCTCCAGAGCAGAGGTGAGAGACTCTGACCCCAGCACGGAGGTCCCAGATACTGTCTCTACAGCGGAGGTGAAAGAAGCCATCTCCACGGTGGAGATAACAGACGACACGGACTCCTCGGTAGAGTTTATGGACATTGATTCTGTGACAGATGTCACAGATGATGTTCCCATGGCAGAGGTCACAGATATTGCCTCGACGGCGGAGCTCCTGCAGAGCGAGACTTGTGAGGTGGAGGAGTTGAAGGAACTGAACAGCCAGCCCCCAGCGGAGTTTGAGGAACCCACGGCAGAGCTGGGGCTGGCCGTGGAGCGACAGGAAAATGTGGCTCCGGAGTTGGGCTGTGGCAATGGAGGCCCCAAGGTGGAGCTGGTTGAAGGCCCCAAGGTGGAGATGGCTGAAGGCCCCAAGGTGGAGATGGCTGAAGGCCCCAAGGTGGAGCTGGTTGAAGGCCCCAAGGTGGAGCTGACTGGAGGCCCCATGGTGGAGCTGGTTGAAGGCCCCAAGGTGGAGATGGCTGACAGCCCCAAGGTGGAGTTGTCTGAAGGCCCCAAGGTGGAGCTGGCTGGAGGCCCCAAGGTGGAGCTGGCTGAAGGCTTCATGGTGGAGCTGGCTGGAGGCCCCATGGTGGAGCTGGCTGAAGGCCTCATGGAGGAGCTGGCTGGAGACCCAAAAGCGGACGAATCTTCTTGTTCAGCAGAGAGGCTCTTATCCACGGTGTGAGGCGCACGCACCTGCCACGTGGACGTCACGTGAACAACACGTGCACACGTGTCACGCACGTCTACACGTACACATTAACACGTACACACGTACACATTCACACGTACGCACGTACACACGTACACACTCACACGTAACACGTACACATTCACACGTACACGTTCACACAACACATACACATTCACACGTACACACGTACACATTCACACATAACACGTACACATTCACACAACACGTACACATTCACACGTACACACGTACACATTTACACGTACACACGTACACATTCACACGTACACATTCACACGTACACACGTACACATTCACACATAACACGTACACATTCACACAACACGTACACATTCACACACAACACGTACACATTCACACATAACACGTACACATATACAAAAAAACAAAGATCCCCATGTAGCCGTGAACAGTTTTTAGGGGCAAGTGCTGTTCGCGAGCACCTATGGCGATCGGCATGGCATTTCATTGGGGTGGGGTGGCCACCACCACGAGTGCTGTTGTTTACACACTGCACCATGTGCTCATTTAAGGCCGATTCAACTTAGAAGAGGCTTAGGACCGGTTAAAATATTCGCCAGGGCTATTATTTGTGAGCGGAAATCAAACTGGAGTCACCGGATTCATAGCAAAGTGCACTACCGCTGCCCACCATTCGCCACTAAGCGGTGGTGACATCACCGCAGCGGTCGTGCCGAGCTCTATGCACTTTGGGACCACGTGAGGCGTGGAAGGCTCTCGGCTAGCAGGTGGTCACGGGACAGACCCAGGTGCTCTGGGTTGACCGACTGAGATTTCTGACAGATGCACCAGCAGTGCCCCCCCCCCACTGTGCCAACATTTCGTCTGATCCTCCCCGGCGCTTCCCTCGTTGTGAGCGTCGCTCCTCGGCTCTCCGTTATTGTTGGAGGGCGACGTCCTCCGACTGCCCAGTCGCACATCCTTTATGAGCCTCCTCCACACAAGGTGGACATGCAAACAACACACGCCCATCCACACACAAGCACACAGACATACACACGCGCAGACAAACACTCGCTCGCACTCTCTCTCTCACACTTTTCACCGCCCAAGGATCCGCTGGACGCTATTTGATTGGTCTTTTGGTGTGATGACGTCACTGCCCCAGTCCCTGGCCGGGCTTGGCCCCCAAGCCGTAATTCAATGTCTTACGAAGCCAGCTCGGCATGGCTCGGTGTCGGCTCGGCTCGGCAAATAGCCGGTGGAAGAGTACCCGCATCGTGGTAAAGATGTTCCAGTATAAAAAGGTGATTAGTGAGGCTTTCTTGGTGTCTTGTAGGCGTCCAAGTCAGGACTGGCAGCTGAGAATGACGTCGCTGCCACGCCGAGTGGCAGTGAAGTGCTGGAGGAGGTCTTCGGGACAGAGATCCCCACCGTGGAGAGGGTTCCCAGCATGCAGGAACTCTCCAATTCAGAGGTCCCCAGAGCGGAGGAGTTCCCCAGCACAATGGAGGTCCCTGGCACGACGGAGGTCCCCAGCGCAGAGGAGGTCCCCAGTGCGGAGGAGGTCCCCGGCACGACTGAGGTCCCCAGCGCGGAGGAGGTCCCCGGCACGACGGAGGACCCCAGCGCGGAGGAGGTCCCCGGCACGACGGAGGTCCCTGGCACGACGAAGGTCCCCGACGCGGAGGAGGTCCCCAGCGTGGAGGAGGTCCCCAGTGTGGAGGAGGTCCCCAGTGTGGAGGAGGTCCCCAGTGTGGAGGAGGTCCCCAGTGCGGAGGAGGTCCCCAGTGCGGAGGAGGTCCCCAGCGCGGAGGAGGTTCCCAGCGCGGAGGAGGTCCCCGACGCGGAGGAGGTCCCCATATCTAAGGCGGTCCCCCTCATGGAAGAGGTCACCAGCACAGAGGAAGTCTCCGTCGTGGAGATCTCCAGCGAGGATGGCATTCCAGACAAATGTTTGACGGTGAGCCGATGGTGAAGGCTTGGCGGGTAACGACGCGCCTGTTGGCCCATTTAAAATCAGTTCTTGCGCTCACGGCGCACACGCTACATCGCGCTCCTACGAATTGTACGGCCGTGTTCTGTATATTTTTTCGATTTAAAACTTTCGTGACTGCAGGGATTGATCTTCTTGGTTCTTTCTGTAAAGTCACGTAGAAGGGAAATGAAAAAAAATACAAATTTATGTTTTTAAAAAGTTTTATTTTTATTATTTTATTATTTCCCTTCTACGTGACTTTACCGAAATAACCAAAAAGGTGTTCTACGTATTATAACATGCTCCGAAAAGTGATTGAGGTGCATCCCCAATTTTTGCCATTAAAATACAGGAAGGAAATGTATTTAATAATCCAGAGAATACATGATTACACGCACGCATGTGGGCGCTTGTGTGTGGATGTGTGTGGCGTAGCGGGTAGTGCTCCACGCTACGAATCAGGCGACCCGCGGTCGATTCTCACTCGCGACCAACACCAGTGACGTTAACCTGAACCAGTTCTGGGCCTCCCCTAGGTCGACACTGCCTCAAATGAGTACCCGGTGCGGTGTGTAAACATCGCCACTCGGGAGAGAAAGGCAGCCGGGTGTGGTGCTGTATTACTTTAGGATAAATACATGTAAATTTTTATTCATATGTCGTTTTTTTCTGACTTTGTGTGAACGAAAAGACACAAATTCGCCCGTTTTCTCATTGAAAATGGATACATTTCAAAATATCACTGTCCTGGTCACAAAAGCAAAGTTTGTGGGGAATAACAATGGCCATTTTCTGTAGTTTTGAGGCGTAAGCAATTAGGAGATAACACTTCCTACCCAGGAACAAAACAAAATTGTTGTTACACAGTGTAATCCAATACCGTGGAGGCGAGGGTTGTGGATCACACAATTGTTGTCAAACTGCCTTCCCCGTGAGCGTCGAGGTGCCGTACCCAGCAGCAATGTGAACCAATCTTACTTCACCTGTACAGGGACAGAGTGTTACCCACTCGAAAGCGTGCAATTTCTCCGGTCGCCGTTCCTTGCTTGAACACATCTTAACGTACCGTGTGTGGCTCCTTCTTGAGGCAATCTTCGAGGGTGGCGATCAAACGCCGGCGCTGCCACCGACAAGTGCCCAAGCTCTTCGATCCTATAACGGGAATTTGAATCTTTCTTTAAACTGGAGGAATCCGACATTTGGCCATCTCGGCAAACGAGAGTAAACTACTTTTATTTTAAATCTTGACCTAAAGCGTTCGTGACTGCTGGAATTCATATTCTTTGGGTCTTTCGGTAAAGCCACGGAGATAGAAAAATGTTGTTATTTTTCTATCTCCGTGGCTTTACCGAAATGTTATTTGACCAGGGAAGGCCCACTGAGCTACGTAGCTCTTTCTACAAGTGACCTGGCTACCACAATTGATAGCGCAACGAGAAGTGGCTTATCATCATCATCATCATCATGTGGATCTTTATAGCAGCCAAATACTCTAAATGTGGAGGGAATACCCGAAGGACCCAGAGAAAAATTCACACAACCACGGGGAGAGAGACACACATCCAAATATATAGCAGGCGTCAGGGTCGGGATCGAACCCACATCCTCCTATAGACCCGGCGAGGGAGTTAATATCTTGCCACTGTGGCACCCGCTCTGTGACCTCCCCTCCCCTCCTCCGGCGCCGCCGCCGCCCTCTTCCCTCGCAGCACCGGCTGGTGCCACCGCGCCCGTCGCTGCACGAGCACTCGTACAGCTCCTCGCAGACGGTGTCAGGGGGCCGGTCGGCCCACGCCGCGACGGCGCCACTCTGCTCCTCTCCCATCCAGTTGCAGCGTTCCGGCACCCGCAACTGGCAGATGGCGCTGGCGTTGTCGCCCATGAAGCCGGCGGGCGCGGTAACCGCCAAGGCGGTGCAGGTGGCGCCCATCCGGGTGCTGCCCGGCCCGCAGAGGCCCAAGCCGGTGCCCACACAGTCAGAGAGCGCGCCGTCGTTCCTGCAGGCCGGGGTGGTGCGGTGTGCGCACGTGGCGGTGGAGCGGGCGGCTGCCAACAGGTGTCCAACCCATTCCCTACCCACCACGGTGTCATTCGTGTTACACAGCGTCCCGTGTGTTACACAGCGTCCCGCGTGTTGCGTAGCTTTCGACGCGTTACACAGGCTCGGCGAGCCTTGCTAGGTAAAATAAAAGTAATAGTAGTAGGCCTACTCCATCTCCCGCGTTTAACGTCCCCCCCACCTCCCTTTCCGCCCCTGCCGGCTCCCCCCACCTCCCCCCCCCCTTCCCTGGCCAGCCACCAACAGCGGCTCAGCAACCCAATTCTTCTGGATCTCAGGGAGCTCCCTGGCCGCCCCCCGCTATCGGGGTCCGCATCGCCATCCAGGCTTTTGTCTGCCGCCGGCAAACCGTACAAGGTAAGGGCGCAGGTGGGCTGCCTCTCTCTCCCCCGTCATCTCACGGTTGGCTACGTACGCTGCGATAGAAGTTCAACATGCAGATCTGACCTGCGTCGCGCGCACGGTCGGCCACACCGCCACCTAATGCGCCGTATCGCCTATCGTAGGCCTCGCTTGATGACACTTGCCCCAACGCTGTAAAGCCGCACGGGGGATTTTTGACTCGTGTGCACCTGTGCGTGTCGTGCGAAGGTGAGCGTGTCAACGCAGTGCGTTCCTCAAGACATCATCGTACTCTCGGACTCGGACTGACCGTTGGAGACGTGCAGTGATGGGAGGGTGAGAGTCCGTGAAATGGCCGAGCGAGTGCGGCGAGACTCGTCGGCAACGGCAACCTGGAGCCGTCGAGCATCTCGGCATGTCAACCACACGCACGCCGCACGCGCACAAAGATCTGTACAGCCTTCGGCAGACTTGGGGCGACTGCTGTTAGCGAGCGGCACCTGTGACGGCCAGCACGGCACAACGCGCGGTGCGTTGGGTGGCCCACGCCGTGCCCGGCACCGTTGTCGGTCGGGAGCAGGAATCGAACTCTGGTTGCTGGATTTATGGCGCAAAGCGCCAACCACTCTGCCCACGCTTCCCATAGACACGGATAAACACACAGAGACAGGCAGACAGAACAAACACAGAGACACACACAGACACACACTCACAGACACACACTCACACAGACACACTCACACAGACACACACACAGAGACACACACAGACAAACACACACAGAGAGACACACAGACACACACACAGACACATGTAGACAGAACAAACACACACAGACACACACACATGCAGACAGAACAAACACACACACGCAGACAGAACAAACACAGACACAGGCAGACAGAACAAGCACAGACACAGGAATGCACACATGGACAAAGTACACCACTTAACAGTCGGCACACCGATACACACGGACAGGCATACACACACATAGCACACGAGACACGTGATTTTTTTAATAGTTAAAATAAATTCTATTTTGAAATGTGTGTGGGCGTGTGTTAGTGCGTGTGGGCGTGTTAGTGCGTGTGGGTGTGTGTGTTAGTGCGTGTGGGCGTTTGTGGGCGTGTGTTAGTGCGTGCGGGCGTGTGTTAGTGCATGTGGGCATGTGTTAGTGCGTGTGGGCGTGTGTGTTGGTGCTTGTGGGCGTGTTAGTGTGTGGGCGTGTGTGTTAGTGCGTGTGGGTGTGTTAGTGCGTGTGGGTGTGTTAGTGCGTGTGGGCGTGTGTGTTAGTGCGTGTGGGTGTGTTAGTGCGTGTTAGTGCGTGTGGGCGTGTTGTGTGTTAGTGCGTGTGGGCATGTGTGTTCTGACTCGCACCAATGTGTCTTTGACCGCTATTTATTTGTGTTTAAATACAGGAAAGGGGAGGGGGAGCCACATAGCTGTGATTGGCTGAGATGGGGTAGTCGTCGTCGCTGATTAGCCAATCATAGTGCTCGGACACACGTGTAGGTGACACGCTATTAAATGTAGGCCAATAGGGTGCAAAACAAATTGGACAAAAATACCAGAAACAATACAAACGAGACGGTAAAAACGAGACCGAATCGATTGTTGAATCAAATCCTGGAAAGTCATGGAATCGTTAGCGGGAAGTTTGTGAGGAACTGAATTGTTATAATATTTTTGTATGGCGTCATTCATGTAAATCGCATTTCGGATTTCTGTAGAATTTGCTTCGCCGCGCGTGTAAAACCGCAGACGAAGGGGGGGGGGGGGGGCGGCCACGGAACCAACCACTGCTGCCTGTTTAAAGTTCCCAAGAGTTGTGGTCCTGCGTCGGGATGTTTGACCACCTCCACTCGTGAGCGCGGCAACACGTGGGAGGAAAGCCGATTGCACGGAGGAGACCAGGGGAGCGGCACCGCTAACTTCTTCCTTGCGCGTGCGATGCGTGGATGGGAGCGGTGTAATCGACTGTATATGTACACGGTGCACATGGGCGTCTCCACTGTGTGTATATTCTGTACATAGCCCGTCTGTTTGAGTAGCGAGAAATAAATGAGCGTGGTTCCACGTTGCGTTGCGCTGTCGGTGGGATAAACTGTTTAGAGTGAAGTGGTCCTGACCCTTGCGTTCAAGCCGTCTCTCCTCCGCTGCTACACAGCGCCCGCTTGTCCCAGCCTGATTCTGGGGACACGCTGGGGGCGTACCACGCTCGGGGCGTACCACGCTCGGGGCGTACCACGCTCGGGGCGTACCACGCTCGGGGAGATCCATGCTCAGGGATAACCTCGCGACGGCCGAGTCCATGCGTCTGCGTGGTTTCCCCAACCCCCCCCCCCCCCCACCATGTATGCGGTGCCTCCCCGGGTTGCGTGACCAACACTGATGAAGCGCGTGGGGCGACGGACGTTGGTGGCGTCCAGTTTCCTTTATTCAAATAATTTTGAGGAAAGTAGAAAAACTAAACGCGAAACGATGGACAAACGGGAGTTTGGGGCTACTCTGGAACGCCCGCATGGCTGCGCAAACGACCCTCCCCCCCCACCGCCACGCTGTGGCTCACGGGGCTGGTGCTACAACGACAACATGAAGCTGCAACACTGCGAGTGCAGGCTCGACCCTTCATTAGCTGGCTCTGGTGGCGGCGCTTGTGCACAGGCCATGGTGGCGGTGATGGTGGTGGTGGCGGTGATAGTAGTGACGGTGATAGTAGTGATGGTGGTGGCGGTGATGCGGAGATCCAAAATTGCCGGTAAAAGCCATCTACGCCTCGCTGGTGCAGCCACAGCCATGAACTTCCAGTGGCGGTGGTAGCGCCGATGTTGCCACCAGCGCTGGCGACGGTCGGCGGCGATTAATGAACGAGAGTTCCATTTCACCAAGAGCAGCGCCTGCTTTTGCCGGTGGCCGACTCGACCATTAACTCCCGGTGGCGGTGCTGGCGGCGATGGCGGTGGCGGCGCTGGCGGCCTGGTGCAGCGTCTCGAGGTGGCGCCGGCGCTCCTTGGCGCGCGTGATGGTGGCGCGGAAGAGGCCGCAGTAGAGGCGCACGGCGCTGGGCGAGTCGTCGTTGCCCGGCACGGGGAAGGTGACGATGCTCGGGTCGCAGTTGGAGTCGACGATGCCGACGGTCGGCACGCTTAGCTTGGCGGCGTCGCGCACGGCCACGTGCTGCTCAAACGCGTTGTTCTGCGTGCCCAGGAACACCAGCAGGTCCGGCAGACGCACACCCACGCCTGCGTGGGGGAGAGGAGGGGGGAGATGCGGGGGGGGGGGACAACAGGTCGAAGTGACGTGAGCTCGTGGGCCGTGTCCATCCCATGGCCGCAAGTTCCCCATTCCCGGCACTCGGGCAGCGTTCGCTCGGAGCTTGGTGGGGGAGGGGCTGGCTCACCGTACTGCACCGGCGCGTTGGTGAGCAAGCCCCCCTGCCAGTAGCGCGCGTGGGCGAACTCGCCGCACGCGCGCGCCGTCTCCTCCACGAGGTGCGCGTGCTGGCGCGCTCTCGTCACGAACAGCACGGCGCCGCCACGGTACGCCACGTGCGCCGTGAAGTTCAGCGCCGACACCAGGTGCTCCAGCGTCTGATCCAGGTCGATGATGTCTTGACCCAGCCGGCAGCCGTAGATGTACGGGGTCATGTACCTGTTGGAGGTGGAGTGGGGGGGTCAAGAGGTCAGATCGGTCAGGATCTAATCGATTTGTTGTGAGTCCAACCCAGTCGCAGACGTTGCTCCTTCTCGAGGCAACACTTTTGTTTGTAACACAAAGGGGTGACTGCCCCTTCACCAGACACAACCTCGGGTGGTGACCACCCAGCTAACTATACAGAGGAGTTACTGCTACTAAGGGTCGGGCCCTCACTCGGTCCCGCAACCACGTACAATTGTGGCCAGGTAACCCAACCTATGGCCCATACAGTAAACCCATAGAAACAGATATCTGTAAACATCTATCGAGATAATTAAAGACAGCCACATTATTACGATTGGACCGCAAAGTAAACTGCTGTGTGGCCTCCACATTGGCATTGAGTTCACGGACGCAGGGCCATCATAGCGAGAAGACTATCATCTGTGTGTGAACGTGACAATCTCATCCGAGTGGTGGTGCAGGGTGGCATAAAACCACCACCACGTTGACTTAACCCTAACGAGAGACACGTGGGTGGCACGAGGAGGAGGCTACCTGTTGCGGCAGCCGCGTTTGTGGCCCAGGTGGACGCGTGCCGTGAAGAGGTCGCGCAGGGACACGAGCTCGGACACGCGGAAGAAGTCCGGGTGCTTGAGCGGCTCCTCCAGCACGCGGCGCTGCCACTCGGCCTCCCGCTCTGCCACGCAGACACCACATGCGTACACCACATGCGTACAGACACCACATGCGTACACCACATGCGTACAGACACCACATGCGTACAGACACCACATAGGTACACCACATGCGTACAGACACCACATGCGTACAGACACCACATAGGTACACCACATGCGTACAGACACCACATGCGTACACCACATGCGTACAGACACCACATGCGTACAGACACCACATGCATACAGACACCACATGCGTACAGACACCACATAGGTACACCACATGCGTACAGACACCACATGCGTACAGACACCACATGCGTACACCACATGCGTACAGACAACACATGCGTACAGACACCACATGCGTACACCACATGCGTACACCACATGCGTACAGACACCACATGCGTACAGACACCACATGCGTACAGACACCACATGCGTACACCACATGCGTACAGACACCACATGCGTACAGACACCACATAGGTACACCACATGCGTACAGACACCACATGCGTACAGACACCACATAGGTACACCACATGCGTACAGACACCACATGCGTACACCACATGCGTACAGACACCACATGCGTACAGACACCACATGCGTACAGACACCACATGCGTACAGACACCACATAGGTACACCACATGCGTACAGACACCACATGCGTACAGACACCACATGCGTACACCACATGCGTACAACACATGCGTACAGACACCACATGCGTACAGACACCACATGCGTACACCACATGCGTACAGACACCACATGCGTACAGACACCACATGCGTACACCACATGCGTACAGATTAAGATCCCCCATGTAGCCTTAACAGACTGTTGGAGCAAGTGCTGTTAGCGAGCAGCACATGTGAAGGCTACCGGCACTGTGGCACACGAGGGCTTGGTGAACACCACGCCCAGCCGCCTTTGTCTCCCCAGTGGCGATGTTTACTACATCTGCACTAGGTACTCATTTGAGGTGTCGGTAGCCGTGAACCAAACCCGGGTTGCCGAGATCGCAGTGCAACGCGCTGACCATGATGCTATCGCTCCCGACACAAAGATCCCCAGTATAGCCTTCACAAACTGTGGTGGCAAATGCTGTTTGCGAGCACCTATCAAGGCCGGCACAGTACAGGAGGGGGTGGGTGGGTGGGTAGCACCACGCCCGCCCGGCCACCTTTGTCTCCCCAGTGGCGATGTTTACACACCACTCCGGGTACAGACACACACACACACGTGTTTACACACCACACCGGGTACAACAACAACAACCGCCATTCGCCACTAAGTGGCGGTGACGTCACCACGATGCTTGTGCCAGGCCAAGTGCACCTTGAGGCCACGTGAAGTGTCGAAAGCCCGCTGGCAGGAGGTCACGGGGCAGACCCAGGTGCCACTGGTCGACTGACCGAGATGACCGAGATGACTGGCTGATGCACCACCTGTGCCCCCTACTGTGCCAACTTGCTGTGCTTTAGCCACCCGGCGCTCCGCTCGTTGTTGTGAGCGTCGCTCCTCCGCCCTCCGTTGTTGTTGGAGGGCGACTGCCTCCAACTGCCCAGTAGCGTCCTTCACGAGCCTCCTCCACTGAGGCCGATCTTGACACCGCTGGTACCAGTCATCGGCAAGTCCACTCAGCTCCACGTCCTCCTGTACCACATCACTCCATCTCTTCTCCAGCCCGTGCCGCGCCCGTCTAGCCCCCTCGATCCGGCCGAACAAAAGCTGTTTAGGCATGCGGTGGCTGGGCATGCGGGCTACATGACCCAGCCAACGCAGCCTTGCCTGCCGGAGGAGCTCACTGATGGGACTTTGCCCAGATCTTTCAAGGATTTGTGAGCTCCTCACACAATCCAGCCTGGTTAAACCCAGGATGGATCGTAGGCAGGCCAGCCTAAATGTTTCCAACCGGCGAAGATGCTCCACCAGGGGGGTCCACGTCTCGCAAGCGTAGAGAAGGGAGGGAATGACCGTGGCCGGGTACAGACACACACACACACACATGTAGACACACCACTCCGGGTCCAAACACACACACACACACGTGTTTACACACCGTACCGGGTACAGACACACACACATGTAGACACACCGCACCGGGTACACACACACACTCGTACACGTGTAGACACACCGCACTGGGTACAGACACACACACACACACACGTACACGTGTAGACACACAATGTAGACACACACACGTGTAGACACACACGTGTAGACACACACGTGTAGACACACACACACATGTGTCTACACGTGTGTGTCTACACACCCCCACCCCATACCCCCCACACACCCCCACCCCACACCCCCCACACACCCCCACCCCACACCCCCCACACACCCCACACACCCCCCACACCCCCACACCTGCCGGCGTGCCGCCCCCATGAGCCGTCTCGAGGCGTCGCTGAGCCGGGAGGGCGGCGAATGCGGCCGCGCCGCTCCTCCTCCTGCCCCCCGCCGCCGCTCCGGACGCGCCAGGGAGCCGCCCTGCCAGCCCTGCCCGCGGGAGATAGAAACAAACCGAAGCGACTTAGTCATCACAAACGATAGCTCCACGAAGCGGCTTATCGCGTGTGAATGTACAGCAGCAGCAGCGGCAGACACATTCTCTACACGCGTGACGTTTAGAAACGTGGAGTGAAAAAAAACCGGAGGACCCGGAGAAAAATCCACGCGACCACGGGGAGAGAGACGCAAACTCCAAATAAACAGCAGCAGCAGCAGGGGTCAGGGTCGCGATCGAACCCGCGGCCTCCTGCACAGCAGGCGAGGTAGTGAACGTCTCACCACCACGGCGAGGACACACGAAGCCATGAACCACAAGACATCGATGATGTCGTCAAGGAGCTGAAATCATCACGTGAGCTGCGTCATCCTCGCAGCAGCTTCTGGCTGCTGCCATTGAACAAAGACGGTCACCACATCGCGCACTTCCAGATGCTCTTCTGTGGCCGTCTGGAACGCTCTTCCGTCCGATATTAAGAAACCACTGAATGAAAACTCACTTCTTCCTCACTTGTTTAATCGGCTGGCTACCACCACCACGACCGGTACAGAAGACGTGCAATGGCTTGCTCTGATGGCCGCTGTATAATTGGAGTTTGCCTCTCACTCTCTCTCCCCGTTGTCGCGCGGATTTAGAATCTCCATTTAAAATCAACGTGTTGAGTATTCGGCGGCTAAAGATGTCCACGTGACAGGCCACGGCGCTGAGCCGTGGCCTGTCATGTCAATTGTGAAAAGGATCTACATAGTTCAGTGGGCCTCACCTGGTAAAATAAAGACATCGTTTAGTTTATATTTGTAGATACAAGGCGCAGGTTCGTGGGAGGGGACCCGGCAAAAGGGGTAACAGGGAGAGGGGTCACAGGGAGAGGGGTCACAGGGGCAGGCGGTATCCAGGGGAGGGGAGCCAGGGGAGGGGACACGAGAAAGGGGACCCAGGGGTGAGGGGACCCTGGGACAGGGGGCTCAGGACTCAGGGTGAGGGGACCCGGGGAAGGGAACCCCCAGGGCTCAGGGACCCCAGGCCCCAGTGGGAGGGGACCCGGGGAAGGGGGCTCAGGGACCCCAGGGTGAGGGGTGAGGGGACCCCTGTGGAGGAGCCCCTGTGGGAGGGGGCCCGGGAAGGGGTCCCCGGGACTCGGAGTCTCTCACCACGCAGCGACCTCCACGCCGACATGACGGGGGCGGCCATTGCTCCGACGTCACTCTCCCGCACGTGACCGCCCGGCACGCGATGCCAGAATCTGGAGGGAAAACCCTCCGCAATGAAGCAGCCCCATCAGCACCATCAGCATCATCAGCACCATCAGCATCATCAGCACCATCAGCATCATCAGCACCATCAGCATCATCAGCATCACCAGCCCCATCAGCATCAGCAGCCCCATCAGCATCATCAGCACCATCAGCATCACCAGCACCATCAGCATCACCAGCACCATCAGCATCATCAGCACCATCAGCATCATCAGCACCATCAGCATCATCAGCATCACCAGCCCCATCAGCATCATCAGCACCATCAGCATCACCAGCACCATCAGCATCATCAGCACCATCAGCATCACCAGCCCCATCAGCATCATCAGCACCATCAGCATCACCAGCACCATCAGCATCATCAGCACCATCAGCATCATCAGCACCATCAGCATCATCATCACCATCAGCATCATCAGCATCACCAGCCCCATCAGCATCATCAGCACCATCAGCATCACCAGCACCATCAGCATCATCAGCACCATCAGCATCATCAGCATCACCAGCCCCATCAGCATCATCAGCACCATCAGCATCACCAGCACCATCAGCATCATCAGCACCATCAGCATCATCAGCATCACCAGCCCCATCAGCATCATCAGCACCATCAGCATCACCAGCACCATCAGCATCACCAGCACCATCAGCATCATCAGCACCATCAGCATCACCAGCACCATCAGCATCATCAGCACCATCAGCATCATCAGCACCATCAGCATCATCAGCATCACCAGCCCCATCAGCATCATCAGCACCATCAGCATCACCAGCACCATCAGCATCATCAGCACCATCAGCATCATCAGCATCACCAGCCCCATCAGCATCATCAGCACCATCAGCATCACCAGCACCATCAGCATCATCAGCACCATCAGCATCATCAGCATCACCAGCCCCATCAGCATCATCAGCACCATCAGCATCATCAGCACCATCAGCATCATCAGCATCACCAGCCCCATCAGCATCATCAGCACCATCAGCATCACCAGCACCATCAGCATCACCAGCACCATCAGCATCATCAGCATCATCAGCACCATCAGCATCACCAGCACCATCAGCATCACCAGCACCATCAGCATCACCAGCACCATCAGCATCACCAGCACCATCAGCATCACCAGCATCATCAGCACCATCAGCATCACCAGCACCATCAGCATCACCAGCACCATCAGCATCATCAGCACCATCAGCATCACCAGCACCATCAGCATCATCAGCACCATCAGCAGCATTGCTCTTTCCACTGCGAGATTAGCCCCCCCCCCCCCCACGGAGGTCACGGGGTCACTGGACCATTCTTCACCACGCTGGTCTGTGCGGCCTCTTTGACGGCTCACACCGACCTGCCAACTCACCCCGTGCTCACACTGACCCCGACCTGCCAACCCACCCCGTGCTCACACTCACCCCGTGCTCACACTCACCTGCCAACTCACCCCGTGCTCACACTCACACCGACGTGTGCTGTCTGTCCACCAGTTGCCACTGCTGTGCACCAGCCGGCGCTATTACACTACATGGTGGGGAGCCGTGGCACAGCGGAAAGCGCACCTCACTAGACGCACCCAGAAACCCGAGTTGGATTTCTGCTCAATAACAGTAGCGAATATCTGAACCGGTCGCGGGCTTCCCCTAGGTAGACTCAGCCTTAAACGAATACCTGGTGTGGTGTATAAAAAGGGAGACAAATGCAGGCATCCACCTCCTCGTATACCGTGCTGGTCTTCAAAGGTGCTTGCAAACAGCACTTGCCCCGACAGTTTGTTTAGGCTACACAGGAGATCTTCGCCTTTTTATGTTAAAGGTGCGTGGCGCAAGAAATTGCAGGGCTGCACCTGTAGCTTGTTCGGTATCAGACACGGATGTGTCACCACGGTGGTGAATGTGAACCGTCTCGCCTCGTCCACAGGTCGTGGGGTCGAACCCGACCCTGACACCTGCTGTAGATTTGGAGTTTGCAAAGTTTCTCTCCTGATGGGAGCATTGATATTTCTCCGGGTACTCTGGTTTTTCCCTCCACATCCAGAATTGACGTGCGTTTGGAGTATTTTGCTGCTATCAATTTTCCACGTGATCAGCCACTTAGTTGAGATGTCATTTGATATCCAAGTCGCTTCTGAGAAACAGCTATAGGCTCAGTGGGCCTTACCCGGTAAAATAGAAAATCCAGTAATTTGGACTGTTCTGAAACATCGGCCAGAGCTGGGCACGTCGCTGGGATTAGGGACGATGGTTGGCGGTGAGAATAACAACTTGAGCGGCATCCAAAAGGAAGGATTGTGCCTTAGAGGACATCCACGGTGAAGATGGAGCGATGAGATCAGCTGGGTGCATCGCGCAGCTCCATCCTATTCCCCGCTCGCATCTTCATTTGATCTTTGTGATCCCGGTCTGCCTTCAATAATTGCTATCAGTGCACAGGCTCTGCTGTGTATGTTGCATTTATTTTGCACCGTACACAGCCAAGCATGCTAATAATTTTTTATGTATCGATGTAGGTTTTCACAGCTTGATTTATTCGAGAAGCTCTGAAAAACTGCTCTTTGGGGATAGCCATGGGGGGCGCTGCTTCTGTGAGCGCTGTGAAGGAGATGAGAGCAGCGCTCAGCACGGATGTCCAGAAAGGGCAGCTTTCAAGTAAGAGCATTTCTCAATCGATTCCTTTATTTCAGCGAAGCCCGCTGTAAGCTGACAGACACAGGACCCGGGCAAAAAAACTGTTGGTCTTTGTTCATTTACAGAGATTTGTAAACTCAATCACACGCCCTCCTGGCGAGTCCCAAGGACTGCAAACCCCCACACTGTCCCTGGGTATAACCCTTGGTTCATGATTTTGGTATATTCGCCACCACCCAGACAAGAATCCATTCCACCCTACATGTCATTCCTCGCCTGTTTCACCTCACAGTTTATGGATCCCATCAACCTCCGTTAACCGCACAGTTGCCTCAACTCCTGCTAACTTCCTTTAACCTCCCACAACCAAGTTTGTACGTGTGTTGAATTTCTTTCGCACCGCACGTAGCCAACCTTGCTAATCGAAGGTGCGGTCACCTTCACACAAACATCTTGCTGAGTGCGCGGCCCAGCCTGGCCGCCTCCTCCCTCTCGCGCGCGCGCACCCCCCGCATGGCGGAAAGCACCGCCGCGTTCCTCGGCTCTGCGCTCAGCGCCAGCTCCAGGTCGGACCGCGCCGCCTCCAGCTCCCCGAGTTGTGCCAGCGCTGTCGCCCGCCGGTGAAGCCACTTGGCCGAGCCCGGCACGAGCTCCAGGGCCCGGCCGCAGCTCGCCACGGCGTTGCGCGGCTGCCCCAGCCGCAGCTGGCACGCGGCGGCGTTAGCGTAGAGGGCGGCCGCCAGCGGCCGGAAGCGGTCGGCGGGCAGGCGCGGGGGCCGCAGCGGGAGGAGAAGGCGCAGCGCCTTGGCGTATCGCCACGCGGCGGCGCGCGTCGAGCCCTCCGAGAAGCGGGCGGCGCCGCGCTCCTTGTGGTGGAGCGCGCGGGCCCAGCGCGCCTCCGCGTCCATCTGCCACCACTCGGGCTCGCGCGTGAACCCGCGCAGCTCCACTCGAAGCGGCGGCGGCGCAAGGCGGAGCCGGAGCTCGCAGACTTCGCCGCGCCGCATCGTCTCCAGGCACCAGTCGACCGCGTCGACCGCGTCCGTGTCGCCCTCGCCCACGGTCACCTCGAGCCACACGTCCAGCGCGAACGGGAACGATGGGCACGGGCTCCCGGGGCCGGGGGCCGTGGAGTCGAGACCGGAGCTCGGGTCGGCGTCGGAGGCGCTGGGTTGAGGGTTGGGCTTGATGGAGACGGAACCGGTCACTTTATCGGTCGAGCCAGGGTTGAGGCTGCAGCTGGCGGAGCCGGGACTGGAGCTCGGCTCGGGGTCTGTGGAGCTGAGGTCTGCGACGCTCGGGTTGGTATCAGAGTTTGTGGAGCCGGGATTAGGGCTGGTGGAGGCGGACCGGGAGCCTCGATCGTTGGGGTTGACGGAGCCCGCGGCCGCCCCCGTCGCGAGGCTAAATCTGACGAGGCAGCGCGCGCCGTCGCGCGGCCTCCGGAGCCCGCGCCCCGGCGTGATCTCGCGCTTCGTGAACACGCCTCCCGGGCACCGCCACTCGCCTGGTGCCGACTGCTCCTCCATGAAAACCTCTGGGGGGAGAGACAGAAACATTGGGGGGGGGGGGGGTGAGAGACGGGAGATAGAGGGGTCTTCATCTCTCGTATGACTGATGTCGATGCAGAGCCACTGCAATTTCATTCAGGTGGTCAAGCCAAATAACCGTGTCGTGAGCAGCCGAGAGGATCGCTGTTGTGATGTCGCCTTCGTATGTGTGGATCGGGCATCGCGTCATTATACGTCGCATCAGGTATCCGTACCTGCCATGGGTTATGCAGCGGATACGATTTAGGATGGAGCATGAGCTTCGTGGAAGGTCAAAGCCAGGGGTATCTTGTGTTGGGTCTTTCACAAGGCGGTGTTTGTGTGCGAGTTCCTTTGAACTCCATTCAGGTCTCCAAGCTTCATCGGGGTTCAATTTGTATTACTTAAGGTGAAGCGCACGGGTCCAAAAGGGCTCACGCGACTTCAAGCGATGCCGAGGGACGTTGAAGTTCCTGATGGATGGGAATGGATGGGGAGAGAGGGGAGATCACAGAAAGCAAATGGAGACCCCGACCGAGCGGGGGGGGAGATGCCCCCCTTTGTGGGGGGAGAGAACCCCGAGAGGCGAGCGGGGAGTCTTCGGGGCGAGGGGGGGGACCTCGATATCAGGAGTTCTGAGGACCCCAGGACAATGTGATTCGAGCCTAGGGCGACACCAGATAAAGGGGCGCCCTGATTAGGGGACCCTGTGGTGAGGGGACTGTCGAGAAAGCGACTTTGGGGAAAGGGAGCACGGGGAGGGTAGGGGGGACCCCTAGAGAGGGGGGAAAGGGGGTCTCGAACCCCGTTGAATGGGTTCGGTAGGGGGGGGGGTGGTTTCACCCGTCGCGTTTGAGTCGCCAGTCCGCAGCTCTCAGCTCGCAGCTCCCACCCGGAGCCGGCGAGACGCCGCGTCCCGAGCTCACCTGGCGAGACGTCCCCCCCCCCTTCAGAGCTCACCTACGAGACGTCCCCCCCTTCAGAGCTCACCTGGCGAGACGTCCCCCCCCTACAGAGCTCACCTACGAGACGTCCCCCCCCTTCAGAGCTCACCTGGCGAGACGTCCCCCCCCTACAGAGCTCACCTACGAGACGTCCCCCCCCTTCAGAGCTCACCTACGAGACGTCCCCCCGCCCAGAGCTCACCTACGAGACGTCCCCCCCCTTCAGAGCTCACCTACGAGACGTCCCCCCCCTTCACAGCTCACCTACGAGACGTCCCCCCCCTACAGAGCTCACCTACGAGACGTCCCCCCCCTACAGAGCTCACCTACGAGACGTCCCCCCGCCCAGAGCTCACCTACGAGACGTCCCCCCGCCCAGAGCTCACCTGGCGAGACGTCCCCCCCCCCTACAGAGCTCACCTACGAGACGTCCCCCCCCTACAGAGCTCACCTACGAGACGTCCCCCCCCTACAGAGCTCACCTACGAGACGTCCCCCCCCTACAGAGCTCACCTACGAGACGTCCCCCCCCCTACAGAGCTCACCTACGAGACGTCCCCCCCCTACAGAGCTCACCTACGAGACGTCCCCCCGCCCAGAGCTCACCTACGAGACGCCCCCCCCCTTCAGAGCTCACCTACGAGACATCCCCCCGCCCAGAGCTCACCTACGAGACGTCCCCCCGCCCAGAGCTCACCTACGAGACGTCCCCCCCCCCTACAGAGCTCACCTACGAGACGTCCCCCCCCTACAGAGCTCACCTACGAGAGGTCCCCCCCCTTCAGAGCTCACCTACGAGACGTCCCCCCGCCCAGAGCTCACCTACGAGAGGTCCCCCCCCTTCAGAGCTCACCTACGAGACGTCCCCCCCTTCAGAGCTCACCTACGAGAGGTCCCCCCCTTCAGAGCTCACCTACGAGACGCCCCCCCGCCCAGAGCTCACCTACGAGACGTCCCCCCCCTTCAGAGCTCACCTACGAGACGTCCCCCCCCTACAGAGCTCACCTACGAGACGTCCCCCCGCCCAGAGCTCACCTACGAGACGTCCCCCCCCTTCAGAGCTCACCTACGAGACGTCCCCCCCCTTCACAGCTCACCTACGAGACGTCCCCCCCCTACAGAGCTCACCTAGGAGACGTCCCCCCGCCCAGAGCTCACCTACGAGACGTCCCCCCCCTTCAGAGCTCACCTACGAGACGTCCCCCCGCCCAGAGCTCACCTACGAGACGTCCCCCCTACAGAGCTCACCTACGAGACGTCCCCCCCCTACAGAGCTCACCTACGAGACGTCCCCCCCCTACAGAGCTCACCTACGAGACGTCCCCCCCCTACACAGCTCACCTACGAGACGTCCCCCCCCTTCACAGCTCACCTACGAGACGTCCCCCCCCTACAGAGCTCACCTACGAGACGTCCCCCCCCTTCAGAGCTCACCTACGAGACGCTCCCCCCCCTACAGAGCTCACCTACGAGACGTCCCCCCCCTTCAGAGCTCACCTACGAGACGTCCCCCCGCCCAGAGCTCACCTACGAGACGTCCCCCCCCTACAGAGCTCACCTACGAGACGTCCCCCCCCTACAGAGCTCACCTACGAGACGTCCCCCCCCCTTCAGAGCTCACCTACGAGACGTCCCCCCTTCAGAGCTCACCTACGAGACGTCCCCCCGCTTCAGAGCTCACCTACGAGACGTCCCCCCCCTTCAGAGCTCACCTACGAGACGTCCCCCCCCCCTTCAGAGCTCACCTACGAGACGTCCCCCCGCTTCAGAGCTCACCTACGAGACGTCCCCCCCCTTCAGAGCTCACCTACGAGACGTCCCCCCCTTCACAGCTCACCTACGAGACGTCCCCCCCTTCAGAGCTCACCTACGAGACGTCCCCCCCCTACAGAGCTCACCTACGAGACGTCCCCCCGCCCAGAGCTCACCTACGAGACGTCCCCCCCCTACAGAGCTCACCTACGAGACGTCCCCCCCCTACAGAGCTCACCTACGAGACGTCCCCCCCCCTACAGAGCTCACCTACGAGACGTCCCCCCCCTTCACAGCTCACCTACGAGACGTCCCCCCCCTTCAGAGCTCACCTACGAGACGTCCCCCCTTCAGAGCTCACCTACGAGACGTCCCCCCGCTTCAGAGCTCACCTACGAGACGTCCCCCCCCTTCAGAGCTCACCTACGAGACGTCCCCCCCCTTCAGAGCTCACCTACGAGACGTCCCCCCCCCTTCAGAGCTCACCTACGAGACGTCCCCCCCCCTTCACAGCTCACCTACGAGACGTCCCCCCCCTTCACAGCTCACCTACGAGACGTCCCCCCGCCCAGAGCTCACCTACGAGACGTCCCCCCCCTACAGAGCTCACCTACGAGACGTCCCCCCCCTACAGAGCTCACCTACGAGACGTCCCCCCCCTACAGAGCTCACCTACGAGACGTCCCCCCCCTTCAGAGCTCACCTACGAGACGTCCCCCCCCTACAGAGCTCACCTACGAGACGTCCCCCCCCTACAGAGCTCACCTACGAGACGTCCCCCCCCCTACAGAGCTCACCTACGAGACGTCCCCCCCCTACAGAGCTCACCTACGAGACGTCCCCCCCCTACAGAGCTCACCTACGAGACGTCCCCCCGCCCAGAGCTCACCTACGAGACGTCCCCCCCCTTCAGAGCTCACCTACGAGACGTCCCCCCGCCCAGAGCTCACCTACGAGACGTCCCCCCCCTTCACAGCTCACCCACGAGACGTCCCCCCCCTACAGAGCTCACCTACGAGACGCCCCCCCTTCAGAGCTCACCTACGAGACGTCCCCCCCCTTCAGAGCTCACCTACGAGACGTCCCCCCGCCCAGAGCTTACCTACGAGACGTCCCCCCCCTTCACAGCTCACCTACGAGACGTCCCCCCCCTACAGAGCTCACCTACGAGACGTCCCCCCTTCAGAGCTCACCTACGAGACGCCCCCCCCCTTCAGAGCTCACCTACGAGACGTCCCCCCCCTTCAGAGCTCACCTACGAGACGTCCCCCCCCTTCAGAGCTCACCTACGAGACGTCCCCCCCCCCTTCAGAGCTCACCTACGAGACGTCCCCCCGCCCAGAGCTCACCTACGAGACGTCCCCCCCCTTCAGAGCTCACCTACGAGACGTCCCCCCGCCCAGAGCTCACCTACGAGACGTCCCCCCCCTACAGATCTCACCTACGAGACGTCCCCCCCCACCAGAGCTCACCTACGAGACGTCCCCCGCCCAGAGCTCACCTACGATACGTCCCCCCCCTACAGAGCTCACCTACGAGACGTCCCCCCCTTCACAGCTCACCTACGAGACGTCACCCCCCTACAGAGCCTCACCTACTAGACGTCCCCCCCTACAGAGCTCACCTACGAGACGTCCCCCCTACAGAGCTCACCTACGAAGACGTCCCCCCCCTACAGACGCTCACCTACGAGACGTCCCCCCCTACAGAGCTCACCTACGAGACGTCCCCCCGCCCAGAGCTCACCGACGAGACGCCCCCCGCCCATAGCTCACCTACGAGACGTCCCCCCGCCTTCACAGCTCACCTACGAGACGTCCCCCCCCCTTCACAGCTCACCTACGAGACGTCCCCCCCCTACAGAGCTCACCTACGAGACGTCCCCCCCCTTCACAGCTCACCTACGAGACGTCCCCCCCCCTACAGAGCTCACCTACGAGACGTCCCCCGCCCAGAGCTCACCTGGCGGGAGCCTCTCGGGTCCAGGCCGCGCTCCACAATCCCCGCGGGCGCGTGACGAGTCGAAGGCCGCGGGTCACGTGATAGGCCGCAGCGGACCAATGGGAGCGCGGACGCTGTCCCGGGTGCGCTCCTGCGCGGACTGGGAAAGTAAAAAGTTCGCGAGGGCCAATCGGGGGTCGCGTTGCTGGATGCAATTGGCCAATGGGAGCGCGCGAGAGTAGCGGAGACGGCCACATCGGCAGGAGGGGCCTGGCCGCTGTCGCCATGGGGACGCCGCCTGCTCCTCGCCCGCGCTAATTGCCGCCTCGTCAAGGAGTGTTCGGCCTTCTCGTTACCGCCTCGTTACCTCCTCGTGACCGCCACTGGAGTCTCGCCAGCAGCGGCAACATTCCCAGGTTGACGGCGCGTGGGGGGACCGCGGCGGCGACAAGAGGAGCGGAGTTTTTGAGAACGTCGAGAGTGACGTGTGTCTTGTTGAAGGTAATTAACTTGACGAGGCTTAACTAGCGCTCATTAACGCCACTTAAGGCGGCCACACTTGGCGGCGGCGTCGTCGTCTTGAGACTGTGGACGTTGTCGTCGGGCGGGAGGGTGGTTGTGTGTGAGGGAGGGTGGTTGTGTGTGAGAGTGGTTGTGTGTGAGGGAGGGTGGTTGTGTGTGAGGGAGGGTGGTTGTGTGTGAGGGAGGGTGGTTGTGTGTGAGAGTGGTTGTGTGTGAGGGTGGTTGTGTGTGAGGGAGGGTGGTTGTGTGTGAGGGAGGGTGGTTGTGTGTGAGGGAGGGTGGTTGTGTGTGAGGGAGGGTGGTTGTGTGTGAGGGAGGGTGGTGTGTGTGTGTGAGGGAGGGTGGTTGTGTGTGAGAGTGGTTGTGTGTGAGGGGGGTGGTTGTGTGTGAGGGAGGGTGGTTGTGTGTGAGAGTGGTTGTGTGTGAGAGTGGTTGTGTGTGAGGGAGGGTGGTTGTGTGTGAGGGAGGGTGGTGTGTGTGTGTGAGGGAGGGTGGTTGTGTGTGAGGGAGGGTGGTTGTGTGTGAGGGAGGGTGGTTGTGTGTGAGGGAGGGTGGTTGTGTGTGAGGGAGGGTGGTGTGTGTGTGTGAGGGAGGGTGGTTGTGTGTGAGAGTGGTTGTGTGTGAGGGGGGTGGTTGTGTGTGAGGGAGGGTGGTTGTGTGTGAGGGGGGTGGTTGTGTGTGTGAGGGAGGGTGGTTGTGTGTGAGGGAGGGTGGTGTGTGTGAGAGTGGTTGTGTGTGAGGGAGGGTGGTTGTGTGTGAGGGGGGTGGTTGTGTGTGAGGGAGGGTGGTTGTGTGTGATGGAGGGTGGTTGTGTGTGAGGGAGGGTGGTTGTGTGTGAGGGAGGGTGGTTGTGTGTGAGAGTGGTTGTGTGTGAGGGAGGGTGGTTGTGTGTGAGGGGGGGTGGTTGTGTGTGAGGGAGGGTGGTTGTGTGTGAGGGAGGGTGGTGTGTGTGTGTGAGGGTGGGTGGTGTGTGTGTGTGAGGGAGGGTGGTTGTGTGTGAGGGAGGGTGGTTGTGTGTGAGGGAGGGAGGGTGGTTGTGTGTGAGGGAGGGTGGTTGTGTGTGAGGGAGGGTGGTTGTGTGTGAGGGAGGGTGGTGTGTGTGTGTGAGGGAGGGTGGTGTGTGTGTGTGAGGGAGGGTGGTTGTGTGTGAGAGTGGTTGTGTGTGAGGGGGGTGGTTGTGTGTGAGGGGGGGTGGTTGTGTGTGAGGGAGGGTGGTTGTGTGTGTGTGAGGGGGGGTGGTTGTGTGTGAGGGAGGGTGGTGGAGGGTTGATTAATCGACACCAGAGCCGTGAACTGTGAAGGCGACGGAGTGGCGAGAGGGGCCGCGGGCGAGAAGATTCGTCTCTCGGGCTCCCTCGAAACTCACGAATAACACCGATGACAGGGCGGCACTGCGATTGTCTTAATGCGAGGTGCAGTGCTTGACGCCGCGAGTGTCGTCGTTGTCGCTGTCGTGAAAGGTTGTTGGTGTTATTACGACGAGTGTCGAGGTCGCTGCGGTGTCGCTACTGCTTCAGGAAGTACACGCTGCTTAGTACAGCAATGACATTGGTTATTGTAGTTACCTTGACTTAAAGCTTTTCTTTAGTCACTTTATTTTCATTTGTATTCTTTTATCGTTCTATCTACGTGACTTTACCGAAAGATGCAAAGAATATTGCAGTTATCGGCAATTGTTGCCGCCGCCACCACCCGGAAAGAGTGCTGTTTCAATGCAACAACAACGCTCGTTAACTTTCATAGCAGTCGGGACGCAGTCGGGACGCAGGCGCGAGGGAGGGTCACGGTTCGCTCGCAGTGCGTGGCCTTGAACCCCGACACGTCGTTCCGTGTCGCTCGCAGTGCGTGGCTTGGCAAGGGGACGTACAGTGTGGGCAATAGGCGACGATTCGGGCAGTGACCTTTCTGTAGAGCGCACGCACAGAGAGCTGTTGAAGTTACACGGCGGCTGTGCTCCGCCTGTCACTGCCGCCTGCTGGGCAAGGCCGCTGCTGTGCAGTCTCTTCCCTTCTCCATTCTGTCTCCACCCAGACCTCGGTCTGCGTTCCATCTCTGTCGTCAGTTGTTTGCATGACGTGCCCTGCCACATTTCACATTTCCGCCTTCACAACAACAGCAGCATCGTAGACGTCTCAAGTTGGACATGAGTTTCACGGTCGCTTTGTCGAGACGAGAGGCACGAGAATGTGTGGTGGAGAGTATCATGAGATGAGAGGGGAGAGGCAGGAGAGTGCGTGGAAGGTAGTAGAGTGAGGGGAGAGAGAGGTAAGATAGGTATTGGCTAGTCCATTGACACAAACCATCTCTATTATTAAGGGTGACCTACATACACCACTGCTCTGATTTCTATTTACAGTCCTTCATTGCTGTTGTTTATTTTACGGATTTAACTGTTGCCATTATGGTGACCCAGGTCTCAAATGAGACTCCTATCCGAGCCTGGGTTCTCACCTGTTTAAACAAAACGAACTGATAACTGGAACACAAAGCAATGCAATAAACATGAGATAAAGGTCAATAACCCAACCCTGTACACGTGGAAGACGTCACTCGTACCCGACAGGGGGTGAGAACTCGAGCCGAATGCATGGCAGCAGCAGATCACGGCATTGCTCTCTGTAGGTCTATTGAGCTTCAGGCTAATCCGCTGCTGGATGAAGGACTCTTGATGCCGGTGCCAGAGATGGGTCTTGTTTGACCAAACTCCACGCTGGTTCATGCGGGTTGGTGGAGGGGGGGGGGGGTAGGACCGGTTCGGATATTGCTCGCAGCTGGTATTGGCCTCCGCCGGGAATCAATCTCGGGTCGCTGTCGTGAAGGCATCTCATCCCGGTTATCTGCGATGTACACATTCATCGAGTGGATTGACAAAGGGTTGTACATTATGACGTGGAAGCTGTTTTTAGGCGTAGGTCAAAAATAAGCAACACGTCTCTGACACTGGTGGAGGAAGGCAGATAGAGCTGCATCTAAACTAAACTACGTTTTATTTTACCAGGCAAGATCCACTAAGCTATATAGCTCTTTTCAGAAGAGATCTGGCTACAAATGATAGCTTAAACAAGGGGCTTATCGCGTGGAAGTTTTTAGCAGCCAACCACTATAAATGCACTTCGATTCTACATGTGGAGGAAAAAACCAGAGGGCCCAGAGAAACATCCACGCTACCACGGGGAGAGAAACACGCACATTTCAATATACAGCAGGTGACAGGTTTTCGATTGGACCCATGACCTCCTGCATACCAGGCGAGGTAGTTAACATCTATCCACCGTGGCACCCAAGCTCACTGCATAGAACCAGCGAGAGGAGATCAGCGGTGCAGAGGGTCGCGGTTCAAATTCGGGAAGGCCAACCTGGATATTACCATGGTGGATATTAGTGATGTAAAATGCTCGCCATCTGCTTGCCCCGACTTCATTCGAAGCGAGGTAGATGATTCATCGTATGCCGGCCTGCGGCACGGGACAAACTTTTACAAATGTGAAGCGAAAAATTACACCGCAAAAGTACTCAATTGGAATTACACACGTCTATATCCGTCGGTGAAACGGCATGAAAGTTGAATGTTGATCATGATGATGATCTCACTCTTATCATTTGACAGCTGACCCCCACCTTTGTCTGTGACGACCCCAGAACAACCCTCTCAGCACTGCGACCCTGAGCTGACCAGCGCTGCCCGATGGTGATGAAGACGGTGATGATGATGGCACCGGTGGCAGCGGCGTGATGATATGATAGCCGTGTACAGGGATTGGGGGGGGGAGCAGTGAGAGGGTGGAGCAGTGAGAGGGGGGAGCAGGGCGGGGGGCTCGGCGATGTTTGCGAAACTGAAGAAGAAGATTTCGGAGGAGGAGGGAGGAGGGGCCGTGCGGGGCCTCCCTGGACCGGGCCTTGCCGGGCGACTCCCGCGCACACTCAGCCGCGAGTCCCTCGCCTCCACCGGCGCCGACTCCGGGGACGACGCGGTGAGAGAGCCACTCTCACCGCACTGCACCCACTGTGTCCGTGTGTGTCCGTGTGGTGGCTCTGCGCCGTGTGGGAAGCGGTAGTGCAGCGATTAGCCACTTGGGAGGCAAAGGCAGTCAGGTGTGGTGCTGGCCACCCACCCCCTCGTGCGCCGTGCCGGCCTTCATAGGTGCTACTCGCAAACAACACTTGCCCCAACAGACTGTTAAGGCTATACGCAGTGCCGGATTATCCTAGTAGCCAAAGTAGCAAATGCTACGGGCCCCGCACTTTCAAGGGCCCCGTGCTAAATGCTTTCAAGCTATCAATTCCGGTTCAGTGATTCTGCACTTGCTTTATTACTACAGTACTATACTGCCTTCAACTTTTACGAACGACTGGGTGTTTAAGGTTAACGATTTGTCGTATTATCTGGCTGTATAGCAAATGAAAAAATACAATAACTTTACTATGCACGTAAAAAATTTGTGTTTTAATATTTATGTATTTAGAAAAATTAGTTTCCCTTTATAACATATGCTACAGGCCCCGCACTAGCTTAACCCGGCACTGGCTATACGGGGGATTTGTGTCTTTGTTGTCTTTACTCTGCGCTGTGTGGCGAGTGGTGGCGCAGCGGTTAGTTCACCGTGCTCCAACCCAGCCACCTAAACTCGATTCCTGCACATGCTCACCAACATCGGTTACGAATATTTGAACCGGCCCTGAGTCTCCCCTTAGGTGACTCGCTCTTATATTAGTACCTGGTGCGGTGTGTAAACATTTCCACCGGAGAAACAAAGGCGGCCAGGAATGGTGTTGGCCACACGACCCCTGTTCTGGCCTCTGGCCTACATGGGTGCTCGCTAATAGTTCTTGCGTCAACTAGTCTCTATTGGGGTTTTTGTGCGCCGTGCGTTTGACTGTGGGCACTGCGTGTGGTGTGCCACGCTTAGTCTCTGGATGGCAGCGCCTCCAGGGAGGAGCTGCTGGTGCTGCTGTCGCGCCGCACTGACCAAATCCGCAAGCTCGAGGCCAAACTCGGAGGTGAGACACACGGTCACGGGATCACGGCGTCACGGTTAGGGTGGACGGCTCACAGGTCGGAGACGCTCAGCTGGCACCGCTGAGGTCCTGGCTTCCAATCTGGGTAATTGATGGTGTGTATGGTGATGTCAATGGTGATGTAGGTGGCAATGGTGATGTGGGTGATGTCGACGGTGGTGATGTTGATGTGTATTTATGTTGAACTTCTTTTGCACGGTACATAGCCAACCGTGCTAATCGGATGATGATAATGTGGGCGTGTGGATAATGTTGGTAAAGTGGCGATGTCGATGACGTCGATGTGGGTGATAACGTAGGTGATGGTGGCGATGTGGGTGATGTGCAGAGTGTGCGGAGCAGCTGAGGAACACAGCGCGGCTCAAGGAGAAGCTCGAGGCAGCGCTGGAGCGCCAGCAAGACTGTACGTGTCACTTTGTCGTCACCACCCGTCTAATCATCATCATCGTCATGATCCATCTTCGTATGTATTTAGAATTTCTTTGGCACCGTACGTAGCCAGCCGTGTCAATCGGAGGTGCGGGGGAAGGACAACAAACTAAACACAACAACAAGCAGTTCATCCTCACGATCCATCATCATCCTCGTCTGCATCATCGTGATCATCACGTTGGTCACCGTTATCGCCGTCGTTATCGCCATCGGCCTTGTCAACATTGTTGTCGTTGTGACCTCTCGCCCCCACCCCTTGACCCCGTGACCCCGTGATCCTGGGCAGCCTCCATGAGGAAGATGCAGGAGCTGAATGAGTCCTACCAGGCCAAGCGCTCCAAGATGGCGGAGAACGCTACTCTTGCTCTTGAGAAGAACAACAAGGTGATGGTGGTGATGGTGGTGGCAGCAGTGGTGGTAGTGATGGTGATGATGGTGGTGATGGTGGTGGCAGCAGTGGTGGTAATGACTGTGATGGTGATGATGGTGGTGATGGTGGTGGCAGCAGTGGTGGTAATGACGGTGATGGTGATGATGGTGGTGATGGTGGTGGCAGCAGTGGTGGTAATGACGGTGATGGTGATGATGGTGGTGATGGTGGTGGCAGCAGTGGTGGTAATGATGGTGATGGTGATGATGGTGGTGATGGTGGTGGCAGCAGTGGTGGTAATGACGGTGATGGTGATGATGGTGGTGATGGTGGTGGCAGCAGTGGTGGTAATGACGGTGATGGTGATGATGGTGGTGATGGTGGTGGCAGCAGTGGTGGTAATGACGGTGATGGTGATGATGGTGGTGATGGTGGTGGCAGCAGTGGTGGTAATGATGGTGATGGTGATGATGGTGGTGATGGTGGTGGCAGCAGTGGTGGTAATGACGGTGATGGTGATGATGGTGGTGATGGTGGTGGCAGCAGTGGTGATAATGACGGTGATGGTGATGATGGTGGTGATGGTGGTGGCAGCAGTGGTGGTAATGACGGTGATGGTGATGATGGTGGTGATGGTGGTGGCAGCAGTGGTGGTAATGACGGTGATGGTGATGATGGTGGTGATGGTGGTGGCAGCAGTGGTGGTAATGACGGTGATGGTGATGATGGTGGTGATGGTGGTGGCAGCAGTGGTGGTAATGACGGTGATGGTGATGATGGTGGTGATGGTGGTGGCAGAAGTGGTGGTAATGACAGTGATGGTGGTGATGGTGGTGGCAGAAGTGGTGGTAATGACGGTGATGGTGATGATGGTGGTGATGGTGATGGCAGAAGTGGTGGTAATGACGGTGATGGTGATGATTGTGGTGATGGTGGTGGCAGCAGTGGTGGTAATAACGGTGATGGTGATGATGGTGGTGATGGTGGTGGCAGCAGTGGTGGTAATGACGGTGATGGTGATGATAGTGGTGGCAGCAGTGGTGGTGATCGTGATAGTGGAGGTGACAATGGCGGTGATGGGGATGATGGTGATGGCATTGATGGGGGTGGTGTGATGGTGATGGTGGTGGTAACAGTGAAAGGTGTGTATTTGGTTGCTATAAATTTGCACATGATATGCCATTTCGTTGAGCTTTCATTTGTATCAGGTCGCTTCTGAAAATAGTTATTTAGCTCATTGGGCCTTAACTGGTAAAATAATTTAGTGGTGAATGGCAGATGTTGGTGGTGATGGTGATGATGGTGATAGTGTTGTTGATGGTGGTGGTGATGGTAGTGGTGATGATGACAACAGCGATGGTGTTGTGGATGTAATGTTGATGATGAGACTAATGAGAATGACGTTTGTGTTGTGTTGAATGGTGTTGACGGTGATAGTGATCTAAGGGACTGCACATCTGTGAACTATCGGACAGCTGTGAAAAAGAGCTTCGTAGCTCATGGGATTTTCCAGGATGAATAAAGATTCTGATGATGATGTGTTGTTGTCCCCCAGGAGTGGACGGAGAAGCTTGCGGCGATGGAAAAGGTGAGTGCCACCATGACATCCTTCCAGCTCGCTCACTCACAAACCTTCAGAGTGAGCATCATGGGTCCAACCACCACCACGGGATATTCACGTGTGTGGTGTCGTGTGTGTGTGTGTGTGCGGTGCATTCGGAATGATCCAACATCATCAGCCATGGTAACTCCACTACTGGATGGAGGCGTTGGCACATTGATGCGTATCATATTGATTATGCTGGGTTTCTGACGGTGTGTACGGTGTGTGGCGCTGTGGTGAGGCATGGCTCGGGTTGTGTGGTGTATTGTGGCATGGTGGTGTATTGTGGCATGGTGGTGTGGTGGTGAGATATGGAGCTGAGTGGACTTGCCGATGTCCGGTACCAGCGGTGTCAAGATCGGCCTTTATGGAGGAGGCTCGTGAAGGAAGCTACTGGGCAGTTGGAGGGCAGTTGCCCTCCAACATCAACGGAGGGCAGAGGAGCGATGCTCACAACAACGAGCGGAGCACCGGGCAGCTGAATTTCAGCGAGTTGGCACAGTCGGGGGGCACAATTGGTGCATTTGCCAGCCATCTCAGTAAACCCATGGCACCTGGGTCCGTTTCATGACCTGCCAGCAGCGAGAGCCTTTGACACTCCACGTGCCCTTGGAAGTGCACCTAGCCTGGCACTAGCGCCAGCGGTGACGTCACCGCCACTTGGTGGCAAACGGCGTCTGCTGCTGTTGTTGTTGTGTCGCGGCGTGTCAGGAGAGGCGGGAGCTGGCGCTGCGCCTGGCCGAGTTTGAGGAGCGCAGCGCTGACTTCTTCCAGCGGCGTGACGAGCGCGATGAGCTCACGGAGCTGCAGCAGCAGGAGACCGCCAAGGTCAAGCACATGGTGCGACTCGCCAACCTCCCGACCCCCGGCCCTGCCCTCCGATAGCTCCGTCGGTCTGCCCGTCCATCTGTATATTTGCAGTTTGCGGTGTCTCTCTCCGCATGGCAGCGTGGATTTTTATCCGGGTCCAGTTTTTCCCTCCACCTTCAGAATCGACGTGCATTTAAGTATTTGGCTGCTATAATTTTCCACGGGATGAAAAGCCACTTCGTTTGTGGCCACGTTACTTCTGAAAAAGCAATATAGCTCGGTGGGCCTTACCTGGAAAAATAAAAAGTTTAGTTTAACATAGACTGGGACGAACTCACGCAATTCACTGTTCGGCCGTCTGTGTATCGTTCCATCTGTCCCGTGTATCTGTCTCTACATCTGTCCGTCTGTTCGTCTGTCTGTATGTATGCCCTGTCCATCCAATTCTTTGTCGATCTGTTTGTCGGTCACGGGATGGGGGGGGGGGGGTCTCGCTAATTATTGTTAATCATATCAACAGAACTTTAGTGTACAGTGAAAACTCGCTAAAGTGATTAAACAATTATTGTCATGCATATATCTGACTGAATGTGTGTGTATTTTGTTAATGGGGAGCGGTAGTGCAGCGGTTAACGTGCTGCGCTACGAATCCAGCATCCCGAGTTCGATTCCACTCACGGCCAACACCAGTGATGATTATTTGAACCGGTCCTGGGCCTCCTCCCCTAGGTCGACTCAGACTTAAATGAGTACCTAGTGCCGTGTGTAGTAAACATTACCACTCGGGAGACAGAATAGGCCAGGCGTGGTGCTGGTCACCCACCCCCTCGTGTGCCCGTGTCGGGCTTCGGAGGTGCTGCTACTTGCCAACAGCACTTGCCCCAACAGCCTGTAACAGCTATACGGGAGATATTTGTGTGTGTGTGTGTGTTTGTGTGTCAGCTGCTGCGCAAGGAGGAGGAGAGCCGCTGTCTGGGCGAGGAGGTGGCGAGCACCAGGCAGGAGGTCGCCGCCCTCCAGGCTCGGCTCGAGCGGGCGCAAGAGGAGCTGGCAGCGCTCCGGGCCAACGGCGCCGCACTCAAGAGCGACAAGTGGGGGTCCCCCACCCCCCACCCTGCCAAAGTGGAGGCCCCCCCCCCCACTGACAACCCCCACACCCAACGCCCACCACCCCATGTCATCCCCCCTCTCCCTTCCCGCGTCCGCCATCTCACCATGCCGGTAACACGGCTCTGGATTTGTGTGATGTGACTTGTGATGTTTGTGTGATTATGTGATGTGTGATTTGTGTCTGACATGTTTATTGTGTGTGTGGTGTGTGTGGCGTGTGTGTGGTGTGTGCGGCGTGTGTGTGGTGTGTGCGGCGTGTGTATGTTTGTGTGTAGCTCGTACCTGCGGCGGGAGCTGGAGGAGGAGCGCCAGCGAGGGGAGCAGCAGGAGAGCGCGCTCTCCCTACAAAACCAGCGGCTCTCCCACGAGCTGGCGCAGGTGGCACCGCTCTCCAGCATGCACACACGCCACACGCCACACACGCCACACACACGCCACACACGTCACACACACGCCACACACACACACGCCACACACACGCCACACACGTCACACACTTGCCACACGCCACACACACACACGCCACACACACACACACGCCACACACACGCCACACACACGTCACACACACGCCACACACACACACGCCACACACACGCCACACACACGCCACACACACGCCACACACACGCCACACACACGCCACACACGTCACACACATGCCACACACGTCACACACATGCCACACGCAGACATGTCACACACACACACACCAGTATGGTGGTGGGGGTGATAGTCGTGGTGGTGGTAGTGTTGGTGCTAGTGGTGGTGGTGCAGGTGGTGCTAAACGTGGTGGTGATGGTGTCATGGGGAGGGTGGTGTTGGTGGTAGTGTAGTGTTGGTAGTGGTTTTGTGATTACGAGGGATTGTTTATTTGTGTGGTTGTTTGTGTGTTTTCGTTGGCCTAGTTCAGCAGTTCATTGCTTGTCTGGTTATGTAAAGTGTTGGTGTGGCTACGAGTGGTTGTTTGGTAATGTTGTGCGGTTGTGCCGAGTCGTTGAGTGGCTGTGTGGCTGTGTGTGCAGGCCCGCCTTGCGCTGCAGGAGCTACAGGAGGAGCACAAGGCCCTGCGAGTGGAGACAGAGTCCCTGGGGCAGCAGGCGCAGCAGGTGGGGGGTGCATGGTGGTCTGGGTCTGAGTTCAGAGTCAATCAGAGTCACTCTTTGGTTCTTTCGGTAAAGTCACGTAGAATAAAGTAATAATTAAATAATTGCATACGACGATTCGATTGCAACACAAGCAATCCTCATCAGGTACAAATAAAAGAGAAAACAAACCTAGAGAGAGGCAAAACAGACACGGGAACACACAGACAGACACATAAGCAGAGAGAGATAACACAGAGACACACAGAGAGAGACACACACATAGGCACACAGAGAAACAACGCCTCTGTGTCGAGGCTACCGCAATAACGCTCTCAGCCTGGTAAAGAGCGATGAGCGAAACAAACGAGACAGCTTCATACGAGACGAGAGAACGAATTGAAAATGAATTGATGATTGAGTGATTGATTCATTGATTCATTGATTCATTGATTCGACTCGCCACGTCGCAGGCTGCCAGGGAGACGGAGCAGCGCTGCGCCATGATTGGTCGGCTCACGGAGAAGGCGACGTCGCTGGAGAGGAGGATTGCGGGAGACCTGACAATGGACCAACACACACAGGAGCTCCTCCTCGAGGTGGCTGCCTGACTCCTCCACCAGGGGACCACACCGCCTCCACCAGGAGACCACACCGCCTCCACTAGGAGACCACACCAGCTCTACCAGGGGACCACACCAGCTCTACCAGAGGCCTTGATACCCCCACGGGGGCCCATATTGGATCATCTCTATCACGACGTTGACGATACTGATGAAGCCGATGACAACGATTATGATGTTGTTGACGACGAACACGATGATGGCGATGATAATCACAACGATGATTGTTGATCACGACTTTGCTGACCGTAGTAATGATAACAGCGCTGATGATGTTGATGACGATAACAGTTGTGATGCTGCTGCTGATGATGACACTGCTGCTGATGATGATGACACTGCTGATGATTCGTTAACTCCAGCGGGCACGGCTGGAGGAGCGCCTGGAGGAGCTCTCCACTCGCCTCTCCGAGTCACAGGCCGTCGCCACGGCAACCGCATCTGGCTTGGAGCAGCAGGTGGGTGGGGGAGGGTGGCCTGGGAGAGAGGGGAGGGCGGGTGAGGGGGCTGATATTGATTGGAGAATGGATTGATGATGTGTTCAAGTCTCAAGTGTATTACGCTTGAATTTTTTTGGTTCTTTCGGTAAAGTCACGTAGACAGAAAAATAACAATACAAATAAAGTTAATAATTAACTCCATTAATTTTAATTTTTCTATCTCCGTGACTTTACCGAAAGAACCAAAGAATATGAGTTCCTGCAGTCACTTTCGTGACTGCAGGAACTCAAAATGTATTATGTTTAACCCAATGAGAGCTTGAGAGCCAGGCTAAAAGTATAATTTACCAGAGCAGGTGGGGTGGGAGTGTGTGGGTGGGTCATTTATTTGTTGTGTGAGTAGGTGGGTGAGTGAGTTAGTGTGTTATGTCGTACACACACCTCCACCCGACACGGCCAATTAGTAAGGTTGTCAACGTACCAATTTACGGCAACTAGCGTCGTCAGGCGTGTTACTTTTTCTATTTCGCTGGGGCACCTCGGGCTCTTCACATCCCACGCCCGAACACATTTTGAAAGGGCGGTGGCTGTCCCTGTACGGTGGTGACTCGCTGGCCCCTGGCCTGTGAGCCAGGGCCCTGCGAGCCTGGGGCACGAGTCTGCTGCTAGTAGCAGCGGGCGATGTTGCCGTGTGTGTGTGCTCCCAATTTTATCTTGTGGGTCATTTGAAAATTTGTCAAATTTGGGACCTTAACGCCGGCACACGATGACCTACACTTGCGTATGATGGCATGCGTTGTTACGGTTAATACCATCGCCACCGCAGCATTAACCAGGGATTTACGCCAGATTCGAACCTCCGCAATGAGCGGCGAACGCGCCACCGCTGGGCCGTGTCGCCGCGCTGCCGCGAGGCCGGGCACGCATTGCGGTTGCAGAGACACTGCCGTTGTGGCGTTGCCATTGTGGTGTTGCCGTGGTTGGGTTGCGGTCGGGTTGCGGTGTAGGTGAGGGAGTTGCGAGACCGTGCGCGGGAGCTGGAGGCGGCGGCGCAGGCGAAGGAGGAGCAGCGCGTGGGGAAGACGCGAGCTCGCGACGAGGAGGTGAGTGGCGGCGTGGCACTACCAACCCGGTGACACGAGTTCAATTCCCGCTCACCGCCAATGATCGTCTCAATCGGTCCTCGACCTTCACTGAGTCGACTGAGCCTCAAATGAGTACCCGGCGTCGTGTGTAAGCATCGTTGCTGGGGAGACAAAGGCGGACGGGTATGGTGCTAGCCACCCAGCCCTTCCGTTCTGGCCTTCATAAGTGCTACTCGCGAATAGCACTACTTGTCCCCAACAGCAATTAAAGGTTACTCGGGGGATCTATTTAGCTCTTTTTCAGAAGTGACCTGGGCACGAATGATGGCTCAAGGAAATGGCTGATGACGTGGAATTTATAGCAGCCAAATACTCTAGACGCACGTTGATTTTAAATGTGAGTGGGAAAACTGGAGAACCCGGAGAAAAATGCACGTGACTACGGGGATGGAGAGAGACACGCAAACTCCAAATACACAGCAGGCATCGGGGTTCGGATCGAACCCACGACCTCCTGTATACAGGCAAGAGAGTTAACATCTCGCTATCGTGGCGGCCGGGCGTGGGTGCCAGCCACACCACCCCCTTGTGCACCGCACTGGCCCCGCTCACGGCACGAGCCCCAGCAGCATGTGCGGGCTTTAGGGGGTCTCTGTGTGTGTGTGCAGCTGCGCCGCCTGCGCGAGGATCTCACCGCCACCAGGGAGGAGCTGACGCGTGCACAGAGGGTGGCGACGACGCGGGAGAGCGAGCGAGACCAAGCGGTGCACTCCGCACTGCAGACGCACCCACCTCGTCATTCACTACTGCAACCAAACCCACGTCGTGGCTCCCATATTGCAGCAGCACCCACCTTGTCACCGCCCGCATCGTCACACTTCACTGCAGCACTCCCCACCTCGTCACTCCCCACCTCATCGCTACCAACTACAGGAACACTCCATTAGAGATCTCCTCCTACCTCCTCTTCACCCCCCCGTAACTCCCGTCTCACGACCCCATCCCTCCCTCGCCCCCCCTTCCTTCTACCCCCTCACCTGTCCTCCGATCTCCCACCCCCCCCCCCCATCTTCTCAACACCCCCCCCCCCCTGCCCCTCCCCCCCCACAGCGTGCAGAGGGGGAGGCCGAGCGGCGGCGCCTGCAGCAGCAGTGGGCGGCGTCTCGCCAGCAGCTGGGGGAGCGTGTGGCGGCGCTGGACACGCAGCTCGCGGCGCTGGAGACGGCGCGCGACTTCGACCGCACGGCCAGCCAGCACAGCCTGGTACGGTGAGGGTGGGGGGGCTGAGGAGGCTGGTGGGGGCTGGGGGGCACTCGCAGACAAAGCAATGGAGCGGATACATCACTTGAAACTGAATCTCTCATCGTCGCTCTATACCAAATCGTCACTCCCCCTCCCTTGCACCCCTCCAACTCCCCTTATCCTTCCACCGCCCCGTGGTGCTGCACAGGGGCAGCTGCAGGCGGAGGGCGAGGAGCTGAGGGAGCGAGTGGCTGAGCAGGAGGCCACGGCACGCACCCTGGAGGAGGAGCTCCACAGCACCCAGGTGACGACACGAGGAGGGGTGGTCGTGGTGGTGGCCGGGTCTGGTGGTGGCCTGATGTGGTAGTGGTGGTTGGGTGTGATGGTGGTAGTCGGGTCTGGTGGTCGTGGTCGGGTCTGGTGGTGGTGGTGGCCGGGGTTTGGTAGTGGTGGTTGGGTCTGATGGTGGTGGCCGGATCTGGTGGTGGCCGGGTCTGGTGGTGGCTCGGTGTGGTGGTGGCCGGGTCTGGTGGTGGTGGCTTGGTGTGGTGGTGCCAGGTCTGGGGGTGTTGGCCAGGTGTGGTGGCGGTGACCCGGGTCCGGTTGTGTTTGGAGTTCGTCGTCACAGAGTGTGATACTCGATGTTTTCTTTCAGGCCGAGCTCACAGCTCAGAGGGCAGCACTCGCCCAGTCGATCTCTGACCTGGAGATGACACGGAGATGTGGGGATACACTACAGAAACAGGTGTGTGATGGCTACGTTTGCCTGGGTATACACGAGTACTTACACGTGTGTGTGCATACACACGGTAATGCAATGATTAGCGCGCTGCGCTACGAACCCGGCGACCCGAGTTCGATTCCTGCTCACGGCCAACATTAGTAATGATTATCTGAACCGGTCCTGGGCCTCCTCTAGGTCGATTCAACCTCAAATGAGCACCTGGTGCGATGTTTAAACATTGCCACCCGGGAGACGAAGGCGGCCGGGCGTGGTGTAGGCCACCTACCCCGACATGTGCTTGTATTGTCCTTAACAGGTGCTCGCTACCTCAACGGCCTATTAAGGATAATTTGGGGGTCTTTGTCTTTGTACACTTGCCTCAGGCGTGGCCTGTCGTGCGGCTTGGCTTGTGCTCTATTACAGCGTAACACAAAGTATTTGAACCCTAACCCCTAATGCCCCAACCCTAACCCCCAACCCTAAACTCCTAGCCCTAATCTCTAAACCCGAACCGCTAGCACTGACCGTAACTAACCCTTTTGCCATAACCCAAACACCCTTCTCCTAACCATCATCTTTCTCCCTAACAATAACCTTTTAATCCTAGCCTTCCACCTATTGCAATAGGTGACGTTTCGGGCAATGGTCCTTCTGTATAGCACACGTGCTACTGATGAACGTGTTGTTGAATCCCTAATGGGGCAGGGGGCTGGGAGAGGGGGGATGGTGGGTAGTGGGTAGGAGTGGTGGTGCAGAGGTTCGTGCATGACGCTAACAACTAGGCACATTAGTCCAGTTGTTGACCGGTTTGGAACCTCTCCTCCTCCCATTGCCAACCAGCGCTGACTGGCATGATGATGAAGTCTGGTCACACGAACAGCACGTGTGGGGATGCTTCCGTGGTGATGCTGCTGCAGCCTTGGCAGTGGTGCACAAACGACAAACCACTGGAGCTATACACTTTTAAATCGTCCAGATATAAAAACGTATTTCTTTCAAACTACTCTTTGCATTTCGTTTGTTGTCCTTCCCCCACACCTCCGATCAGCACGGTTGGCTACGTACTGTGCGAAAGAAGTTCAACATGCACACATACAAACCCTGTACACTAACACCCGGCCCTCTTCCCTTTATCCTATAAGCTTAACGCACAATCTCGAATGCGTGTTCTTAACCCCGGACCCCTTAACCTAACCCCCATACCCCAAAACCTAATCCCCAACGCTTTTAACACCTAACGCTAACCCATAACAATAAGCCCCAAACCTTAAAGGCAAAGTGATTTCCTGCTAGAATGAGCATTGAGGCATTTGTTCTCATCCCCTGCTTAAAGCCCTGCAGAGGCAGTGGGGTGGGAATTCCGCATTCCTATAACAGGAGCGAGTCTTTCCTTGGGACAAGCGGTAGTTGATCTCCCCCCTCCGCCCCCCCCCCCCCCCCCCCCCCCCACAGCTGTGTGAGCTGCAGGAGGCATTGGCGCTGGCGGAGGGGAGGCTGGCGGAGGCTCGGGAGCGCTGCTCCTCCGCAGAGGCTCGGAGCTACGTGCTCGAGCAAGGTACGGACGGAGACGCAACAGCAGTATGAGCAGCAGCAGTAGCAGAAGTAGCAATAGAAGCAGTAGTAGCAGTAGAAGCAGCATTAGCAGCAGCAGTAGAAGCAGGAGAAACAGCGGCCCTAGAAGTAGCAGAAGTAGAAGCAGCAGTATCAGTAGATGCAGCAGCAGTAGAGGCAGCAGCAGTAGCAGTATAAGCAGCAGCAGTAGAAGCAGCAATAGAAGCAGCAGCAGTAGCAGCAGCAGTATCAGTAGAAGCCGCAGTAGAAGCAGCAGCAGTAGAAGCAGCATCAGTAGAAGCAGCAGCAGTAGAAGCAGCAGCAGTAGAAGCAGCATTAGAAGCAGCAGCAGTAGAAGCAGCAGTAGATGCAGCAGCAGTAGAAGCAGCAGTAGAAGCAGCAGCAGTAGAAGCAGCAGTAGATGCAGCAGCAGTAGAAGCAGCATTAGAAGCAGCAGCAGTAGAAGCAGCAGTAGATGCAGCAGCAGTAGAAGCAGCAGTAGAAGCAGCAGTAGAAGCAGTAGAAGCAGCAGCAGCAGTAGAAGCAGCAGCAGTAGAAGCAGCACCAGTAGAAGCAGCAGCAGTAGAAGCAGCAGCAGTAGAAGCAGCAGTAGAAGCAGCAGTAGAAGCAGCAGTAGAAGCAGCAGTAGAAGCAGCAGTAGAAGCAGCAGCAGTAGAAGCACCACCAGTAGAAGCAGCAGTAGAAGCAGCAGTAGAAGCAGCAGCAGTAGAAGCAGCAGTAGCAGCAGCAGTAGAAGCAGCAGTAGAAGCAGCAATAGAAGCAGCAGCAGTAGAAGCAGCAGTAGATGCAGCAATAGAAGCAGCAGCAGTAGATGCAGCAGTAGAAGCAGCAGCAGTAGAAGCAGCAGCAGTAGAAGCAGCAGCAGTAGAAGCAGCAGCAGTAGAAGCAGCAGCAGTAGAAGCAGCAGCAGTAGATGCAGCAGTAGAAGCAGCAGCAGTAGAAGCAGCAGCAGTAGATGCAGCAGTAGAAGCAGCAGCAGTAGAAGCAGCAGTAGTAGAAGCAGCAGCAGTAGAAGCAGCAGCAGTAGAAGCAGCAGCAGTAGAAGCAGCAGCAGTAGAAGCAGCAGCAGTAGAAGCAGCAGCAGTAGAAGCAGCACCAGTAGAAGCAGCACCAGTAGAAGCAGCACCAGTAGAAGCAGCAGCAGTAGAAGCAGCAGTAGAAGCAGTAGCAGTAGAAGCAGCAGCAGTAGAAGCAGCAGTAGATGCAGCAATAGAAGCAGCAGCAGTAGAAGCAGCAGTAGAAGCAGCAGCAGTAGAAGCAGCAGTAGATGCAGCAATAGAAGCAGCAGCAGTAGATGCAGCAGTAGAAGCAGCAGCAGCAGTAGCAGTATAAGCAGCAGTAGAAGCAGCAGTAGTAGCAGTAGAAGCAGCAGCAGCAGCAGTAGCAGTATAAGCAGCAGTAGAAGCAGCATTAGAAGCAGCAGCAGTAGAAGCAGCAGCAGTAGAAGCAGCAGTAGAAGCAGCAATAGAAGCAGCAGCAGCAGCAGCAGCAGTAGAAGCAGCAGTAGAAGCAGCAGCAGTAGATGCAGCAGTAGATGCAGCAGCAGTAGAAGCAGCAGTAGAAGCAGCAGCAGTAGAAGCAGCAGTAGCAGCAGCAGTAGATGCAGCAGTAGAAGCAGCAGTAGAAGCAGCAGCAGTAGAAGCAGCAGCAGCAGTAGCAGCGGCAGTAGAAGCAGCAGCAGTAGAAGCAGCAGCAGTAGAAGCAGCAGCAGTAAAAGCAGTAGCAGTGCTACTGTCCATCTCAGGGGTTAGGGGTACGGTAACCCTGACCCCTGACCTCACCGCCACCGCTGACCCTATCGCGGCCGCCCTCAGAGCTGCGCGCCAGCGAGGCGCTGGCGGAGGAGAGGCAGCGTGCCAGCGAAGAGGAGGTGGAGGAAGGGGAGGCAGCGCAGCCAGCGCAGGCAGGGACCGTGGGAACACATGGGGCACGCAACGGGACCCGGGAGGGGCCGGGGGGCGGCAGCGACGATGGTGGCGACGATGGCACCACTGGCGCCGCCGTAATTACGGCCGCTGCCGTTGCCCGCACCGCTGAGGAGGAGGGGGCCAACTCGGCGCTGAGAATGGAACTGGCGGAGAAGCACAAGGTGAGCGGGGGTGGGGTTGGGGGTATGAGGTCATGTGGTGGCACACAAAGGTCACGTGACTATACTGTTTGGTTCTTTCGGTAAAGTCGCGTAACTTTACCGAAAGAACCAACGAGTGTGGATTCCTGCAGTCACGAAAGCTTCAAATCAAGATTGTCACGTGACTAGACACGGGGGTTCTGTGATGAGAGTTCGTGTGATGGGACCTGGTCACGTGACGGGACACGTGGTCACGTGACGGGACACGTGGTCACGTGCCGAGACACGAGGTCGAGTGACGTTAAACGAAGCTACTTGACATGCTGTACGTAGCGCGACACGCCGTAACACGTCGTTGGCTGACGCCGGGTGTCACCGTACAGACCATCAAGCAGTTGCAGCAGCGGCTGGCGGAGCTCAAGAAGACTCTGCAGAGAGAGCTGGTGAGTGACGGCGCCCACCTGCCTGCTAGTCCACTATCCCGCTAGTCCGCTAGTCCACCTGCGCGCTAGTCCACTATCCTAAAAGTCCACTCGCCTGTCCGCTCGCTCGTCCTTTATCCCACTCGCTTGCTCGTCTGCTGGCCTGCAACCCCACTGACCCCCACCGTATATTATCATCCCGCGAGCCCAATAGACCACTGCATTTCATGGTTAGCCTTACTTGCCCGCACGTAGCCATCTCGATGGCGAGATGTTATCTGCCTTGCCTGGTATACAGGAGGTCGTGGGTTCGATCCTGACACCTGCTGTATATTTGGAGTTTGCGTGTCTCTCTCCCCGTGATCGTGTGGATTTATCTTGGTGTCCTACAATTTTTCCCTCCACATTGAGAAACATGCGTTTAGGAGTATTTGGCTGCTATACATTTCCACATGATAACCTACTTCGTGGACCTATCATTTGTGGCCAGGTTGCTTCTGAAAAGAAGCTATATGGCTCAGTAGGTCTTAATGTCATAAAATTAAAAGCATGTTTAGTTTATATTATGGCTTGTGGAAGGAGGCCTTCACCCAGCAGTAGACAGATCATGGTTGATGATGATGAAGCCTCACATCTCTGCCCCTCAACTCTCTCCTCTCCCCTCTATTGCCACTACCCCCCACAACCCACCCCCCCCCCCCCACCTCACCAGCGCCTGAGAGTGGAGGGGTCCGATTCTGGGAATGCGGCGTCAGGAGCGGTGGATGGAAGGGAGCGACCGTTTGGGGCCTCCCACTCCTCGATGGCCCCCCACGAGCCTCCGGATTGGTTGAGGGGGGGCGGAGGGGCGGTGTTTGGGCCGTACGTGACGGGCGTTGCCGGCGAGCCGCCGCGCGTCAACCTGCAGTACCTGAAGCACGTGGTGCTCAAGTTCGTGTCGGCTCGTGAGGCGGAGGTATGGGCAACCAGCACGCAGCAACCCGACTACCTTACTACCTTACTACTTACTACCTTACTACTTACTACCTTACTACTACTACCTTACTACCTTACTACTTACTACCTTACTACTTACTACCTTACTACTACTACCTTACTACTTACCACCTTACTACCTTACTACTTACTACCTTACTACTACCTTACTACGACTACCCACGCAGCAACCCGACTACCGATCGTGAAACCATGCAACCACCCGCAACCACCCGCAACCACCCGCAACCATGCAACCCATAACCAATAACTGGAGAATGTCTTAACCAGTCCTGGGCATCTCCAAGGTCGACTCAGCCTTAAACGTTGTGACGTCCTAACCTCGGCACTTGGGAGACAAAGGGGTGTGGTGCTGGCCACCCACCTCGTGTTTTCGTAGGTGCTGGTCGCTAACGGCTCTTGCCCCAACAGTCTGCTGTTCAAGGCGACACATTGACGGCCTTCGGCCAGGCAAGTCGCTCAAAAAGTTGGACACGAACGACGCATTCACGAAAGCACCCCATGCTCCGTTTTGAAGTTTTAAAATGAAACATCTTTGAATTGTATTATGTTTTGAATTAGATAATTGTATTTCTTCATTTAAAGCTTATATCATTTTACATCTGGAAGACTTCATTGAAAAGGACATTTCGTGTGAATTTTCTCTCGTCGTTAAGTCGATGGCCTTGCCGGGGGTTCGGTTCGATGCGGACTATCACCCGTTTGGGATTGCGGGATCGAGATGAGGCGACACGGAGCTGCTGGCCGTGCGAGAAGACCGCCGTCTGCAGATCGATTCCCACGTCATCGAGCGTCTGTCCCTGCGCCTCCGTCGTTCATGCAGGGGGCGCGTGGAGGTTTGCAAGCGCCGCCTGCATGAAAACGACGGAAAGTGCAGCGTCAATCACAGATAGATAAAGTTGTGCGCTTGTGTAAGCGTATGGGGGGGGGTCTTTGTCTTGTGTAGGCGTTCCACCTCGTTCGGGCCATCTCTGTACTGCTGCACCTCTCCTCTGAGGAGGAGCGCCTCTTGAAGGAGACGCTGGAGTACAAGGTGTGACCACCGCTCGGAATCACGATCACCACCAACATCACTGCCACCGCTCGCCACCACTACCGCTCACTGCCAACACCATCGGCAACGATCGCCACTCTCTCCTCACCCCACGACCCTCGGCGCTTACCCCTCACTCAGAGCTACACTCCGCCAACCTTATTCCAGAGCGATTCACTGCACTTCATCACAACTCGGTCAATCTGGGTCTCTGTGTAGTGACTGACTGAGAGACACTAAGAGTCGGAGGCACTCTGTTTATTAGACGGCCTTAACAGTTGACACTGGGTAGCTGCGGCTCCCAGTCAGGACAGCTGGCAGACCGCCTGGCTGGGATCCTGCTCCACACGACAGCCCCGAGGTCCCCTCCCGCGGCCCCCCTTCTGGAACCTACCAGCAGGTTCTTGATGTGCCCCTTCCATAAACCTTTCCACTACATCCCTCTCTGGTCTGTCACGTGACCTGCTGTCAGTCAGCGCTGCTGTAGCTGCAGATCCCCTTCCCTACCAGCGGCCAGCGCTATGCTGCTAAGTGACCGATTCTATGTCACTACATCTGTTTAGGTGTATCTATGTGAGCCTATTGGTCTTTGTGAGTCTGTGGGTGTCTATGCGAGTCTGAATTCCCATGACTGGGCTGAGACCATCTTACCACATGAGAACCTGGTATAATCGCAGCTGGGGCAGCCGCAACTATGAATTCAAACCCAGGTTGTCTGTGCTTTGATCTCTGAGTCACACGGTCACTTACCTCCTCTTTGCCCCCCCCCCACATCCCCAGATGTCGTGGTTTGGAACGCGGCCAGCCCCGCAGGGCGCCGTGCGCCCCTCCATCACCGGCAGCGGCCTGCCCTGGCAGTGACGGCCTGCGCTCTGCTTTTGCGTGGCTGCCGCGGCCTCCTAATGCCGGGGAGAGAGAGAGAGCATTCCTCGCTGTAGTATTTAAAAAACAAAATTCCGCTGTGGAGGTTGGCTCGCGGATGTGGAACCACGGACTCGCGCAGGTCACTTCCTGCCCCCGCCGCAAGGAATTCTGGGACATGGGCTGCCCCGCCCCATTCCCACCCCAGATCAGGTTGTCGTCGTTGGTTGTAGCGCATCGCCACGGGGCGCCAAAGCTCCCCTGCAGAGGGCCGCACGGTGGCGCCAGCAGCGCCACGCGTCGCACCCGGCCACGATGATGATGATGCTGGCTCCCCACGATTGCGCTTTACTGGCAAACGGTCGTAGCGTCCTCGACACCAACCAACCACTCCACTGCAGCTGTAGCAGCAGCGGCAGCCCATGGAGCAGAGAGGTGGGGTGTCCGACTCCATCTGGCCCTGCCAAGTGCGACGTGTGGCCGGGTGTGATGTGTGGCAGTGTGTGGCAACGTGGCCGGGTGTGACACGTGGCTGGGTGAGATTGACTGGCTGAGTGGGTGACTCGCCACATCAATAACACTGGTGTGTGTGTGGCCTTAAAAGTAAAAATATGTAATAGGCGACATTTCGGTCAATGGCCCTTTCTCATAGCATGTGAAAGATGTGTGCGTTAAAAATAAGTAATTCTCATCAGGCCTCAGGGTGTAAACTGCACTGTCCAACGCTTATCCACTCTTTCTCTTTGGCTTCTCTGTTTATGTGCCATGAAGAAAGGCCATGGCCCGAAACGTCGTTCATTATATATTTTCTTTTAATCCCGCAGTGTTATTGACGAACGCGTTGAGTTTTACTTTTTGGTTACTTGTGCACCACTGCCAATGCAGCATCACCAAATGATTGGAGTGACTGAGTGAGTGACCGAGTGAGTGACCGAGTGAGTGACTGACCGCTATGATTGTCTAGAGAAAAATCTGTTACTCCATTCCATTGTACGCACGTACATTACGTTGAACTTCTTTTGCACCATACGTAGCCAACCTTGCTCGTCGGAGGCGCCCACCAAGTTGGCACGGTCGCCCCACGGTCGACTCGTCGCCACTGGCGATGGCCACCTCCCGCACCATCCGGCGGATCGTGGCGATGGCCGGGAACGTCGAGACAACCGGTGGTGGTGGTGAAGTCAGGGGGTCGGTGGGGATCAAGAAGTCGCCACGTGACACCCCCGCGTCGACGGATCGACCCGGCGCGCCCCGCGGGGCCGAGACCATCAATCTGCTCGGCGCCGGTTCCGTGCCGCGTGTGAAGGGATCCCCTGCAGCTGCAGCAGAAGCTGCAGCAGCAGCAGCAGTAGCTGCTGCAGCAGCAGCTGCAGCAGCAGCAGCTGCAGCAGCAGCAGCAGCTGCAGCAGCAGCTGCAGCAGCAGCTGCAGCAGCAGCTGCAGCAGCAGCTGCAGCAGCAGCTGCAGCAGCAGCTGCAGCAGCAGCTGCAGCAGCAGCTGCAGCAGCAGCTGCAGCAGCAGCTGCCACTAGAGGTGCTGTAACGCAATCGAATCGGACATCCGACGAGATCACCAATCGGTCCGTGTGGGTGGAAAAAAGTAGGGGTGGCGTTGCCTGTCGTAGGGGCGTGTCTCTGCCCATCTATGGGCTTGTTGAGCGTGAATCGAGGTCAGTCTGGTTAATCCGACGGCGACGGTAAGAGTATCAATTCGTCGAACGTTAATCGCCGCGTCGATTCATTGTCAAGCGTCGTGTGAAACGCCCCCTCAGCTGCGCGATCGGTGATTAGTTTGAAAGTCCGTTTTTTCTTTTATCGCTCATCACAGCGCCACGGCGTAAGATGCAATCAACCGTCGCTCGGTGGCGGAGGGGCGTGCATCGTCGAAGGTGTCGAGTGATTTCCACACTGGAATATTTTCGGGGTTGCTGCTCGACTGGGCTAGGTGGCACGTGACCCTGCAAGAGTGGTGGCCACAGCTCGTTGCGAGGGGTATCCTGAATGTGGTGTGGGGGGGGGGTGTCGGGGAGTGTTGATTTTGTTAAGAGAAAATATATTCCGTCAACAGTGTTTATTTGATGAGAGTCAACGATGACAATGAGTGGATGAAGATGGTTACTACTGCCCAATATCACCATCATCACTACTATAATAGAGGGTTTTTTTGGGGTTAGATCGCGTAAGTATATAAATGTGTCGTTAGAACCCGCCACCACCCGACACAGACAACTGGTAAGGGTTGTCTCGGAAATAGAACGTGGCCAATTCGTCACAAGTACAGCACTAGTGTATAGTGTAGTGTATAGTGTAGTGTACTAGTACAGCACTGACCGGTGTGTTGGAGAGCCAAGCCACAACATTTACAATCTGAGTACGACGTTTCGCCAGTAATTACAACCAGCTTCATCAGGCGACAGCCAGACTTGTGGAGAAGTCTAACTGCAAGAGTGCAGAAGAGTGGTCACCACATCTACGCCTCTCTATATAAGGAGCGAAACAAGAAGACTTCTCCACAAATCTGGCTGTCGCCTGATGAAGCCAGTTGTGGCTTGGCTCTCCAACACACAACCGGTTAGTGCTGTACTAGTGTACTGCACTATACACTACACTATACACTACTATACACTACACTACTATACACTACACTACTATACACTACACTATACACTACACTACTATACACTACACTATATACTACACTATATACTAGTGCTGTACTAGTGTACTGCACTATACACTACACTATACACTACTATACACTACACTACTATACACTACACTATACACTAGTGCTGTACTAGTATACTACACCATACACTACACTACTATACATTATACACTGGTGCTGTACTAGTGACGAATTGGCACGTTCTGTTTACGTGACAACCCTCACTAGTTGGCTGTGTCGGGTGGTGGTGGGTTCTAACGACCATTATGGATATTGGTCGCGAAAGCCGACGTGTTAAACTGATCATCACTTCTATCACCACCACCATCAATACTACCACTACTATCACCACCACCATCACCACCATCAATACTACCACTACTATCACCACCACCATCAATACTACCACTACTATCACCACCATCATCACCACCACCACCGCGTGTAGCTACAACCCGATGGGTCTGAGTGAGACCGGGGCTCACCGAGTGGCCGAGTTGGTAGCACTGTGGGCTGGGGGGTTGTGGTGTTTAGGCGAAGAGCGGCTGCTTGAGAGCCACTGGAGCACCTGCTCGACGAGACGAATCCCGGCTCCATCAACGTTGCCACCGGTTACCGTTGCCACCGGTTACCGCTGCCACCGGTTACCGTTGCCACCGGTTACCGTTGCCACCGGTTACCGTTGCCACCGGTTACCGTTGCGCGGCTCGCTGCTGCGATGTCCGCAGCGTCTCGGCAGGACGACTTTGAGAGGCGGTCGATGCTCAAAGTCGAGTCCGTCTCTTCACAACGAGTTTCAGAGACGTCTGCGTGCAAGCGACTCGGTTGCGTGCAATGGATTGCACGGGTTGCGCTTTGTCAAGCAATCGCAACGCTTGACTTTGTTCACCCTGCTTGTGGCGCAAAGGGTAAATCTGGGCCCAAGTGGCAGCGCATTTGCCGCTTGTTGCAGAGGTTCCGATCCGGCAGGTCGTCCTGGTCACTCCTGTGGCTTCTGCTTCACGGCGGATGTGAAAGATCCCCCGTGACGTCATTCTACACGAGTCGTGTGCCAGCAGCTGCAACATCACCCACCTCCCCCCCCCCCGTTACTGTCAAATCACCGCAGGCCGCGTCTGAAACACAGCGGTGGGTGGTGGCAGAGGTGGGACAAAGTCATTGTTATGCAAGTCCAAGTCGAGTCTGAAGTCATCAAATTCATGACTCGAGTCCAAGTCACATGACTCGAGTCCAAGTCACATGACTCGAGTCCACACCTCTGGGTGGTGGCACCTTCCTTGGCAATGGTCGCCTTGGGCAATCGGAACGACGGCGCCAGTACCGGACGTGCTCCATTATTGACCAGGCGACGTCTTCAATAAGCTCCCAGTTGTTGACCCCATTAGCTCTGGCGTCGGGTGAATCGGCACGTGACGATCGCGGCTCGAGGGGCGTTTTGCACTCCGGCGAAGAAGCTCTTCTCCTCTGCTGCATCCTCAAGGACAGCATCACCATGGTTACACTGCAGTCACCATGGTTACACTGCAGTCACCATGGTTACACTGCAGTCACCATGGTTACACTGCAGTCACCATGGTTACACTGGTTACTGCCGTCGAGCGAGAGGCGACGACTGCCTCGAGTGCGACATCGCACTGGGGGTTGAGCGTGTGAGTTGGTGTGTGAGTTTGTGTGTAAGTGAGTTGATTGTGTGTGCAGGGGCTAGCGCACTGCACTACTCAACTGGCGTTCCGGGCTCGATTCCTGCTCGCAGACACTTTAGGTGATTATCTACACCGGATCCTGGGCTTCCCCTAAGTCGACTCAGCCTTAAATGAGAGCCTGGTGGGTGCCGTGTGCAAACATCAGCATTGGGGAGACAAAGGTGGCTGGGCATGGTCCTGGCCACCACCCCCTCAGTGCGCCTTGCCGTCCTTCATCGGTGGCACTTGCTCCAGTAGCCTGTGTAGGCTATATGGGGGACCTTTGTGTTCATGGGTACAGTTCTGGGGAAAAACAAAAACTACTTGTTGGTTTGCTCTCCCTGTCGGCTCCTGAAACTAACTTATTCTGATCACCGCTGTGCTTCTAAGCCCTGGGAATAAAAGATCTGCAACCCTCGCACGTGTGTGCTACCACATGGTGTCATGTCTCACGTCGTGTCTCGCACCACCAGCTCGATGGGATTCCTGCGTCCTCATGAATCGTGTCCCGAGGGAGCCAAACTCTCGTCGTCGCGAACGGGAGGGACCACACTTCATGCCAGTGTGGAAGCGTGCTTCTGAAAACGAGTCTTGAGACTCGATGAGGCTTTCCTGGGCAAGTGGCAATATTATTACTTAAACCTACAGCCCATTTCGCTGGAATGGCCTGAGCTCACAAGCCAAGCAGGGCTGGATATTACTTTGTATGGGCAACCCCCATGCATAACACAGGTGTTATAGGCTGCTTCGGGGCTATGTTGTCAGCAGAGGGAAGATGCAGAATAACCCATTGTACTTTACTACACTCAAACGTCTGTGCCCTGCCTTCATCCAGCATGGCAAGCATGGTAAAACAATCCCCATGGGGAGGCACTCATCCAGCAGTGGCGTGACTAGAGGGTTGCACACGTCCGTGAACTGAAAGCAGCCCGACTTCCAGAGCACATTCAGTGCCATGACGACCGAGTGGGTCTATTGAGAGGGATCAGCAGGTTCTATAAAGGCCGCAACTTGGGGTGGATACCAGGGAGGGGAGAAGCGGATTTATTGCGACTGGTGTGCTGCACCGCGGCACAGCAGCAGCAGCAGCAGCCCTCGGCTCGCCATACAAAAACATTCAAACAAATCCCGGGGAGGGGAATGCCGAGGGTGACGGTGAGCGGTGGCGGTAAGGGGCGAGCGTCGATCGTAAAAATCTCTGGTGGTGGACTTGGTAGCGAGCGGTATGGGGCGGTGGTGTTTGCGTTGAGCATCGGTGATGTGAGCGTTGGCGACGGGTGATGATGGCGGTAAACTTGAAGTGGGGTCGATGAGCGGCGTTGGTTGGTGAGCCCACGGTTGTGTTGCCCCTCACACCATCTTGCGGGCAGTGAGCACGCGAACTACACAGCCCAGGCCGCCCACCGCCAACACCTGCCAAGCAGAGACAGAGACAGCATCAGCATCAATAGAAACCCCGGAGTCTGCACACAAAAATCCCTTGTAGAGCCTCACCAGACTGTTGGGGCAAGTGATGTTAGCGAGTAGCACCTATGAAGGCCAGAACGGCACAAGGCGGTGGATGGCCAGCACCACGCCTGGCCACCGCTATCGCCCTCGTGGCGGCGTTTACACACCGCACCAGGCACTCATTTCAGATCGAGTTGACCAAGGGGAGGCCCAGAATCGGTGTGACCGGGAATCGAACTTGGGCCACAAGTCTCATAACGCAATGCGCCAACCACCACTACACTACCGCTCCCCATGCAAATACAGGCACGCAAATATCCCCCATGTAGTCTTGACAGACTGTTCGGGCAAGTGCTGTTAGCGAGTAGCACCTATGAAGGCCGGCACGGCGCACGACGGGGTGACGCGCCCACAACACGCGCCGCAACGAACCTTCTCGTGCCACTGCAGCAGCACGGCGCTGCTGTTCTCGGAGGGTCGCTCGAAGCCCTTGTAGACGTACTGCATGAGCAGGTCAACGCTGCCCTGGTCCAGCGAGCGCACGCCACGCTCCATGTCGGCCGCCTTGAACGCGGTCAGAACCTTCAGCACAGTAACCTCCGCTCGCTCCTGGTAGACCATGCACGGAGTTAGGGTGTGACACGGTGCGCGGTGAGACACACACCATGACAGAGTGACACACAAGGTGATGCACACCATGACCTCCGCTCGCCCTAGCTCACCACGCACAGAGATACGGTGACACGCCGTATGGTGATGCACACACCGTGACACACCGTGCCCTCCGCTCGCTTCTCACACACATGCAGAGACACGGTGACACGGCACACCGTGACACCCTGCGGCACACCGGGATATACCACACACAGCCAAACAAATCAAACTGTCACCTGTACAAGCGTTTAACAGTGATTAGATTAGTATTGAGCTCTCCGCTAAACTGAACAATCCTCACAATCAAATTAGCAATTACAGGGTTACGCAAATACGACTTTGCAGAAATGCTCCCATAAATCATACAAATTAAGATGCGGAAATGTTTGCATTAGTTACGTGAGCACAAATAGTGTAGAGCGGTGAGGTTGCGGATGAACACCAAAACGCCACCTTCACAGAGCTTCTCTCAGATTAAGGTAGATATGTTTGTAGCGTTGTCATGTTAGCATTACGTAATTGTTTAGTTTTCTATGCTTAGAACTATCTTTTTCCCATGTTTCTATTGCTAGTTTTCATTTTAAGTAAATTTAATGAGTTACTTACTCTACAGTATGTACTATGTGTATCTGTGTTGTGTGTGTGTATGTAGACGACCCTACATACACTTATGTGTAAGTGTGTATATGTGAAGTCTCGGCCGAGCCGAATGTACGGTAAACACTTGGAACCGACTGCTTTCTATTAACAATGCATCTTAATAATAACCACAATTGGATACATTATATGTTCCGTTAGTTAAATAATGGGTAGTGTAGATATTCGATGAAATGAAAGCATCATAGTAAGTGCAGAGCGTATGCACAGCGATACGAAACAGGTAGCGATAGAAAACGGATGACGGCGTGATACAGCAATGAGAGAAAACGGTGGGGTCAGAACAATTCCTTGGCCTCACCTAAATATCGACTATGAGACGATACGCACAGTTGGCTACGTATGCCGAAACATAAGTTATATATACAGAGCATACCACACCACACTGCTGACCACACAGATGCACCGTAACCCACCACACGCCACTAGGGTTGCCATCGGCCCCGGTCTGACCCAGACAATCTGGTAATAGGTGCCCGTGTTGGCTGGCAGGAACTGATTTGTAAACGAGATCTGGTGGCACCGCGTTGATTATCGCAGGATACTGCACAGCGTGGACAGAGGCCACGGTGGCGAGATGTTAACGACCTTGCATCTAGGAGGCCGTGGGTTCAATCTCGACTCTGAGGCCTGTTGTAGATTTGGACTTTGCATGTTCTTCCCGCAGTCGTGTGGAATTTTCCGCAGGTTCTCCAGTTTTTCCCTTCACATTTATTAACGTGCATTTAAGAGTATTTGGCTTCAAAAATCTTCTACACGATAAGCTCCTTTCGTTGATATATAATTTGTGGCCAGGCAGCTTCTCAAAAAGAGCTACGTAGCTCAATGGGCCTTTAAACTGGTAACAATAAAACAAAAACGGTGACCTCACGCTGAGAAATACGTCCGGGTTTGGCCGACAGTAGAAAAGGCGGCAAACGGACGCACGAGACCAGGACGACGCTGCAGGGGTTGGTGGGTCACGGGGGCAGGGGGAGTCGCACCTTGACGCTCTGGCTCTTGGAGTTGAGAGGAGGGTTCTTGAGAGCTGCCTTCAGAGCTGCGACCATGTCTCCCGTGGATGCGCGGGTCAAGAAATCAACGTCGTCAACATCATCATCAGCGTGAACATCACCGTCACCATCAACATCAACATCAGCGTGAACATCATCATCAGCGTGAACATCGACATCGGCGTGAACATCGACATCACCGTCACTATCAACATCAACGTGAACATCGACATCAGCGTGAACATCGACATCACATCACAGTTACCATCAAGATGAGCGTCAACATCATCACCGTAAACATCAACATCAGCGTGAACATCATCATCAGCGTGAACATCAACATCATCACCGTGAACAACATCATCACCGTCAACATCAACATCCTCATCAACAACGGGGTGTGGCCACACAGCCCCAGTGGCAGCGTCTACGTTAGTCGTGGAGGTTCGCAGTTGGAACCTAATAATCATAGCGAGTCCTCAATAGTATCGTGGTTCGTACTCCAACCTGTCACGCGGGGAGACCAGGGTTCAATTACCTGTCGGGGAGAGCTAAACTTTTTACACACAAACTGCTATTCTGTGCGTTTAGTTGTCCTTCCCCCCGCACCTCCGATTAGCACGGTTGGCTACGTACGGTGCGAAAGAAGTCCAACATACACGCGTGCCTATTACTGCAGGTGTGTTAACCATGAACACGCGCCGTCTTGTTTCACAGTGGACATCTAAGAGACCTGGAATGTTTTTCGAAAAGAGACTAGCGTCACCGGCCACAGTTGTCACAATCGAGATGGTAATCGATTCAGAAAGTGGTTACCGGTTAGCACCGTTCGGCAATGGCGTGGTGCAACACAGCCCGAAGGGCGTGGTAATGAGGAAGTCGCAAAGGCAGCGGGTTTGAGTTGGGTTTTATTTTATTATTTTATTGTGAGTTTCCCGTTATAACCCAACTTCTGCCATCCCCTCGTGTTTCGTCAGCTCTAGCAAGGTCGGTGGTCTGGGTAAAGGTGCGGAGGTCTCTGCCTTGTCCGCCCTGAATTCACAAGCAGAACCCGGCTGCAATTCACCCAATCATCTCATCAATCAACACCCTACATCAACAAAACCTAACGCTAACCCTTACCACAACCAAACCCTCACCCTAACCTTCACCAAACCCTAGCCGAAGCTTCACCTGACCCTAATCCTCGCCATAATCCCAACCCAAACAAAACCCTTTACCCCAACCCATCCCGTATAGCCTGAACAGACTGTAGGGGCAAGTGCCGTTCGCGAGCAGCACCGATGAAGGCCGCCACGGCGCACGAGGGAGTGGGTGGCCAGAACCACGCTCGGCCGCCTTTGTCTCCCCAGTGGCGATGTTTACTCCACCCCACGCCAGGAACTCATTGAGGCCCAGTCGACCTTGGGGAGGCCCAGAACCGATTCAGATAATCGTCACTGGTGTTGGTGGCCGTGAGCGCGAATCGAACTCGGGTCGCCAGGTTCGTAGCGCAGCGCGCTAACCGCTCTACGCTCTCCAAACACGGAGCAGAGAACACGCACAGCACATACAGACACAGCACATACAGACACAGCACATACACACACAGCACATACACACACAGCACATACACACACAGCACATACACACACAGCACATACACACACAGCACATACAGACACAGCACAAACACACACAGCACATACAGACACAGCACAAACACACACAGCACATACACAGCACATACACACACAGCACATACACACACAGCACATACACGCACAGCACATACAGACACAGCACATACACACACAGCACATACACACACAGCACATACACACACAGCACATACACACACAGCACATACACACACAGCACATACACACACAGCACATACACACACAGCACATACAGACACAGCACATACAGACACAGCACAAACACACACAGCACATACAGACACAGCACAAACACACACAGCACATACACGCACAGCACAAACACGCACAGCACATACACGCACAGCACATACACGCACAGCACATACACGCACAGCACATACACGCACAGCACATACAGACACAGCACATACACACACAGCACATACACACACAGCACATACACACACAGCACATACACACACAGCACATACACACACAGCACATACAGACACAGCACATACACACACAGCACATACAGACACAGCACAAACACACACAGCACATACAGACACAGCACATACACACACAGCACATACACACACAGCACATACAGACACAGCACATACACGCACAGCACATACACGCACAGCACATACAGACACAGCACATACACACACAGCACATACACACAGCACATACACACACAGCACATACACACACAGCACAAACACACACAGCACATACACACACAGCACATACAGACACAGCACATACACACACAGCACATACACACACAGCACATACACACACAGCACATACACACACAGCACAAACACACACAGCACATACAGACACAGCACATACACACACAGCACATACACACACAGCACATACAGACACAGCACATACACACACAGCACATACACGCACAGCACATACAGACACAGCACATACAGACACAGCACAAACACACACAGCACATACAGACACAGCACAAACACACACAGCACATACACAGCACATACACACACAGCACATACACGCACAGCACATACACGCACAGCACATACAGACACAGCACATACACACACAGCACATACACACACAGCACATACACACACAGCACATACACACACAGCACATACACACACAGCACATACACACACAGCACATACAGACACAGCACATACAGACACAGCACAAACACACACAGCACATACAGACACAGCACAAACACACACAGCACATACACACAGCACATACACGCACAGCACATACACACACAGCACATACACACACAGCACATACACACACAGCACATACACACACAGCACATACACACACAGCACATACACACACAGCACATACAGACACAGCACATACAGACACAGCACATACAGACACAGCACATACACACACAGCACATACACACACAGCACATACACACACAGCACATACACACACAGCACATACACACACAGCACATACACACACAGCACATACAGACACAGCACATACAGACACAGCACAACACACAGCACACACACAGCACACACACACACAGCACATACACACACAGCACACACACAGCACACACACAGCACACACACACACAGCACATACACACAAGTTTAACAACACTTCATGTCGATATGTATTCAGCAGTGGCTATGCCGTGACGACCGAGGAGCTGAGGGAGGCTGCGTGGTGAGAATGTCACCGGGAGACAGGAAGAGGACCCCACACCGAGAGGGGGTCACGCCTGGTGGTGACGGAGAGGACCCCACACCGAGGGGGGGTCACGCCTGGTGGTGACGGAGAGGACCCCACACCGAGGGGGGGTCACGCCTGGTGGTGACGGAGAGGACCCCACAGAGGGGGTCACGCCTGGTGGTGACGGAGAGGACCCCACAGAGGGGGTCACGCCTGGTGGTGACGGAGAGGACCCCACAGAGGGGGTCACGCCTGGTGGTGACAGAGAGGACCCCACACAGAGGGGGTCACGCCTGGTGGTGGCAGAGAGGACCCCACACAGAGGGGGTCACGCCTGGTGGTGACGGAGAGGACCCCACACCGAGAGGGTCACGCCTGGTGGTGACAGAGAGGACCCCACACAGAGGGGGTCACGCCTGGTGGTGACAGAGAGGACCCCACACCGAGAGGGTCACGCCTGGTGGTGACAGAGAGGACCCCACACAGAGGGGGTCACGCCTGGTGGTGACAGAGAGGACCCCACACCGAGAGGGTCACGCCTGGTGGTGACAGAGAGGACCCCACACAGAGGGGGTCACGCCTGGTGGTGACAGAGAGGACCCCACACAGAGAGGGTCACGCCTGGTGGTGACAGAGAGGACCCCACACAGAGGGGGTCACGCCTGGTGGTGACAGAGAGGACCCCACACAGAGGGGGTCACGCCTGGTGGTGACAGAGAGGACCCCACACCGAGGGGGTCACGCCTGGTGGTGGCAGAGAGGACCCCACACAGAGGGGGTCACGCCTGGTGGTGGCAGAGAGGACCCAACACAGAGGGGGTCACGCCTGGTGGTGACAGAGAGGACCCCACACAGAGGGGGTCACGCCTGGTGGTGGCAGAGAGGACCCCACACAGAGGGGGTCACGCCTGGTGGTGACGGAGAGGACCCCACACAGAGGGGGTCACGCCTGGTGGTGGCAGAGAGGACCCCACACAGAGGGGGTCACGCCTGGTGGTGACAGAGAGGACCCCACACAGAGGGGGTCACGCCTGGTGGTGGCAGAGAGGACCCCACACCGAGGGGGTCACGCCTGGTGGTGACAGAGAGGACCCCACACAGAGGGGGTCACGCCTGGTGGTGGCAGAGAGGACCCCACACCGAGGGGGTCACGCCTGGTGGTGACAGAGAGGACCCCACACAGAGGGGGTCACGCCTGGTGGTGACAGAGAGGACCCCACACAGAGGGGGTCACGCCTGGTGGTGGCAGAGAGGACCCCACACAGAGGGGGTCACGCCTGGTGGTGACAGAGAGGACCCCACACAGAGGGGGTCACGCCTGGTGGTGGCAGAGGACCCCACACCGAGGGGGTCACGCCTGGTGGTGACAGAGAGGACCCCACACAGAGGGGGTCACGCCTGGTGGTGGCAGAGAGGACCCCACACCGAGGGGGTCACGCCTGGTGGTGACAGAGAGGACCCCACACAGAGGGGGTCACGCCTGGTGGTGACAGAGAGGACCCCACACAGAGGGGGTCACGCCTGGTGGTGACAGAGAGGACCCCACACAGAGGGGGTCACGCCTGGTGGTGGCAGAGAGGACCCCACACAGAGGGGGTCACGCCTGGTGGTGACAGAGAGGACCCCACACAGAGGGGGTCACGCCTGGTGGTGGCAGAGGACCCCACACCGAGGGGGTCACGCCTGGTGGTGACAGAGAGGACCCCACACAGAGGGGGTCACGCCTGGTGGTGGCAGAGAGGACCCCACACCGAGGGGGTCACGCCTGGTGGTGACAGAGAGGACCCCACACAGAGGGGGTCACGCCTGGTGGTGACAGAGAGGACCCCACACAGAGGGGGTCACGCCTGGTGGTGACAGAGAGGACCCCACACAGAGGGGGTCACGCCTGGTGGTGACAGAGAGGACCCCACACAGAGAGGGGGTCACGCCTGGTGGTGACGGAGAGGACCCCACAGAGGGGGTCACGCCTGGTGGTGACGGAGAGGACCCCACACCGAGGGGGGGTCCAACGCAGAGATGGAGCGACATGACCCCGACCCCAAGCCAACAGTTACCAGGGAAGGCCCCGCTGAGATATTTAGCTGGGGCCGAGCTATCACTAATGATAGCTCAACAAAGTGGCGCATTAGCATCGTGTGGGAATGTATAGCAGCCAAATGTTGAGTCTAAATCCGAGGGGACAAGCTGGAGGAGGGCAGGCGTCGTCAGGGTCGGGATGGAACCTGCGACTTCCTGCAGACAAGGCGACGGGTTATTACGATTAGTTCGGTTCTGTCGGTAAAGTCACGAAGGTATCCGGGTGAGGCGGGGTTGTTCAACATCTCGCGAGGCACTCAGCCAGCAGCGGATAGACGCTGACCGGGCGAGCCGAGACCCCCCGACTAGGCCCCGGCGGCTCCTCGAGCTCGCCTGGACGTGCCGCCGCGTCGCAGCAAGGATATTGCCGCAGCGCCGCGTCCACCTCGGCCTCGTCGGGGCCCTGCTGCTCGGCCGCCTCCTCGGGCTCGTCCACGAACTTGTTCTCGTCGTACTCGTCCACGTCCACCTTGCGGAAGCGGTTCGACATCGTGTTCTTGGCCATGGCTGTGCTCGATTGTCGCCGGGTTCAGCGCAGACGGAGGAGAGAGACGCGGAACGTCGAACAGGTGGAGGGGGGAGCGATGGGGCGGTGGCGGCTTCCGGCTGGGAGCTCGGGAGCTCTTCCTCTTCCAGAAGAGGTAGAGACGCGTCTGCGCTGTTCTCTTCCAGAAGAGGTAGAGACGCGTCTGCAATGTCCTCTTCCAGAAGAGGTAGAGACGCGTCTGCAATGTCCTCTTCCAGAAGAGGTAGAGAGGCTTCAGCGGTCAGCATCTTTTTCTTCTCTTCTTCTAGATTTGAAGTTTTGGTGACTGCAAGGGTCCCAAACTCTTTGGTTTTTTCGGTAAAGTCACGTAGGTGAAAAAGGAAAATCAATGAAATCACGACGTTTCGGAGGCAACACAAGCTCCCGTCTGCAGGTGGAACCGTGGCAGCAAAATCGCAGTGTCAAGTGAAGAGGGCTCTCAGAGACAAGAGATTATATACTGGTTAAGGGGGGGGGGAGGAGCCAGGATGGGCCGTGGGAGGGGCTAAGTTAAGCCGCCTTTAATGATGCTGCAGGGGATGAGGGGGACGGAGAGAGCGCCTTGTGCAGGCGGTGGTGGCAAGTGGTGGAAAATAGGTGAGGCAGTATTTAAGCTGACAAAATGGTTGCCTCGCAGTATACTGCAGTAAACTATAAGGCTGCTAAAGTTTAACTTAGGTTTAACTTGGTTAAAAAAGGGGCTAATCAAGCTGGGAATAGAAAACAACTGGAAGAAATTGGAATGGCTGTACAATTATAAGGCAGCTAGAGTTTGGCTTGGTTGATGACATCTGTCCAATGATTGCTCAATTTAAAACCATCCTCTCGGTTGAAGTTGTGTCTATGTTTGTATATCTGGATGGCTTCATGGACAAATCTTTGGTAGTATCCAGGAGGTTTGCAGAGTACTTTGGTATCGGAGAAAACAAAATCATGAGAACCCGCTGTGTTGAAACAATGATCAGCTACGGCCGAAGAATTGGTTCTGCCGTGTTTCAAATCTGATTTGTGCTCGCGAATTTGGTCAGAAATATGTCGTTTCGTCTCCCCGATATAGCAGTCACCGCAGGTCCAACTCAATTTGTAAACACCGGGGTACTGTAAGTCAGGATACGGATGGGATCAGATCACGGATCTTCATCTTCTGGAAGAGGATCTTCGGTCATAATCGCTTCCAGAAGGGGCAGTAGACCTCTTCGGCATCTTCGTATTTTTTCTAGATTTGAAGTTTTCGTGACTGCAAGGATCCATACTTTTTTTTTATCAATAAGTCACATAGGTAAAAAAATCAATAGGGATCCGACTAACAGCCTAACTACTAAAACCAACAAGATCATCACTAGTTCGACTTCCCTAATCGAACCAATCAAACGTCTCTCCCGAGAACTCTCGGCTGCGGGACCTCCCAGATTCTATGGTCTTCCCAAGATCCATAAAGAAGGTACCCCATTACAGCCCATCGTGTCCACGATCAACTCACCTACCTAAAAACTAGCCTGTTTTCTATCGGATACTCTGCTTCCCTTCACTAGCAAGACCACCTCAGCAGTACTCAACTCACTTGGTCTCTCTAGTCAAGGACATTGTACTGTCTCCTGATGATGTCCTCGTCAGCTTTGATGTGGTCTCTCTGTTCACCAAGGTTCCAGTGCCTGACACCATAACAATAATTGAAGACTTAGGCCAACATGAACTGGACCCGGATGTCCCTGCGCTGGTTAGGCACTGTCTCACCAACACGTACTTCACCTGGAATGGTACCTTCTACAAACAAAATAAGGGTACCCCTATGGGCCCCCCCTTGTCACCAGTGATAACCAATGTTTTCATGGAGACATTTGAAACAGACGCCATCCAGACATCCACCCTGTGTCCTTCCCTGTGGAAGAGATATGTGGATGACACTTTCGTCATTTGGCCACATGAACCAATTTCTAGACCACATCAACTCCATACACCCATCCATTAAATTCACCATGGAAGTGGAGAAGGATGGCAAGCTACTATTCTTGGATGTTCTGTTTGAGAGGAGGCCCATTGGCTCTTTGGGACATTCTGTTTACAGGAAGGCCACCCACACAGATTCCTACGTGAAGCCTGATTCGCACCACCATCCGGCACAAAATAATTTTCTCATCAAAACACTATACCATAGGGCCCACTGCATCTCTGACCAACACCACCAGGCCAGTGAATTAGAACATGTGTGGTGGTGGTATTGGTGCACACACACGCCAAACCGGCCGACTTATAATACTTACCGGTGCGGGTGATTGTGTCATCTCTGGCCAGGCCTCCTGAGGGGAGGGAGCTGTGGGATGCGTGCAGTCCCACAGAGCCGCACCCCTCTAAGAGAAGCGGTACAAACCTGTTTGGGGTGGTTGTTTGTTGTACGCCCAGGGCCTCCTGAGGGGAGGGGGCTGGGGGGCCTGTGTGATGCCACAGAACCCCGTCCCGCGGTGGGAAATCGTATAAAAGGTGGGACCCGGAGAGCAGAGGGGGAGTTAGACCCAGCCAAGACGAAGAACCAGTGAAGACTGAAGGCCAGCTAGCGAGACCCTGGAACTCCTCTGACCCGCTGCCCTTTTGAGGGCCGGGCAGAGCAAGCCAGCGGTGCGACCCCAGAGCAGCGAGGTCCGATGTCCTTCTGAGGGCCGGACTCGTGTGGCTGATGGTCGGGACCTGTGCCGAAGCTGGGCCAGGTTAGTGAGCCTCATCGAGAGGAAGGTCTGGGATAGGGGGAAGTAGGGAGTTAACGTGGGGAGTTAGATGGGGAACACTTCCCCCGATAGACCGGGTGAAGAGGCCGTTACCTCTTCGAGTGTTCGGGTTGCTACCCTGCTGTAATTGTGGTTATCTGTAATAAACACGTGTTGCCTCTATCAACCTTCTCCATCGTCAATTAAGCCCACTACACATGTACATCTGGCCCTCAAGGTGAACGGATACTCGGAGCGTGCTATCCGCCAAGCTGTTTCTCCTACCGTGTAGAAACAACCCCCTGAGACTCCGATCAAAATCATTATGTTGCCATACATAGCAGGCGTTACCAAAAAGATTTATCAAATTCTAAACAAACACAAGATCCAGGTCCGATTCAGTACAGTACACAAAATCCGTGATCTGATGCCATCCGTAAAGGATGTCATTCCTGACTTACAGTACCCTGGTGTCTACAAACTGAGTTGCACCTGTGGTGATTGTTATATTGGGGAAACGAAACGACATATTTCTGACCGCATTCACGAGCACAAGTCAGATTTGAAACACGGCAGAACGAATTCCTCGGCCGTAGCTGACCACTTATAACACTGCGGGCTCTCATGACATTGTGTTCTCCGATAGCAAAGTACTCTGCAAGCCTCCTGGATACTACCAAAGATTTGTCCATGAAGCCATCCAGATACACAAACATAGCCATAACTTCAACTGAGAGGATGGATTCAAATTGAGCAATCATTATAAGGATGTAATTAACCAAGTTAAACTTTAGCTACCTTATAGCTTACAGTCATATCCATATTTCCAGTCTTCCAGCTTTATACACCACCATCACTAAGATATTTGATGTACAACAGTGTTCCAATAGCGCAAAAAATGGTTCCCCCCATCCTACTCTCCCCTGCCCCCTTCCCCCCTGTTTTCCGCCACCCATCCGACGTACAGGCCCTTGCCCCGACATCACAAAGGAAATGATGCTTATCTATCGGCTTAACTCCTCAGCTAATTCCCCTGCCCATCCGCCCGCGAAGCCGCGTGCTCTCCCCCCCTCGGCCACTTGGCTCCTCCCCCCCTAGTACCCTATATAAACGTGCGTCTCTAAAGAGCTCTCTTCATACGCTACAGTAATTTTGCTGGAGCAGTCATACCTCATGACAGAGGCTTGTGTTGTCTTCGAAACGTCGTGATTAAATTTAATTGTTTTCATTTTTAATTAACTTTATTAGATTTTTTACTTACGTGACTTTACCGAAAAAACGAGAGAATATCTTCGTATTTCTTTCGGTTTTTAATGTTTTTGGGGTTTTTGGTAAACATTTTTAGTTTTTATTGGTTTTGGGGTATTTTCTTCTGTTTTTAGTTTTTTCTGTTTTTGGGTTTTTTGTTCAGTTTTTGGTGGTTGTTGAATTTTTTTCATTTTTTTGGTTTTTAATGTTTTTGTGTTTTTAGGGTATTTATTTCCCTTCTACGTGACTTTACCGAAAGAACCAAGAATTTGAATCCCTGCAGTCACGAAAGCTTTACATCGAAATTTAGGGTATTTGTTTAGATTTTTTGTGTTTTACTTGGGGTTTTGCCATTTTTGGGGGTTTGTTTAGGGTTTTTAATGTTTTTAGGATTTTTTTTGGTTTTCAGTGTTTTTTGGGTATTTTGTCAGTTTGTAATGTTTTAAAGGCCCGAACATTACAACTCTGTGTGCGGTTTTTTGGTTAGATTCATTTGGCAAGGGAAACTAGTTGGCTTTCCCTCTGCTACACTCGCTTGAAACTTTGTCCTGCCACACCCAGTGAGTCACAGCGCTAGTCTGCCATCACGAACCAGAGGAGATGAATGGTGAACATTTAATAGAGAAATGGAACAGTTGTGCTGGTCTTTGGAAACAGTTTTAAACAATCCAGGACGGTTTGCTTGTATGGAAACATTCCAACTGTGATTGTATTTGTTTGGAATGTCCCAGCGGCAGTCGAGGTTTTTGGCAATGATCTGCAGGGATGGTGCGTTTCCGTTCCTAGCCGCGAGGGCATATATCCTTGTTACTGCGCCGTCTGTTAGCGTTGGTTCACGTTCGGAGCAGTGAGGAAGCCCGCTTATCTTGCTTATGTTGTTGAGTTGCGTCGGCAATAAACCCAAAGGGCAACCTTACCCGGTAAATACAGTAAACCATCTAGTGAACCACTGCAGTCTTTGTTCCTGCAGTGAAGGAATAACAATGCTACACCAACTCTCTCCCGAAGCCCTCTTCTGGCTAACAGACCTCGACATTTTCATGTATCTCCTGAACATATTGCCAGAATTGGAGTAAATTGTAATATGGTGCCACCTAGTGGCGATACAGCTCAGACGAGTCTTAAGTAAACGGGCGGCAAAGCTTAGTTATAGA